AATCAAATTTGGGATTGCAACCTTCATCAATGAAAATCATATTTTGATCATCTTACTGAATGAAAATCACCCAAGTGCTAGATATCTAGGCTTCAAACATTGTTCCTCCATTGGGTTCTGTTTTTGGATTGGGATAGATAATCAAATGAACCATTAAGACATAGAATCCTAAGTAGAAATGGAAAGAATCACATCTATTATGATTAGCTATTTAGATTTAATATTTATCAAACAGAAAAATTTCAAAGAGCTATTTTTTGGATCCAAATGATGAGAAAATGAGAGGGATCAGAAATCAACTAATGTGAGATGAAATGGATCTTCTAGAAAATGGATGTTTTTGGAGATTATTTCAAGAGATCCCCAGCAGGATCCAAGGTTTGGGAGAAGAAAAAATGTGGAAATGCAAAAAAAAACTGATCTCAAATGATTTCAGACAATTAAAATTGTTCAGATCTCAATTGATTTCAGACAATTAAAATTGAGAAGTCATTCTTTTTTGTATCAGCCAGGGTATTAACACTAAGACTCAGAGCAAATCCACCCCGGCCCCTTTTTTGAGCCCTTAAATTGTGCTTTTTGGGTCTGTGCAGGCAAGTTGGCAAGTTGGTTGGTATAAATTGGTGTCAGGTGTTTACTTGTGCTGATGAGTGGTGTGTGAGCATTAAGTTTCACAGGTTGGTGTTATGTGGGGGTGCAGTTTGGAGTCCGTAGGCAAGTCCCTAGGAGTCCCTTACATGTGAGGACTTGAGATACAAATTTAGGGACCACAGTGGGTTGTGCCAACTCCTTAAATTACACATACAGACCCAATTTAAGGTCTACAGTGGAGTTTCTCTACCATCTGAGTTACAGACAATTGAGCTATGATGTCATTGTTTTCTACATATCCAAAACCTTATGAAGGCTGTGTCAATATTCAAGGAAGAACTCTCTGAAGGGGTTGAGTTTCTTCCTTCCCCAGTGGTAATTAATAAGAAATTTTTACTGAAGAAATTGTCCCTGTGATTTGAATAGCATTCACTAATATGTTCATTATGTACCTCTTGAATCAGATTAGAAAAACTGACGGTACACCTTTTATTAACATCTCCCATCTCAACTGGTAAAAGTTTTGGTAACTTGGAGTGTTACCCATTGCTTGTTATATTTATCATATATTTATTCCCATCTGTCCTTGATGTGTGGGACAAAAAGGGAAATGGATTCACATTCATTAGTTACACCATGGTTTATATTGATTTAAAATGGGGATGTTTGCTTTGAAATCTTACCCTCAAGATGATCTCATGGGAGAATCATGGACATAATACAGTCCAGAAACCCATAAAAAACATGGGACCCAACTAGCATGCACATTTTATGCTTATTTCATAAGTTGACATGATTAAGAAAACTGGCCAGGCCTCCTTGCCTCTCAAAATCCTCAATTCTTGAAAAAACTAATGATTTGGTCCTTGGTTTTTTTTCCAGTACTTACTTAACAGATCAATTAAAATAAAAAAGAAGCTGTGATCCCAGCTCCTCAAGTAGGAGTCAATCCACAGGCAACCATAATTCCTCACCACACAATTTATGATTCTAAAAATTATTATGTGAATGTAGATGATGAGGCAATGGAAAAGCAAGTGAAAATGATTATACTGTCAAATGTGTACCCAAAGCTTCAAGGAATGCTGTTGAGCACACTAAGACACTAGAACAAGGCATCACTCAAATTTGTGAAGTTGTAATTGAAATAAATAACTATATTTTCTGTGCAAATTTCTAGCTTTGATTGAATTTCAAAGAAAATGAAATAAATTACTTATATTGGATTCCAGAGCTCCAAAACACAGACTTGAAGTTATGAGACTTGTTAAGGTGGTCTGATTTTTTTCAAAAGCTTTGATACTCATTTTGGGGGAGTGGGAGTGCTGAGAGAAAGAAAGAGTGGAACATGGGAAGAATGATTATAAATGAAAAAAAAAATGGAACCAAAAAAGGTTTGGCTAGTTTGGTTGCCCAGATTGGAGCCAAAACAGTAAATTCCAGTGCTTTACTGCAATGTGGGCTGGTGAATGCCCCACTCAACAGCTGTTTGAAGCCATCTGGAAATCAATTTGTCCAAAATTTTCATTCATAATCATTCTTCTAATATCCCAATCTTCCTTTCTCTCAGCACTCTCACTCCCCCAAAATGAATTTCAAAGCTTTTGAGAAAAAATAAATTTTATTTTTTATTTTTCACAAATTTTGCAACTTTGTTTTTTGTTTTTTGTTTTTATTTTTTCATATTCATTTCTTAGAACCTATTCTGCACCATTTAACCAAGTCTCATGACTTGAAGTCTGTGTTTTGGAGCTCTGGAATCCAAAATAAGCAGCCACTTTTCACTGTCTACCCACTGTACCATTGACTGCTGGGTTTTGAATTTGTTGGCATGAGAATTAGAAAGCCACGACAAAGCCATTGAAGCAAGGGTGGGCCAGTTTGACATGTAATTCTGCTAAAACTTGTGTAGCAGAATCACACCACATATGCACTAACACTATATGTGATTTCCATGCAAACAAAGTGCTGCTACACTAACACTATTTGGGCAAAAGGATTAGTGTAGTGTAATGGACCATTTTTAATTGAAGTGCAAGAGTTGAATTTTGTGACTGGATTTTTACTGAATAAATATATATAAAAAAGTCTAAACATACTAATTATGATGTTTTTTCTTGCAATCAGATGGGAAGAAGATTTAAAATCTGAACCAAGATCTTGCGCTAAATAATGTTAAGATGCTTATATTGAGTGTATGCTTTAACCTAGTTAGGGGGTATCAAATATAACCAAATCCACCATTATTTAATTGACTGGTTTGAAAAAATCCACCCTTTTTTAAACATGTTGGTTATTCATTTAACCCCTTTTGGGGCCCTTTGATGCAAAAATATTTTTTGGGAAAAGTGACTGGTTTCTAATGGTGGATTTCCAGTCCTCTGTGGGTTTGTTAACCCAGATGGATGTGTTTGACACCAGTAGGCCAGCTAGCCTGGAATTCTTACCAAGGTTTGCCAACCTAAATCTCACAGGTACAAATGTGAATGCTCTAAGCCAGCATAAGGAGTAATCACAACATGATCAACCCTTGATAGCTAGTAGAAGAGTTGTGCTCTGAACAAATAAATATAATCCATTACAATGTCTGCTTAACAAAGGAAGATAAATGTGACTTAGACATGGCACTCCTGACAATAATGATTGAAAACTTAGCCACATACACCTGCAGCTATGCAGTTGATGTTTTGTTATTGATTTGGTGATTGGTGATGATGGTGATTATGAAGGACACACAAGAAACTTTCATTGATCTTTCTCTCCACTTTTTTACTTGGGCTTTGTTTGGCCGTCCATGATTGTTATAAACGATCATGGCGAATATTTTGGGGATGCACAGCTAAAGACGGGGCCTCACAATGATGTTTGGGAGGCCACATCATATCCACTTTCTTTATTACCAAAGTGGTCAGCAAAATATATTCCCTGCCATTTCCAACATTTTGGGTCCCCCCAAAATTTTGCGTCATAAGTCCTCACAGCGAGGTTGATGAGGATTTTCAGGCTGTGTCATTTGCACAGCCTGGAATCATCAAACCTAGATTTTGATTTAACGATTTGAGACAACAGTCCATTACGATTGTGGACAGCCAAAGAGGCCTTGATTAAGTCATGTGTGAATAGAAAGACCAGCAAGGTTGGGCAGTTCATTTCTGGTTTTGATGTCACGGGAGATTTTTCATTTAGGTTTTGATTTGGTATGTAATATATACATTGATGTGACACAATGCAAGTGAAGAGTGACCCAATTGCTGTGTATTCATAATGAGAATCATGAGTGATTCAACATAATTGTCATAGGATTCAATTAAAACACCACTCAAGACTCAATAAGAATGAAAAGTGAGATCCTTGATAAAAAAGGTTCCCCCAGTGATTATTGGAGTTAGCAATACCAAGCCTGCTTTTTACTGCACTCAGGCCAGTGATGTTTGATGGGGCTTACAGCCATTGGATGTTTTTTTTTCTTCTCTTTCTTCCCCTTCTCTTTATCCCTTTGCTCTCTTTGTCAATTTTCATCCAATCCTTCCCAATTGTTCTACTCTCTATCTTAGTCCAAATATCATTGTTAATGATCTCTTGGATCATACTCATTCTCAAATGAGTCTCTCACTTCTTAATTTTCTCGATTTCTATTGTCAGGTTAGCAAGCCTGCTCCTGACAAAAACCCAAAATCAACCAGAAAAAGATCAGGAGAAAACAGTTCATCAAAGAGCTTCATGGATTTCCATATGGAATTAATGACCGAACGATGTGTAGACATATAAATCTATGAAGAAAAATCACATTTGAAAACAAAGAAATCACGAAATTCACTACATAGAATGCTGAGGGATGTTGAATGAGATTGGAAAAAAGGGCGCTTGATAGACTATGTAGGGCAGGCACGCAGGGAACCAAGATGATTGCCAGCTAGACATGCAAAAATGATTCCAAATGAATGATGGCTGAAGTAGGACGCTGGGGTGAATTCGGGGTCAAGTTGATCGTCCGGTCAATCGATGAAGGGTGGAGGATCGGTGACACAGAGCTCTACGGAGCGATAGTATCCCGAGAGTTGGGTCTGGCGAGAGAAGTGTCCGGGCGTGCTCGGCTGTAGTTTGCACCGGTAGGATAGTCAACCAACCTAGAACATGGGATGCCGATAGCGAGGTGATGATCAGCTACCGGTGTCGTGTCGAGGGCCAGTTGCGGCGGCGAGGGGCTTCTGAGCTGGGAAGCGGGGGGCTAAGACGCGCCTCTGAGTTTCACGTGGGCTGAGGCTGGACGCGTCTGAGGTCTGACCAATCAGAGCGCGCGATGGCACGATCCGGTGTGTGATCGAGACTCGAGTTGACTCACCGGCCATCGAACTTCAACGGCTGCAAGTCCAGTCTTCCCCCCCTTGAGCCTGCAAGCGCAGACACACTCACTCACTATAAATACCCCCCCCCCCCTCCCACTCACCCTCATCGACCATCCCCATCCATCAAACCATCACTCAAACACCAAGAACCACTCACAACCACACAAACAACTCCACACCCTCACCATCATGCCACCCAAATCTACCACCGCCGAGAAGAAGCCCGCCTCAACCGCCTCCAAGGCCCCTGCCAGCAAGGCCACCAGCTCGGCTGCTCCGGCTGACAAGAAGACTGCCAAGAAGTCAACAAAACCTGTCGATGGCGAGAAGAAGAAGCGAAAAAAGAAACGTAACGAGACCTAGTATGTTCAACTTCCTTCCAACCTCTCCTACTAGGAGAACATTCACACTAATCTCGCTCTCTCTCTCTTCTTTTAGCGGTATCTACATCTACAAGGTCCTCAAACAGGTCCACCCCGACACTGGTATCTCAAACAAGGCTATGTTGATCATGAACTCCTTCGTCAACGACATATTTGAACGGATCGCCACCGAGGCCTCCAAGTTGGCCCTCTACAACAAGAAATCCACCATCTCATCCCGAGAGGTATGTCTATTCTGTTGAACTATCCTTTCAAGCATCTCTCATCTGATCATTCTCTTCCCTTATCTCAACAGATTCAAACCGCTGTCCGACTCATCCTCCCTGGAGAGCTCTCCAAGCACGCCATCTCGGAAGGAACTAGTTAGTCTCCCAATCCCACTCTCAAATTCGCTCAACTCATCAAACTGACTATCTTTCCTTCTTTCTTTCTGCAGAGGGTGTCACAAAATACACATCCTCAAAGTGATCGCTTTCGATCGTTCCTCTCCACCCTTCTTCTTTTCTGCTTCGTTTCTTCCCCTATTTGTCTTGTGCTTCTTCCTTGATGAAAAAATCGATCTCTTGTCGGTTGTTGTAAACTTGCGCTTCCCAAAGTAAACCAATATATGTTATAACTAAACTGAACGATTCACATGGCCCAGTTTTTCTGGCTCGACCAGCTAAAACCTTCCTGAGACCCGACCCCCAATTAGTATGAACACGAGTGCATCGAGCAGCAAGTTTGCAACAAAGCTTGACGATGAGCAATTAGAGAAGCGGTGCAAATGGATCGAGTTATGTATTTGCAGAGAAGTGAGCCCGAATGATATCAAAATCATGATGATTATTAATGATTACATGAAAAGCGTAGCACGGATAATAAATGATACACTATGGATGAGCTTTTAAGGTAAAATTGTATCTCTCCAACACGCCAGCTTCCATTTCAAATCCCGGACCTGAGCAAGCCAGCCGCCCTTAAGTAGAGCGGCCTGGAGGCCCCACCATCTCCAATTGTAGAGCATGAAGAGTTTCTTCTGATCGATGAGCCAGGAGGCGTAGAACTGATCGAGCCTAGTATTAAGCCGTTCTTCGACAGACTCTGGAGGATGGTTGACGGTCTGGGCGAGTACGGCGTCCCTTTGTTTCTGTTCGAGGGCTTCGAATCGGGTGGATTGGGTTTCCCAGAAGGCTTGGCTAAGCTTATCGACCCGGTTCCGGAACATGGACCATTGGAGATCCTCGAGCTCGAGACGGGCCCGGAGTTCAGCCAACCGGCCAGACAACTCGACCGGCTCGGCGCGGAACTCCTCGAGAGAGTATGGGTGACGATGAGGAGACTCGACGAGGCTTGTTGGTGGAGAAGAGGTCGTTGGACTGGAGAACCGGGCGGAGTATCGGATCGGACGGAGGTTCGAACGAGCACAGGGCGGGCCCACTTGGTCTTCCGCCGCTCCCCTTCCTATGTCTACCAGCGTTTCCCTCGTCGTCAATCGTCCTCTTCTTCCTCCTGCGTCGGTCGATGGTCCGGTCGAGTATAATCGTACGACCCGCTTGCTGATAAAGGCCCATTCGGGCTTGACTGTTCTCGTCAACATCCTTTTCGGGACCCTCGGTTTATGTGCCGTCAAAGTGTGTGCTCGAAGTCGGTGGTAGTTTGGTGGTGGTTGGTTGTTGGGTTCCAGATTAATTTGGAACCAAACTCGGAGTCGGGTGCATACAACAACACCTCTAAAAAGAACAGAAACTGTACATATTTAACACACTCCCTCCTTTCACTTCTTGCTCAGGTTCCCCCCGCCACAAATATCTTTTGTTGAAAAATCACGGTATGTAGCCATATTGGAAAGGGTCCAAAACCAACTACATACCAGAAAGCATCAAGCTTTGTATGTATAGCAGTAGACCTGCTCACTCAAACCACTCCTCTCTGTAAACAGATCAAGTTGGAGAAGCCTTCCAGCCAATTCTAATTCCAATGCTTTGACATCCTCCACCTACGTATAGGCTCCATCTTTCCCCAGCCCTGAGTTAAGTGCTCCTCAATAGAAATGACACACTGAGGTACCCCCTGAGTCCAAATTCTTAGAGAAGTAGATTCAAATTATGTTAAGCTATTTAAGAGACACTTATTTACTTTTACTTGAAATTTGAAAAACAAAAGCTAAAAAAATAAATAAACCAATGCTTGTTAAGATCTCATACAGCTATAAATGATGACAGAATATGAGTGTTTTATTTACATCAAGTTTAAACATTAGTGGAAATTAACACTTTTGATAATGATAAGAATATATCATTATAAGGCAAGTTAACATGCAAGTTATGGTTCTTATAATGGCCTTGTCAATTTGCCAGAGGCTGCTTAAAAGGCTAGCCTGTTGTGGCACGTATGCACATATGTAGACAAGAGGGAGCACATCCAAAGCTGCTTACAATCACTATGACAGACACCAATGAAAAGTGAGTCCTTTGTAGAGCTGGTGGCCACCCAATCAAATCGATACATGTCAACACATAGTCATTCATCTTCTTGAGATTGACATACAGGAAGCTGTCCGGAGATCCAACACTTCTCAAGGGCAGCAAGTTAGATTTTGGCCAAGAAGGAGTATATCTTCGTTCAAGATTAAGCGGATCATTTGTGCAAAACAAGGCATTAGGAGAGCAAATCCTGAATTGAGCAAGGCCCATGTCAAACGTTTCCACTAAAATTAAAGGTGTCAATCCGCTAACGGATTGTCTGTGTGTGTATGCAACTGTACAACTACTTTACAGTTTCACCCGATAGATTAGAATTATAGGTCTGGAGGCCGACTAAATACCACTTTTGAATACCCCCCCCCCGCCCTTCGCTCGTTACAGTGAGACTGAGGAGCCCCGACTGCTGGATGCTTCTTTTCGAAGAATTTTTTTCTCTTTTTCCGAGTAGCTTGAGATCTTTCACAACTCGTGATTTTCAGTGGCTTAACACCCGATAATGTTTTTACAGAAATATGACATAGCCTAGCTCAGCTTTGGGAGGGGGTAGATGGCTCGTGAACAGTAAGAGGACCAGGCAGGCGTCGCGTTAGAATAGACAAGGCATTGAGGAGTGTGGTGAGATTGGGTAGAAGGGGTGGGGTAAGGCGATGAGTCGTTTGAAGTAAGGTGATGGATGGGGGAAGCGACGCGTAACTCGAGGGAAAGTTGATATGAAGGAAGGATCTTTGGTTGTTTTAGATGACCTCCGACGCCCAAGGACCGCCTCTCAGTCTTCGTGCTAGCTCCATATCCCGCTTCATAATCGTGACCCGCTTGGCATGAATGGCGCAGAGGTTCGTGTCTTCAAAGATGTGGACCAAGTAGCTAAAATGAAGAAGAAAAAAAGATAGAAACATCATCAAACACGGATTGATGTAGGGAAAAATGAAGCTATTGTTCACGGACGCTTCGGCTGCTTCTTGGAGGGCAAGCAAGGCACTGCTTTGCCACCTTAAAGCCGCCCCATCATCTGTTGCCAGAGCATAATCCATCGCGATTTCTCGTACCTGCACCAACAACAAACCGAACGCGAGTTATTCAGCCATAAATCCAGTCAGAAACCACAAGGCCGACATCGCGAAGATTAAAAAAGCATGTTGCTTACCAGCCGCGCAAATGGAAGCTTCCGCATCAGGAGATCTGTGGATTTTTGATAGTGTCGTATTTCTCTTAATGCGACCGTACCAGGTCTGTACCGATGAGGCTTTTTGGATTTACTAGCTGATGCAGCATCGGAAGCTATTTAAATCCAGAGAAATGTTAGAAAAATGTTCTCGAAAGAATGATCATTGACAGAAGAGAAGTTACTTCGTTTCTTTTCGACACTTTTCCGAGGTTTCTTCAATGGTTTTGTTCCTGTTTTGGAGACGGGGTTTGTAGGCGACTTATCGGGTCTTTGATTCGATGTTTTATTTGCGCCGACGGCCATGGTCTATCAGGTTGATAAGTGTTGAGATTTTCCGCGTGGTTTCAGGTTTGGATAGACGTCGGCCGAGGTGCTTTGTGAGATGATGCGTTGTTCACAGATAGGATATATCGGAATGTATTCTGGGTGAAGTTGAGCTGCTTGTTGACTGCGTTGGGGAACCTGAGACAATCCGACGCGACTGCAGACATATCCCCGAATCGCGCCCGGAGGCCTGAGTGGTTAACCGAGCCCCTCCCGAACGGGGAAACTCGGAAGGTTCAACTTCGAAGTCTCCATATTGAAGTCATTTGGACGTAGAATCGCTGGCTTATGGTGCGGAAGTCGCAATCCCTGACCAAAGATTGTTGGAAAGACTCCCATGGCTCTAACTTAACTAAGTCCCTCTTTATTTGTTAAGTTAGCCCATGGCTCAAGGTGAAAATGGCAAACAGCCAGAAACATCACATTTGTTTGCAAGGGAGATTTGGGCCTGATAGCTCAATGTGTCTGGTCAAACTGACAGGACATCTTTCCTTGGGTACCCGTACAAGGATGAGGGGAGCTTCAGTGAAAAGAGGACGTCTCTTCCAAAGTCTCGGTTTCTACACAAGGACTCGAGGGCTCTGAACAGCTCATTCAAGTCAAGAGCCAGAATGTGATCAAGCTCGGGATCTGCTTCAAGATGTTGAGCATGTCATGATAAGCAATCATCTGCTGCTGGTTGTTTAAATTGCTATGTATTTTGAAAGGTGTAAACAATTTGGGAGATTTTTTTGGGGTTTTTTTTTGTAGCTTTCTTGCTGATAAACATGAACCTTCGTTATAACGAGGTGATAGTCATACACTTCACACACATGGACATCATCATCATCATCATCATCTCTCAAAAGAGGGCTACAGTCTAGCCCTGAAAGCTCAGGACTTCCTCGTCTCGTAGAAGTTACTTTCACTTGGCCGAGCCAACAACTTCACCTTCTTCGACTTTGACGCGACCAAGAGATTGAAGCGCCACTTCGGCAGCTCTCTTACCAGCTGGAAAACGGAAGGAGAAGAAGAATATGAGTTAGAAGCTAATCCAGGGAAGGCTTAGAGACTTGGTGAAACTTACAGAGTAACATGGCGCCGAAGGTAGGTCCCATTCGAGCACTTCCGTCAAACTCGCTCAATTCCATTCCACCGACGATCAATCCGGGAACGATTTCACGAGTCTTGTTGGCGATGTGGTCCTCAGCACGCTCCATGTCGAGGGGACGCATGTCTCCAAGGCCCTCGCTCAAGCCAGCAGAGGCAATACGCTTGACGCAGAACGCACCAAATGGACCGTCGTGTCCGGCGAAAGAGCAGACAAGTGGGGCAGTGATGGTCGATGGGTCCATGCATGATTGGTGATCATGGTTAAGGGAGACTAAGGTCCAGTTGGTGACACAACCAGCAACTCGTTGGACGCCCGGGTTGATTGGGCAAGGCCTGCCAGAAAAAGAGACAAACGGCCTCAGTTACAGATTTCAATTTTTTAATTGGAAAAAAAAGGATGGCCAAAAACAGAGAACTGACTTGATGATCAAGTCCTCGCATGCGGTGGCATTAAACATCTTGACGTTGGGCATCGCCAATACCTTGGATAAGACGGTCGAGGTAAACAACGCAGCGTGCTTGACGACGACCTATTTCCCAAAGACCGTCAGCTTACGAAATGACACTGATCGAGGAGAAACAAAGCAAAGAAGATGAGACAGAGTGAACCGGACTTACGAAGTTACCTTCATCCTCGTAGGGTACACCCACTTCATCCAAGAATTTGTCGGCAGCTACGAGAAAGAGAAATCGAATGAAAGGCGAAATCGATTGAGCAAAATGATAGTTATCATGAAGGGAGATCGTATCAATAATACCAGACAGTACTTACGCTTTCGGCACACCATGGCACTCATCAATTGGCCACCCAACCAACAGCCACCGCCAGGAGCAACATTCTGGAGATTGACGTTGTGACTTAGTGAAGGCAAAGAAATCTACCCAGTTGGAGTGACTATCATCTACTCACGCTCTCGAGGATGGTGATCTTGAGATCCGGGCGGGCCTTGCCGAGCGCATAGGCGCACGACAATCCCGCCGAACCGGCTCCGACAATGATCACGTCAGAGATAGCACGCTCTTCCTGTAAAGATGCACACACTCTTGAGCATACGGGATCTAGAAATAACCACGAAGAAGATAGAATCATCAAAATGAAGAGGACTGACCATGTCTTGGAAGTAACGGCGGACCATAGCGCGTTGGACTTGGTGCTCCTACGGTTGAGATCATTGGTCAATCTCCACTGCCGGTTTAGAATATAAAGAGGGGTAGTACCAACCTTGATAGGAGCGAACTTGATAGGCTCCAAGTTCACGGCCGGTTCCGGCTTGAAGACTGGCTTGGCTGGGGCAGCCTGGTTGGATTTCATGGCAGCCAAAGCTTGGTCATGGGCTTCAGTGCCGATGGTAGTAGGTTTGTACATGGACTCGGTGGCTACAGGAGGAGACATCTTATCTATTTTTAATTCTATTTAGATAGTTTTATATATGCTTCGTTTCTGAGGAGGGAGATGGAGTGGATTGAGTATCAGATGAGGTGGATGTTGGATGGCCTGGGGATTAACTCGACCGTCTGCCATCAGCAGCCTCTTATAGCTGTTACAAGGCCCCTCCACGTTCCGATTGATTGCCGAGGTCGGAGCTCCGATCGGAAATCTTCTGGGGATTACAGCATAATCCTCCGGCTTCCCCCAACTATCATACTATCATAGTATTGTCCAAATCGTATTACCACATAGCTATGTATGTGGTGTTACCACTGGACCAAACTGCTTCGTCTTGAGTTTCTCCAAGAACAAGATTCATTTCCGATATATCCCTGGTACCCTCAACCCACCGTGCTCAAGTGTGGGCTATAACGACGACAATTCCATCGCTTGAAAAAATGCCGACCATGGTGGTATAGATTCAGGCTGCCAGGTGCAATCTGGCTCTCTGTTTTCAATCATAATTCTTGTTGAGTTGATCAAAACAAAAGTTGAATCAGGTTCTGTTTCAGCTTTTTCACTCACTTGGAGAGCTAGCTGAACAAATATTGAGCACTACAGTCTCAAGCATTGATCTGATATATTACATAGCTTTTTTTGGCTGGCAAGTATAGCTAGGCAGTACCCTCGAGTCCTTGTTGGACAGATGAGAAATGTAGTGTGCACTGTGTGCGTGCAAGAATAGTAAAACAAAACTTTGGTAGCAATTTTCAAAATATTTGCAGGGTTTAATCAATGTTTCAATTGAGATACTTATTACAAGGGGTAAACAATTTCAAAATTTGATAAACAACCAAAACATGATTATGTATATGAAACAGCCATAACAGGGGAAAACATTGGAAAATGGGGATAATTCATATAAGAAATGGGGTTTCAAGTTCCTTCTTCTGGTCAAGGATTTGTACTAAATGGTATCTGGAATGAGGTTTCCAGCAAAACAACTCAATTCTGTCACAGTAGTATCAAGTTTTATATTTAGGGTCTTGATTAAATAAATCCCAACCCTTGGAGAAAAACCTACCAAAGTTAGTACAATGCCTCTGCAATGCTTTCAAAAGTTATCCTGCAATGGTTACAGGCACCAATTTTTAGGCCCATGTCATTTTGGGAGTTTTTTTTTTCTCTGAAATTTGGGGGCCAAAAGTGGAACTCATTTGCCTAATAACATACCCAAAAATCAACAAAAATATCTGGGCGTCAAAGTTTAGGGCCTTTACAACAGCCCCAATTTTGAGGTCAATTTTGAGTTGGAAATTGACCCCATCAGAAATGGTGTACCATGCACACCCAATTTCCCATAGTACAGAAGCCAGATTTTTAGTGACAGCCCCAAAAGGAATTTTGGTTGCCAAAAAATAAAAAGATCAAGAATGAAAATGAGGATTGGCTGGGGTGCTATGGTACAGGCCCTAAGTAGCTTGGACAAAGAAGACATCCTGGCTTCTGGTTAATTTCTTGGTAAATACTAGTAGGCCTCAAGCACTGAAGTTGTGAATGGTGTGCCAATAGATCCAAAATTCCAGCCAAGAAATATATAATAGTTCTTTTTCTTGACACCTCAAAGGGCACCAAATCTTCACATCATTGAGAAATTCCCAATCAAGTTTAATGTCTCAAATTCTTGGTGGTATTTCATGTCAGAAATTGATGTTCAGAGTGGGGGATTGTTTTTATTAATGACTGAAAAAGAATAATGGTTCCAAATTCTTGTCGCTCTACCACTAGCAAATTTACTGCCCTTTGGCTAAGAGTTTGAACATAAATACAAATGGGGACTCTCTCAAGGTTGCAAAGTTTTGGTATCCTTTGGGGGAATCAACAGCCATATGCTGTAAATATTAGTCAGACCCACTCTGAACCAATTTTTGATGTGGAATAGGTCTAATAATTTGGACAGCAATTTTGATGGGAACTTTCTCAAGCATGCAAATTTTGGTTCTATCTGCATTGCATGTACCTCTTGCCGGCTGGAAGGAGATCCTTCCAGCCGAAGAGGCATGTACCTCTTGCCGGCTGGAAGGAAATCCTTCCAGTCAACGAGGTACATGTACCTCGCCGACTGGAAGGAAACCCTTCCAGCCGACGAGCATGTACCTCTCGCCGACTGGAAGGGTTTCCTTCCAGTCAGCGAGGAACATGTACCTTGCCGGCTGGAAGGAAACCCTTCCAGCCGGCCATTGGCCTCGGGTATCCGCTGGTAAATCGCGGGAAATGGCACATCCACACCCAAACCCGCATCCGCTGGCGGGTATCCACCAGCGGATAACGGGTATCCGCAACGGATACCCGGAGACCATCTCTAGATGAAATACCACCAAGGACATATAACATCAAGTTATATTGGCTGTTCCTCAAGATGATTAATGTTTGATGCATTTGGGTATTTAGTGAAACACCTCCTGATTTTGGTCTCCATATTGAAGGAACACTTCCCATGATACCTGGGACCAGAGATTTGGTCCCAAGAACCATCACCAAAATTCCTCGGAAGGTCTTGGATAAATTGATTAATTATGAGAATCATTTCTCCAGATGTTGGGTTTACAGTGATATGTAATAGAGAACAGAGTGGCTCTGTCACTACATTCTTTCCTTGTAATAGTATACAATCTTTTTCTCTGTACCTTGGGTACAGCTTAAGGGTGTCTGTTGTGAAACATCAAAAAAGGTTATGTGTCTTTTGGAAATTATGTCCAAGTCTAGTATTTACATGCCAAGTGTGCTTACCACTGTGCAAAGTACACTTGGCCATGAGTGGCTGCTAGTGGATGCACATGTCATTTCTGCTGTGGCTAAGATAAATTGATGGTGGGTGAAACCTTTCTTGAAAATTTATTTAAAATTTCAAAGAGGAATAGTGGTGAATACACACAGAGCAAAATGGAAAGAAGTGGACATAAAACGCAGAACATTTGACCTGAAGGTTCTTCTGTAGAAGATGTTTGAATTGATCAATTGTCTGGTACCAGAAGATTTCAAAAAATTCAAAAGAACAAGCACCAGGAAGAAAAAATCAATACTCTATGAAAACTGACATCAAGATAACTTCATTTTCCCATTCAATCCATATCCAGCTCAACTCTGACTAAGCCCCCTGTAGCACACAAAGGGGGGGATTTTAATTGGCTCAAAACAGATCCAGAGCTATATGAGAGCACAAATAAAAGCTACATGATATTACCTGAAGCCTGGTGAGAATTGGTTCCTGGTGAAGGTGGTGAGATAATTTCTTTTGGGATAGGGTTCAAGATCACCAGGAACCCACCTCACACATATGTGTACAAATACTGAACTACTGCTTTTGGTGTGAAGTACTGAAAATATTGGCAAGTTTTTCCAAAAGGATGGCCAGTCAATTTAGTTTCTCTAATGCAAGTTTGCCCTGCTAGACTTTTTTGAAGTTCTTGAATTTTGGGCAAGTGTTTTAAACAAGTATCTATCAAACATGAGTAATAACACACAGAATTCTGAACAGCTGATGTGGTGTTACAAAAGAGGATTGGTTCTCTAAACCAAAAAATGAAATAAACTTAGAAGGATTTCCTTCTAAATTGACAAATTTAGATGGCCAGAATCCCTCCATTGTTTTGTAATTTTGGCATATAACATGCATTAATATAACAAAGGTGCATTTTTGATATTGCATGTCACCACTTACACAGGCTCTCTCAGTAAACTTGATTCAAGATAAACCCCAGGAAGAGCTTGAGGGAAGTAGATGTCAGATGATTCAAATCCCACTGATACTGGTGATACCAGTATTTAATTGAATAAATTTGATCTCTTCATTTAACCTGTTTCTTACTGCCATTGAAATTTTACTGATGTGATTGATTAAAACAGTGAAAGAAGCACACCTGAGATTCTTGTGGGTTCTGGTACCAAGTCCAGTTGAGCCAGTTCTATTCTTATACAAAGCAGTGGAGATGAAAATACCACAGTTACTCACTCATCTTCAAGGACAAGAGATGGAGGAAATCAATGCCCTTGTCAGATGATTTCATGGGGATTTAGATGACAGACCAGCATCTTTGTTGTACAACCAATTAGTTTATTTGGCATAGGATTTGGCCTAATAACATTTGACAATGTGGCTGATGTCTGTGGCAGTGAAACTCAAATATATGAATCATGGATAAGACACTTGAGAGTCTGATTTGAGTGCTTTATGACATTATTTACATGGTAGTGTAAACTTGAATTTGGTTTGGCTGCAAAGTAAACTGATTCTTTCAATGCACAAACCAATCCTGCTTCCAACAGCCAGTCAGTTTTTAATCAGGATTCAAGTGTGATAAATTGAAGAGGTGGCCTGTCTGGGATTTATCATTACCTTTGTGGGTTGGGGGGTGGACATGACTGGCTGAAAATTCAAAGAACTGGCCACCACATTTTTTGCAAGGTGGCTTGGTTAAAGTTTTCTTACCCCCAAATCCAGAAGCTCAGGGACATATGGTCTAGGCCATGGCTCAGCCAACAAGCCTGGAAGTGTGACACATTTTTTTGCATTTGTGATCATCATCATTCATGTCATAAGATGCAACAGCAGCACTCCACCAAGGAAGAACTAAGACGGGGAATGGAATAGACTGAGAAGCCTGTAAATGGCCTGCTCGGAAATATGAAATCGATGAGGGCACGTTGTGACGTGTGCACTGCAAGTAGTTACAACATTCTGGCTGATTCCAACTTCGCATATCACACTCGCCTGAACAAGACCTCTAGGGAGGCTAGGTAGTGAAGCAATTATAGGAGAGAGGCAATTCTTTCCATCAGGAAAATCAGTGCGTAGGTGCTATGATGACTCGTGCACAGCTTACAACTGCGGTACTATATAGTGCATTAGTGAATGAAATTATTTACAACGATTGCTCACATTTTGTTACAAGATGAAAACATTTGCTGTGAAATTTTAGCATTTCCTCCAGTACAGCAATTTTGCAGTCTAGGCAAATGATTGGGTCAGCATGGAATTTCTTGAATAATCCAGTGGTGCCTAGAACGAAGCGTATCAAAACTTCATAGTCTACTGCACAAGTGAGCCAGTGCAACAAAACAAGCTACATGCAGAATCAAAATCCAACCAAACTCTGCCACAACTTCCCTTCACCGCCCGAGATGGGCATTTTTGATGCCTCCATCACCCCAGGCGGCTCTGCTATGTACCAACGCGTGAACCGGCAAAACTGCTTGGGACCACTCTCCTCCTTGAGGGTCCTCGATGATTTCTCTGCTGTGATAGGAACCTGTTCATATAATGTAGCTTTGGAACGAACCTCTTTCCTTCAGCATTCACCAGAAAGAGGATGGATTCATCACCAGAAAAAAAAACTGCCCGTGATATTGAGAAAGCTAAAACATCTCCGGAGCCCGATAATATCAATGACATCGCTATTGACGGGGGCCAGAAGTCAAGGTATCAACGAGCGCGTCATTTTTCAATAGACATCATCGGCAGTTCGTAACTAATCATTCTGAATGAAGATCAAATTCACAAAATATAGATCTAACCATGAATGAAACTTTTCAATCGCTTGCAACAGGTACCATAAGCATAGGTTTTTTTGTAGGACTGGGAGAAGCGTTGAGTGAAGGTGGTCCAGCTGGTCTACTTCTTGGGTACATTGTCATGGGTGAGTCACTTTGGCATTCTCAATCCAATATCAATGTACATATATGACTGAATTCCTTTAATTCTTATTTCTCACCAGGAGCGGTAGTCTGTAGCATGATGGTAGCGCTGGTCTGTCTGATTTTTCCATACCATTGAGTTTCATGAGTCACTTTGCTGATCAAAATATTTGAGCCGTTGATGGGAATTTCAGGGTGAAATGGGGACAATGCTTCCAGTAATTTATTCTTTCCAAGATATATCCCCCCCCCCCCCAAAGCACAAATTCACACATCTCATATATCTGTATCATTTCTATCTATAATTATCCTGACAACATCTACACAATTAGGTCGCTGGTCAGACAATACACTACTCTTGCCGCTTTGTTGATCCTGCTTTGGGCTTTGCTCGTAGGCTATCTTTCTGTTTTAGCTCTTGCATATTTTACTCAAATTATCATGAAAGCTTTGATAATGAAGTCTCAGTTTCATGAGTGTCCTATCAATTATTAATATGACTCTTTTTGAAAAATAACATAGTTGGCTGGACCTATTGGTAAGCATCTGAAGGGCTTTAAAATCAAGGCACAATTTCAGTCATTCACTGTGTTCATTTAAGGTACTCAAATGGAATCACTCTAGTAAAGGAGATAACTTCTGCAAGCGAAGGGGTAAGAAACTTGTACCAACTTACATAGGCTTTTTCCCAAGATTACCCCATGAATTTTAACTATGAATGGATCGTATTTTATTTTTAGCTTGAGTACTGGACAGGAGCAGATTATAGGCCCTTTTGGATTACAATTGTAAGTCTCTTGTTGTGATATATTGTAAAAAATGTTTCATACAAGTTAATTTGAATTTTAATGTGTCTCATCTCCTTTTTGAATTGGGATAACCCTGATCTATTTTTAGTTTTTAGCATCCACATCAATTTACAGCATTGTTGCAGTGAAGTGGTATGAAAAAGTGGGCCTGATTCCCTTATTCCTTCGAAAAAAAATCATTCTTCAAAATAATGATCTTGATGGGAATTTCTTGCATACTCTGGGAAGGCCGAGACTTTTTTCAGTGGGTTATCTTTTGGAATCTTCAGTCACAAGTGTTGCGTGTTGATTCCCTTTTGTGTTCAACAAAGATGTCATAAAGGTTTTCACTATAATCGGATTGATTATTCTTGGCATCGTTCTTGATTTGGGTAAGCCCCTGAAAGTTTATGACGACTATTTGAATGTTTATCCTAATTGTCACCTGCATTTAGGTGGAGGTCCCGAACATTGTTGAATTGGGTTTAGGCATGTCAAAGAATTATTGGATGACTTCCCGTCAAATCTGCGGGTCTCCCAGAAGCGATTTAGAGGCCTCGAAAGCTTGATTTCCCATTGAAATTATAGACTTTTCGGGTCTAAATCGACATCTGCGAGGGTCCCAGATCCGACGGGAAGTCCTCCATTATCTCCACAATCAAGATATTTACGTAACTGATTCTTTGTTTTTTTATGACTCAATCACAGATACTGGATTCTTCCTGGCCCCTTCAGAGAATCAGATTCTCTATTCTGGTCAAGCTTGGTTCAAGCTGCTTTTTCATATCAAGGTATGAGCCTCAAAAACAAAACAATCACAATTAATTTGACTAACAGATGAACACATAAAACCCTATTCAAGGTGCTACGTTGCTAGCTGAGGCGGCCGCTGAATATGAGAATCCTGGGAAGCATACCTCCCAAGTCATCAACAAGAATTTTTTTGTTATCATGATATTCTATACTGTTGGTATGACTGTCGCTGGATCACTGGTACCATACGTTTCAACCCGATTACAGACAGGCATATCACCATTCGTAATTGCAATTGACTCAGCAAAAATATCAATTTTGCCGGATATTGTGAATGGACTTCTAGTCGTTCTTACTGGAGTATTTCCATCAGCACACTCAAACATATGTAAGTGCTCATTGGTGATTAATGTGACCCTTACTGCTTAAGAAAAGCCGGAAAGACTGATTTTTGGCATTTTCATTGAATTTTTTAATCCCAATCGAAATCTTCACTTCTTATCCAAAGACAATGGTTCAATGAACTTGCGTATTTTATGCGCTCATCGTATGGCTCCAAGGGTTTTTTTACACTATCCAAAATTTAATGGTTTCCCGGTCACTGGTTAAGGTGTAACAGCTGCCTTCGGACTATTGGCCTATATGGATGTTGATGATTCTGGATCAGGAAAGGTTTTAAAATGGCTGTTAAATAGCTCATCGATCACATGGCTTATAATGTGGTGGTCCGTCCTCCTTGTTGGTCTTCATACCCACTTCGGTCACTCGTCTACCCTGCGTTACTAACTGCCTGGCATTTTGTGTTTATAGACTTACATCCGATTTTATCACGGATTGAAGCATATCAAATTAGATCGTAATACGCTTGCTTATTGGGCGCCTTTTCAACCATGGCTATCTTACTTCGGATTTACTATGACTAGTTTGATGATTATCTTCAACTGTTCTGATTTAGTCTTGAATCCCGAGTCGTGAGTTTGTTGCACTTTAGGTGTTAAAGCTGTCTTCTCACAAACATATTTCCCTACAATGAAGAAAATTTGACATGATTGACTTTGAATTTTCAGGTCGTCAGTAGGCGATTTCATATTGATATACCTTCCTCTTCCAACATTTGCCTTACTTTTTATTGGATGGAAGATCTTTCATAAAACAAATTTTGTGAGAGTTGATCAGATGGACTTCAACAAAGAAATAAGTGGATCAAATCAAATGGATACTGTGGAGAAAGAGGATGAAGCTAGACCGGTTGGAAAGTTTAAGAAATTTTTAAATTGGGTTTGTGCAATCTCCTCTATTATCAGTCTTTTGTCCCAAGAACTTTGAAACTGACATGCTTTTGTTGTCTTTGCCCATAGCTTATGCAAAAAAATGAAACCATTGCTGCACCAGAGGGTGGAAGGTCAATTTCAAAATGAATCCAAATGATTGTAAAGGAGGATTCTAGAATTTTGCCAAGTACTAGTTTAAGTTTAATCTCAAGTCCAAGCGACCAGCCTTAGAACTCAAAGATTGTCATCTTCTTGCCCAATTTTCATAGCCACTATGAGGAGTAACTTTGGCGGGACAACGCCGGAGGAGTTTGTTTCCTCCTAACCGATAGGTATCGTTCCAGCTCGCCAAGGATGAATGCCCTCAGCAAGCTGGTTCCATACCAAGTCAGCCTTAGCGGCCGCTTTCTGTAGCCTGGCGCTTTACTTTAGACTCCAAAATTCTAAATGTCTGACTGTCAATAGACGAAAAAAAAAGAAAAAGCGGGTATTTATTTACATTTAGATATAGCCAAATGTTCAAACAATGATTCTTTGCTCAGTTTGCCTTGTCATCTTTTACCACTGCAGTGCCAGCGTAATCTAAATTCAGCCAGCTTTGTTGAAAGTTGTTAGCAAATGTTTAATGGGACCCATGAAAAAAATGACAATGATCACAAGTTGTTGAGTGTGGAGTGTATCAACCAGTTGAAGTCATGATCTATTATACATCTCTATCAAAAGTTGTTATACGTGAAATTTTTGACTACAAATGTTCAAGAGGGGTGGTGGTGTGAATTTAAGTTGCCATCTGTCAGCTCAAGGTCGAGGAGGCGTCTGCTTGACGTGACGCGGCAGAGGAGAACACGAACTCAACTACACAGCCCGAAAGAAAAAACCAACCACAACCAACAACATCAACAAACATGGACAAGAATCTCAAGAGGAAATCACCAGAAGCAGAGCAGCAGGAAGAAGAGGAAGGACAAGAAGGAAAACTGGAGAAGGAAGAACAGGAACACACTCTATCTCAACAAAAGAAACTCAAAACCGTCCACCCTACTCCACCATCAACCCAGAACCAATCCAAGTCGGTCGTCGAATTAGATAAATCAAAACCAAGCTTACTCATCAAACAGAGACCCATCGAGCTATGCGAAGTCAGCAATCAGATCAAAAAGAGTTGAGTGAGATTGGGATCGTGAAACTCAAAATTATTTGCAACATCCTGACTGACTAAATCGCCTGATATATATGTACACAGACTTAGTTGCTGTTACCGAGGAACTCGAATCGTATCGTTCATCAATACTGGAACTATCTCCAAGTCAGAATAATCTAATTGCTTGTCTAGTACACGAATCGTAAGCAATCCAACTGATGAACAGGACAAGAACTAGTCTATAACTAAAGATCGCTATCCTTTGATTGCAGGGACCGAACACTACCAGAACTAACAAAATATGTCCACTCAAAACTGTTACCGCAAAGTAAACTACTCATTGATGAAGATGCAGAAAAACCATTTGGTAAATCAGCACATTTTCTGCCCCTGCTAAAAAATAAGCTGTTTGCTGATTCCAAAGAGAAAATAGATCCTTTACCATTATCAGTTGTCGAATCCTCGATCAACCAGGTCGCAAAACGTGTCAACTATGCTCCCAGTCAAGCTGAGCTCGATTGGCTCCCAACAAATTTACCCAAAGTGAGCCAAATTATCCCAAAAGTTTCGAATGTCTTTATTAAACTTTCATACTGAACATACACTCAAATAACCAGGGCTTCCAGATCTGGAGGTGGGAGTGCAACGAGCAAGATACAGCAATTCCTTATGACTTGAAAGACATCTCACAGAAGAGATGGGCAGAACGACAACTAGTGAGAATTTTTATTTCCCATTGTCCCTCTGCTTCTCGTGCCAGTTTCAAAAGAAGATGGAAGTTGATCAACTGATTTGTAGTTTCCCCTTATATTTGCAATGTATAATAGATTAAGCCGCAGGCCTTGGCGATCCTTTCCGGCTTAAGTTCTTCCGAAAGAGAAGCGTTGATCAAAAAATTAAACCCGGTCAAGCGCAAGGGAAAAACTAACACAGATACTCCAGCTGCTACACCCATTCGGCCTCCAAAGGAAGCCAAACCTAAAACCCCCAATCCCTCTCAGGAAATCAGATCGTCGACCCAAAACAGTCCAACGACCCCGAAACCCAACCAGTCGCATAGAGCAGGCAGCAAAGAGACAGGTGAAAAGGTTTTGACGGAAAAGGAATTGATCAAGCAGCAAAAGGAACAAAAACGGAAAGATAAGGAAGAGGCGAAACTGGCTCAAGAGAGACAGAAGCAGAAAATGGGGAACCTGTTGAGTGGCTGGATAACCAAAGCTACTCCAACCAACAAGAACACTCAAGCCTCCACGTCGTCCAACGCCAAAGCGACCAGTCAATCCGAGGGGATCGAAATCACTGCCTGGTTCAAGAATGGGATCAAACAACCAGTCGATAAGGCGTCCATGTCAGATTTTGAGAAGACCTTTAAACCTTTCAATCTCAAGCCCAATGTCCAATTGGCTCCGATCAATCGCTTTCGACCTCCTGGCGGATCAAATACTAACAATCAACAATCTCTAGGTACCACCGCATTAACTCCAAAAGGTATCTTACATTTCTCTGTAGTCGCAATCAAAACGATTGCATTCACTCACAATCCTGTTTCTCTCTCTTTTGGTACTCTTTGGGTAGAATGTCTAGAACAGTACTTGAAATCAGTACGCCCGACGTCTCGAAGTGGATCGAAACAGAAACTGATGACGATCAGAGAAATCGTCAATGGGATCGCAGAAAGCGAACTGAGTGGTTGTGTCGAGGATACCAAAAAATGGCGGAGAGCGTTGCAAAATCGATCTGTGGTACCGGTCAAAGTTCTGAGGTTTCACGAGGATGTCCGACCTGGATACATTGGTTTGTTTTACCCCAATGATATCTCTCTCTCTCTTTCTCTTATATCACAAGGGCATGGATCATTGATAACTTCATGTATGTAGGTACATGGTGCAAAACATCCAGACTGGTCAGTGGACGGAATCCATTTGGAAAAGACACGTGTTTACTGGATTATGAATATGATAGTGAAGCGGATTGGAATGAAGAGGATGGAGAAGGGGAAGATTTAGAGCAAGGATCGGATGGAGGGAACGATGAAGGCGGGGATGGGATGTCCTCGGAACTAGGAGAATCTGATGAGGATGGATGGTTGGTCGGAGATGACGATGATATCGAGATGGTTGATGATGGCGAGAATCATGCGAGCAATCGTGCACTCGACTTCCAAGTCGATGAAAATCAGCTCCCCGGCAAGCAGAACAAGAAGATCAGCGGCCCTACGCGTAGGAAGATCGTCGGGCCTCTCATCCCAGTTGTCAAAGGTCCAATCTGGGAAGGTACTCTTGGAGTCGTCTCGACTTCGATTTTTGGATGTTTTCAAATCCAGATGATTAATGGTAAGTTGCCTTCCCCTCTCCAGATGTTCCTTTCTAGCCAATGATTCCTACCTAACCGGGCATATGAACTTTCTGATTTGATAATGGTTAGATGCACCGATCGGATTGAACCCATTCACTTATGAGCCAAAGACGGTCGCCAAAGTTACCAATCGACCTAAGCTTTCGACGGTTGCGTTAAAATCCGGTCCAGCGGTGTTGCCCCTTCCAGCCCACCTTACAAGCCAAGCAGAAATAGAGGGGAAGTCAAATCCGACGAACGCAAGAACAATCATCCCGCCACCGCCGACGAGCGGTGATCACTCCTTAGACCTCGAAAACCATCCACATACACAAGGCCAGCAACAGCAGCCACACCAACTGAACATTAACAATAGTAACACAGGGACGTTCCCACTCGAGTTGATCCCCCAACTGATCAAACTTGTCAACGGGAACCGCAAGGCTAAGCCGATCTTGATAGAAGATCTCAAGAACGAATTCCTGGCTAATAATCAACTCAAAGTCTCCAAAAGGTCCATCGAACAGACCCTCAACTCGATTGCGGTTAAGGTGGCGGGCACGTGGAGAATCGTCGACCTCAATACGAACCCTCTTAACCCTCCTCCTTCATCTTCTTGATCCTATTTCTCCTTTTCCTTGTTTTTTATCCTCAAAATGTGATTTTTTTCCTCAAAAAAAAGTGTTTGAAAATCAAATTTTGGCCTGCCATGATCGTATTCTTTTCTCTATCACCCCCTGTCTAAACTTCTGGAACACTCTTCTTCTTCTTTATATTTTATCCTCTGAGTCTATAATCATATCACATATATACATAAATAGCTTTTAGCTCAGCTTGAAATGAATGATCGTTGGTTATAAATCAGATCTACTTCTCATCGTTGCTTTTTATTTCCGCATCTTGATTCCCGCTGTGTTACATCTTATGTCCTGTCAACATTTTCTGACCAAAAACCAGTACACAAGTTTCTAGAACCTACTTGATCTTAGGTGTCCATGGAGATTTTTGCATGGCTTGGTTTTCCAATTGGACCATAAGATCTGAGACTCTAATTGTTTCTTCTGCAACCTTAGTTTGGCAACAAATTTCTGGACCAATTTGTTTAGGACACAGATCATAAATAGCATCTGTGGGTTAAACCAAAGACTACTGGTTTGTAACTGAACATTCAAGGCACAAAACACTGTAGTGTAACTGATATTTCACCCATGATGAAGCATTGGATTGTGTTCTTATCATGGGCTCCCTCATGATTTTTTTTTCGAGGCCACAGGAGAGAGAGCAATGAAATATGATATTTGGTGTGGTTTCAGCTTATTCCTATCTACTCTACTAATTCATGCCCTTTGAGACACACCTGTAGATCAACATGAATACAGCAGCCATTTTTTTGCCAGTGCTTTTCCTCATGTTTGTTCAGGATGTGGCAGGCTTGAAAAAAAAATTGAAATAGGAATAGGAAACCAAACACAAAAACATCTGTACCAATTCACAGCACCAGCCACCAAGGATTCTTCCTCCCTTGAGAAATAGGTTCCCATTCAAAATGGTAAAGAGGGAGGGAATAACCAGTTGCCAACCATGATTCAAGCTTTTGCCACTTTTTGTAGGAAGGATGACTTAGAAGACTGGCTTGAATTGCAACATCTCATAAGGGAGGATTGCAAATTGGAAATCTGGTGATCCACCACTTTTCCAGGAAGAAATTCAGTGAGCCAAGTAGATTATTACTCATCATGAATCTAATATTTTAACAGTTTTTCAGGGTGTGGCCCAGCTTGAATCAGGCACTGTACCACTTGACCATGATTTCTTGTAAGGGAATTTGACCTTTGATTGGGAATTTTTGAAGTGAAAACATTTCCCAATTATTTTTAAATTCTTGCCCCTTCTTCAATTATTGACTCTAAAATATGTTTCCAGGCAAAGATATGCAATGGTTTCAAAATATTACACCTGGAAAAATTGGTAATTGCTATATGAAGAATCTGTCACAGCTCAAAACCTGCCTGATTACCATCCTTGATCAAAAGTGAAATCCAAAAGTACAAAGGCCCCTATGTTGGCTGGCATCATGTAAGCCATTCCCAGCCAAACATTACATTTATCCATCAACTATGAGTACCCCTAATTTGTTTTCAACCTCAAGTTATATCCTGCTGTAAGAAAGTGCCTCAGAGTGATTTTTTTTTTTTTAAAAAAAAGTAATTGGTACCCAATTCACCCCCTCCCCCCTGCAAAAATCGAAAAATGGACGGGTCAATTATGGTATTCAAAGTTGAAATGCATGAAATCATAACCGCATAAATCATAAGATCTTAAAACCTTGTTTGCAGGGGATCTTGGTAATCTGATTTTGTAAGCTTTGGCTTTCCCAGCCAAAATGTTTGATGATTATATGATTTATGCACTCTATGATTTCATGCATTTCAACTTTGAATACCATAAGTGTCAGCCTTAGAGATACTCCATAGTATCCAAAAGACTGCTAAATGAATAATAAGTATTAAAATACTCCACATGTAATATAATATGTAGTAATATTATTTAATAAAACAATATTTCATAAGATTATAAAGGGGGTTGTCCACTGGAAGTATCCCCAAATTCCCACTCCTTCAAGGACTTTGTATATATTCAAACTCTTGAAAGACAAAAGGAATAAAATATATATAAATTTATAGAATAAAATTACTGTATATTAAATTAGGGTTAAATATACATTTAGGGTAACCTTAGAAATTTTATTCTGAAAGCATAATCAATTTATTAAAACTTGTAGAAAAGAAATTACCACACTATGTCAAGAGTGTGGCACTTTCTACTAGTAATATTCTATTTAAGGAGACACATGATGTAATTGGCTATAAACATGCATCATGATGTCATGGGACATAGAATATACATTATTTGAAATACCTTGAATTATTCCCATTACATCAGGGGAATAATTCTACCATGGTACACTAAAAGAGAGATTCTAGAATATTCTAAGGAGGGCCTCAAGGGGACTTCTAGAATATTTAAGGGGGCCTTCTCCTGCCTAGGATTGGTTCCTCAGCATATTCACCCCCAGTACACTTAGTGATTACAGTGAATATATTATTCTCTACCTACTTTTAGAGTAGTCTTTTTTATCCAATCCAACCCTACCTTCTTACTGGAATTATTATTAAGCTGAGAGTTATCCCAGACTCAAAACTTAACTAATTCCTTAAAAAGTAGTTGCTGCAAGACCACCACCTCTGACTGTAGCCTTTCAGCTCAGGTGCTTGCCAGCTACTTCTTGCAATATTAATTATTGCTTCCAAACACTCTACAATAACTTATTCTGTTATTGTCTCCTACAGTGCTCTCTTGATTATTCAAGTGTCTTTAACTGAGGAGTGTGGACTTTATAACCTCTTAAGTGGGAAGTTTGGACCACTTAATACTTTGAGGGTGACTAGGAGTAATCTTGGTCTTTAACCTGAGTCCTTCAGCACAGTGATAGTACTTGGCTCTTATATTACTAAGCCAAAGTTTCATACACAAAGCTGACAATAAATGGTGCTTGATCTAACAAGACAAAAACAATCATTTTTTGTAAAATGACAACCTTTGTGCTTATTTTTGAATTCCAATATAATTGGAAGAAGTGATAAAGTCTGGAATTTAGAGCCAGTTAATGCAAGTGAATCAATTGATTCACAAGTTAAATTCAATAATTTAAAATTGAGGCATAGGGTGATATTAATTAAGTTGGTTATGTATATACAAGATCTTATGTACAGTTTCCAGAAAACATGAATCCCAAAGGGAATTACTTCTGTCCTAGTTCCGAATGTCTATGGAATATGGACGCAAGTTCGAATTGAACGTCAAGGAGCAGTGGAAATCGACCTGTTCCGAGCTTTCATGACTCCCGTGATAATTTCTTCTGCTTCTCGCAGTAGACTATTATTGAATCAACTCTTGTCTTCCTATTGGTAGGAATTGGGAAGTCCTCAATCTCATGGTCTGGCAGGTTTGGTTTATCTTGTGGTGAGCTGTTTTCACTCGAAGTTCTTTTTCCTGATTGCAATGCTGAACCTGGTGGATCAGACCCCGTTGGAAGAGGAAGAATGCGTTCGGCTGCAATAGTTGTTTCGAGCATATCTTGCGGAAGTGGTGGGATTGACACGGCCACTTCTGGACACTGGTTGGCTACTGTGGCGTTGGGGGGTTGCATCGGCCGAGCATTTCTTTCGTTTTTTGAACTTTGATTTTCATTGCCCCTCTTGGAATCTCTTAGTTCTGGTCCTGATTCTGTTTGAGGTGGGAACTGGATCGAAGTCCACTGTTCATGTTGAGTGTTCTTTTCGTATACGTCAACGTTCAACCTTTCCGCACGGTTCAACAATTCTTTTCTTGTGTGATACGTTTGGAGGACGCTTTCGTACAGCTCTCGATCTTTTCGCCGACGCTTCCACGAGAGGACTGCAAGTAATACTGCCATTATTGGAAGGACGGTTGAAAACGCGATGAAACTGTTGGTTAGCGCAGACGGATTACCCTCGACCTCACTGGCTCGATCGAATAGAAGGGGTACCGATGAAGGAATTACTTTTTCGACATCGGGAGGTAGAAATCTGAATCCGTTATCCGGAAGGTCCGTTCGGTGTGTCTTCCCATCAACGCTCGGAAGGGCTAACACTAAGCTGAGTGCGACACTGAATACCGCCCAGCGAGACCCGTGTTGTTCAAGCACCCCTACTAAGGATAATTTTGAAGCCCAATTGAATATGTCGGTCCGGTCTTCACTAGAGCTATGAAACATAGTCTCTGTCAAGATTGCCTCGCTGCTGGTGGTGGTGTGAAAGCAAATCCTGAGAGGTACAATTGGAACAAACAAGGCAAGATTTCAAAATTCGGAACCACTTGGAACTTGGAAGTAGGAATTATTGGAAGGGTGGGGGCGGAGGACTGTGGTGGATGGAGCGTACGAGTTATTCCATCAAGACCGGCTGGTTATTAAATGTTGAATTCGAATCAAACCACGAGTGCAATAAGCTGTTCGAACAGACTCCTGATCAAGAAGCTTTTGATTCTCAATCATGAATAGTTGCTAGTGAGCTGAGTACTTTCGAGTGAGACCAGTAGTGTGCTTTCCAAAACTTGCCGATAATCGTTGGCGAGGATTATTCGGAGCTTTTACCAGATAGTGAAAGTAAAATAGGGTTAATGATGCAAAAGGAAGCTCATAGGTATAACTAAGAATGCGAAGAGTACAATAAAAACAAGCGAGATGAGAAAGTCTATCGCGGTTGAATTATACTGCTGCTTGGAGCCTAGTCAACCGTAAGCAAGTTTGGAAAGCAACGCTCTTCCTTTCCTGGCTCCGATTCTTGGCCTTTGTGTTGTCGCTAAGCTCTCAAGAACCTCCAGACACTGATATCACCCCGACTCGCGGCGGTTCACCTTAGCCCCATCTCCAAACAGTTGCCTGATGCTTCTCATGATGTTTCTATCTCTATGGCGTCCTTTGTTGTCTCGGCTGGGAATCAAAGTGATGGAGGTCATCTTTAATTCGAGCCAAGGTGAATGAGTTATCGGAGATGACATATTAGGCTTTGCATCTAGGCCTCGGTCACGATGACTCCGGTGCAACGCAAGAGCCGATAATGGCAGCAATGTGGACTTACTGCCTGTCAACGTAGCCTTGGTATCTTCATCACTCAAGTGTTTATCATCACCAGGCCAATATGTAACTAACAGTGTTAAGTTGGCGACCCTAAAACAGTCGGTTTATCCTCGTGGAATAATTTGATGTGGACTCGGCTGGAGCTTCCACGATGGAGAATCACACCACAAACCTGGTTGCGCAAGTGCGACAGATTGAAGAAGACCGGAGCAATCAGGCATCAAGTCGCAATAAGATGGAACTTTTGATCATGGCCCGCATGAAGTGCCTTGCTATCGCTTTCCATGGCAGTGATTTTATAAGCCACCGGCGGAAGCCGACCGTGTCCCGGTGACGCTCCGGCCATGCGAAAATCAAAGTAGCCCATGAGATGCTGCTCATCTCACCAAGATGGGCAAGATTTTCATTTGCCCAACCAAGCAAGCCGCCAAGTAACACAACATCAGTGTGCTAAAAACTTAAAAGACACGGAAAAAAAATTGTCTTCATAAAATAAGTTGACACATTTGGCTTCGCCAACTAGAAAGTACTTCACATCTAAGTGCACCCCAGAAACCTCAAATTGGCCCAATCAAAATCTTGCGTAGCTTCAGGCGCACATGCTATAACAACACGGTGTAAGTTGTACATGTACTCACCTTTGAGATCATAATTCCCCATGTGGCAGAGGATACTAGCTATTTTTGACCATTATCAACAATGAAAAAATTGGGGGGTTTTCATTTTTTTTTTTTTTCAATTGCCTTGGCAGCTGCAAGCTAAGTCCATGAGCTCCGAGGTATCATTCAATCAGACATAAGCCTCGTTCTTCCAACCTCATTTTTTTTCTGAGTCTACTTGAGAACCAACTTGTGCATTCAAACAGATATGTGTGCAATGGTTCGATCCGGTTTTACTACTAATGGTATTCATTGCTGACTTACTAATCCTGACTTCAGTTTATTTAATCTTGACTTCAGTTGATATTCAAGCTTCAATTAGGTGTAGATGACCGCTAAGGAAACAGCTTTATTTGATGTTTTCTCCCCATTTGAATTTCGTTTTGCAATTTTTGAGAATCTTATCGAGCTGGATTTTTATGAACAATAGTATCATTATTCTAGGATATTGAGGGCCAGAAAAAAAAATCGTTAAGGCGCTACATGTTGAGAGGAATATAAGAAGGCGTAAAAGGTGCGCTACAAATGCGGAAGGTGAAGAATGATTAATAGTTCCAATGCTTAAGATTAATATTATATAAGTCAGACGAAGGTCGTAATCTTTAATCAGGACTTGGGGCTTGATGAATGACGAGACGAAACAGGCGAATTGATAAAGTTGTCTTCATCTTCTTCATGTTCATCTTCAAATTGTAGGTGCTTTGATGAGAAGGGCAAGTCGTAGTTTGCTTTTTTTTGTATAGTTGAGGTTAGCAATCAAGAATAGGATTCTGTCATTTTTGATTATCTATGATGATTTAGCAGTCTTAGACTTACATTGATTGAATTCCCGGCTCATCTCGAAAACCTCATGTCCGTAGATTTGGTCCTGACCACCGCCATCTCGGTCTGCATCGGCATCATCGTGATCATGATCAGGTGGCAATTCCCTCCATCCAGGGCCGCGGGATCGACGGGAAAATAATGGCCGGTTGCCAACGGACGCTTCGCGTTTCCTGATGTTTGCGATTCTCTTTCGTTTGCAGTATCGGAACAATGTCCATCCGACCAGTAAGAATGATAGCAGCCCAAAAATTAGAGCAAGTGCCAAGATGATTTTCAGGCTGCCCAAGAGATACAACACAATCAATGACTAGGATTCAACAATGGACACAAGCTGCTTTTGTCCCAACAAAAACCTCCTCTGAAACCTTCACTCACCCTCTAGATGCACCAGAATTCTCAGATCTCCCAAGCCCCGGTAGATAACTAGATTCGGGCGGAAATGGTTTGTAGGTCGCATTTGGATCGGCCTTACTGGATTAGGTTATGAGGAAAAGAAAAAGGAAACTCAAGTCAATATGTAGAACTATAACGATTTGATGCTGAGATAAATCGATTCAATCGTGTATGTTTGTGGATGGCCCAACAAAAAAGGTGAACAGAACGAACAGTGCCGGATGATTCGGGTCCCCCGCACCTGCCCCGCCTCGCTTACTGAGAATCCTAGCTGACATCCTCGTCGGCGACCACGCCACTGCAAGTGCGGCCCAACAATCTATAGAGTGGAAGATGGGTTATATTCGGGCGATTTCCTGCTTGTTGGACCAACTTCGTTGTCGGAGTTGAAGTAGGCTGATGAGTTTTACTCCGACTGTTGGTCGCTCGAGCGACCGACCGAGATATAGAAATAAAGGTTTCGAAGGAGCTGAACCAAGGTTATGGTCCAAGACAAGTGACTCGATTTTGCTCTTTCCCCGTCGAGTGGTCTCAGAGTCTGCGTATGAACGAAGATCCGAAGGCCTCACACATAAACATAAATACAAGGGTGTATGGGGTTTGGTAAGAGGAGGTTTGAGTTGATGAACATCCTTTTGAAGAACTTTCAACTTTTAAAACTCGAGGATGGATATTCTCGAGAACAACGACAGACTTGTTTCAGCCTGGAGTTCAAGCCACAAAGTTTCCTTTCGGCCATCCATCCAGATCCATTCGCACCGTCTCCGTCCATCAGATCACTGGATCCTGTCCTCGATTCTCTGCAGTTTTGCAATGGTCATACATCCCACTGAATTTGCTCAGCAGCTGGCACCCTGGTAACTCAAAATCATTTGGGTTCTACAGTTGCCTTTGAGGTTGTTTTTACTTTGTGATCCTCATGGAAACCAGTCTGAAGAAAGGACCTTTCTTTTTTTGAAAAAAAGGAAAGAGTTGAGATCAATACACATAATTGGCAATTGCGATTACAGAACTCCAACAATATTCATACCAATCACCATGGCATGTCACTTTTTTGCACAACTTCAAGTGGGTTAATATTGGCCAACCTGGACAGGTTCTCCTCTCATTCTTTTTCTGGATTTTGTAAGAATGGGCAGTCGCTTGTAAGCGCAGTGTCTGTTAGGTTTTCAAAGAATAAAAAAACAATACCAAAAAAACCAACAGAATTGTCTTCAGTCTTTCATATCCTTGCTCACCTGGGGTTAATGCTTCCCACAAGATTCTAGCCGCAAACACCCAGTATGAATAATGAAGCATTACATTCCAAGTGAAGGGGTCACAAAATTGATGCTTGATGCTTGGGTGTGGACCCTTGGATTAATTATGATGTTTGACTACAGAATTTTCACATGATTTCTTGGATTGATTATTTGGGACTCTTTCAACAGAAGATTGCAATATGAGTCCAACAAGACAAGCTACAATCGTAATAGAAATTCAGGGATTGGAATGTGATCAACCAATCATTTTTTTTGTTTGATAATGATATCCACGGCCCCAGGGCGGGGACCAACAAACTTTTGAAGAGCAATTGGGTAGTTCAAATCCAATTGAAACAGGTTTATTACATACATCTTTGACCATGTTTTTGATGGAATTTAAGGATTGGTGGAGAGAAATTCTGGAATTATTAATCAGCTGATGAGAGGTTTTCAATTCCAAAAATCACTTGACACTATCTTCTTAATTTATTCAATACTCAAAGGTACCTTCCTTGCTTATTCTGTGCTCTGGAAATGTTGGGTTTCTCTCAACTATTCCAAGTTTATTATTCGTACATGTCATACTCAAAACAATAGAATAGAAGATACAGCCAGAATTTCAGTTGACTTGATCCTTCTTAATAATCCACTAGGATTCAGATTCTTAATCAACCAGAAGAATTTCGAGGATGTTCTAATTGAGTCGTGACAAAAAGGGTTCAAAGGTTCAAATTATGGGTATTTCACAAAAAGCAAAAAAAAAACAGGTTGGCCCATGATGGAACTGATAAACAATCAAAACAAATCATTCTCTCTTTTTTGGTGTGGATTATTATCATTTGACAAATCACAACTGTTATTATTAGTGGCAGTGGTAGAGGGGGATTTGAAAAAATAAAAATAGAAAAAATCATGCAAGTCAAAGTGTTATAATTTTTGTTTCATATTAGAGAAGCAGGAGGTAGATCCTGATTAATTGGTCACCTTGAGAAGCTGAAAGAGCCATTGATGGTTTTGATTGTACCAAATAACAAAGAGACAGCCCAACAGGGTATCTCCAAGGCTTATCATTGTACCACATTTGCTCTCCATTCAGTATGCTTTATAAAATTGGATTAGATTTCATTCTTTGTGGGCTGATATGCCTCATCCATTTTATCCAAATAGCAAAAACATCATGGGTCTCAAGAAAATTAGTGAGCTCATTGGCTGCACTAGCTCTACTGTCAATCCATGTTTCCTTTGGCCTCAGAAAGAAAAGCAATTTTCCTTAAGTGGTTGAAGTTTGAACCCATGGGAAAGAAACAGTTACAATTGTAAATGGATTTTCATCAGATGATGAAAGCTTGAAGATAAAGCGAATCCGACTGCCTTTGAAACTAGGCACAAGGTGTAACACAACAAGAGGTCGTTATGTAATACAAGAGAAGGTGGTTAACTATACTTATGAATGAATTAATTGACCCGTCAATGGGATTTTGATGAAGTTTCTTTTGTATAACAACTTCTAGAAGAAAGACAAATAGACAGACCGGAAAAAAATGAAGAAAGAATGAGAAATTGAGATCATTCAAGTGGTCGTGGTGGGTTTTTGTGAAGCGGTTTTGCCTTGGAGGTCCTTGAGTTCTTGAGGAAGGTCTTGGACGTTGAAGATCACGCCCTGGCGGCGGTTGGCGCGAGATGAGGTTGGGCCAGGAGTAACTTTGGGGGCTGCCTGCTGTGATGGTTTCAAGTTCCTGTGGCGGGTGTTTTCGCGTGAGGGGGCCCCAATAGGGCAAATTGGCGAATCTAGATCATAAACAACGGGCATTTTGGTCTGTCTGGGATGTAAAGAAGGACGATGAAAAAAGGGACATCAGACAGTTGGTGGCCAAAGGAAAATGGAATGTAAGAAATGGATGAGGAATAGGATTTAATTACCTTTTTTTTAAGAAGTTGGGGGGGGGGGGGAAGCCCCGAAGGACTTCTTGATCGATGCGCTAAGGGCCGGCCTTCTGAGGGTTTATCAAGAGGACATAAAAGTGCAGAATTCAATTTCTGGTTCCGAGAAGGGGAAGGTACGCGACACCAGAGGATCAACTGTAACTCACTTGCTATGAAGGTTGAGAGGGGGAATAGGGAGGATGTGGTAAGGACGTAGGATGTGGGAGGTTGAGAAGGAGAGCTTGACGGTCCGGCAGTGTCTGTATTTAAGCAAGACGTCTCACTGCTCAGCAGTCTACGATGCTGCTGAGGCAGTACCTCACTTTTGTCCTTTGTCCTTTGTAGCTCGTACGAGCTTACTTTATTTGGCCCTTTGCTGAGCTGGCCACAGATTGGAACGTGATCGGAACAATCAGCACGCGCTAATTGTGGACGGTGATTGGCCAGAGGAAATGAAACTCTATTCACTTGTAGCTTTGCAAACCCAGTACGCAATAGTAATTGTTTTGCGGCGAGTTTTTTTGGTCAACAAGTCATGTGATCAAAGGCAGTAGGGTTTTACTAAATAAACGCGTTGAGCAGTGTCCTTGCATTCTTGATGCGACAAGCATTGAGTCCATGTAAGAAATTCAAACAATCTGCAATCCCTACAGACTGGCTCCCAATTGTTATTTCCTGCTTAAGAGAGAGCTGGGGAGATGAAGAGGCTCAGAAATGGTATTCCAGCTGGGTGAGCTACTACTTAATAGTTATCTGGATCATCACCGTTCCTAGTCTCGATCATCAGAATTATAAACTACCTTAATTCTTTTCAAACACGCGTTCCCCCAAGTCACATGGAGCTGGACAGAGCCAACATTATCTTAGCAGCTTTGTGAATTCAAAATTGGCTGTGATTTAATTTTTGAGGAAGTCTCATCTTTTCATTGGAAGGCTGTGCCTGTGATTTGAATTGAATTGCTGATCTTGCGCTAATTTGATAAAGTAGAATAAGAAAACTCAAGTCATCGTTGGGCCTGTCCATCTTTATTCCCTTCAACTTGTAAAAGTAAGGTATTTGACTTGAATGCAGGGAGAATGAAGTCAATAAAGAAGGGGACACAAGCACTGAGGAAGTTGTATTAGATCAAGAAGGCGTGAAGTTGAGGCTACATTGAAATAAACTGCCTTTGAAACTAGGCACAAGGTGTGATGAGAAAAGAAGAGATGGTTATCTGATACAATACAAACAGGAGTAATAGAAGGATGATTGAGTTTAACGGTACATTGATATGAGCTCTAATTTTTTAGGCATAGAAATACAGACAGATATCCAAGAGAATGAACCAAGAAAAACTTATAGCCAAAATCTGAGACAATTAATTTGAACTAGGAAGCTGAAAGTGGATGAATAATTAGTGATTTATTTTTGAATCAAAAGGATAGTTGATCGATTATGAGTACTTACTGAATTGGGAATTCAAGTCGGACCGGTAGGGTTTGATGAGCCAGCGTTACCTTGAAGGTCCTTGAGCTCTTGTGGAAGTTCTTGAACGTTGAAGACCATGCCCTGGCGGCGGTTTGGGCGAGATGGGGATGGGGCAGGAGCAACTTTGGGGGCTGCCTTCTGCGGTGGCTTCAAGTTGCGGTTGCGAGCAGAGTCGCGTGATGGGGCCCCAATAGGGCAAGTGGGTGAGTAAAGGTCGTAAACAACCCGCATCCTTCCTACTAATGGTATGGGGCAGGGGACAAAAAGCAAAGAGAATTCAGGATTTGCTCAGAAAATGTTGAATAGAGGGAGAGAAGGGGATGAGAGAGAACTGTTAGTTTACCTCTATCTAAGTGGGGGGGGGGGGAGCCCCCACGAGTATGAGTTTTCCTTGATGTGCTAAGGACCGGCTTTCTGAGGGTTTTTTGTAGAACGGGAAAGAGCGGCTGCTGCTACGATCTAGTTCCGAGAAGGGAAAGGCGGCGGATTTCCTAGAGGTGGGTCGGAGGAACTCTTACTTGTGCGCTGCTTGGGTTGAGGGGTGGGCGACGGTCAAGCATCCGGTCTATTTAAGCACTACGGCTCAGCGACCACTGCTGCTACTATGATCGTACCAGCACTGCGGCCCTTTGTCCTTTGCACGCGGTTATGGTATTTGGCTCTCCGCTGAGCCTGCCACATATTGGAACGTGATCGAAACAATCAGCATGTTCTAATTGTGGACTGTGATTGGCCAGCGGCAGTCTAACTCTATTCTCTTGTAGTTTTACAGACTCAGTACGCGACCATGATTGCATTGCGGCGAATCTGTTCCGGTTCTACACGATCACCGGTAGTAGAGAAATAGTGAATGTACCCGGTACCAGCATCCTCGAATCATTGCCGTGGAAAGTATTCATTGAACGCGGCGAATCTGTTCCGGTACTACACGATCACCGGTAGTAGAGAAATAGTGAATGTACCCGGTACCAGCATCCTCGAATCATTCATTGCCGTGGAAAGTATTCATATAGAACTTTAAAGGTACTACAAACACTTACTACTGCATACACACCAGCTCCTGTTTTACGCGTTTGTTTCCCAGATGGCCGGAGGATGGAAATGGAGAGACTTTAGCAACTGCCTATGGTTTCAGCTAAGTTAAAACCAAGGACTGAAGAAACAAATGGGTTCAATTGAGCGAGTTCTTTTAGCTTGATCACAACAAAAAGCCTAGGTGGTAATGCAACTCTTTACGCAAATCTAAGAGCGCAATATACGTCTTATAATTTTCCGCTTCAGCGGAGGTGTTCACACTTGTAACTATACCAGCGAGGGAAGCAAGTACTTTTGTTGCAAGCAGGCGGCTCCAAAGCTGATAGAGATAGAACAACTGGTACATCTGGTCAAGAAACCAATCTTCACATTTGTACCAGGGTTTCCTCGTGGACCTCACTTGAAGCTGCAGCACCCTTCAAGTCAAGCTGAACATTCTATGTGGCAGCCCACACAAAGGATGTCGGCTGGAAAGCTGCTCCGAACCTCAACCTCAGCTATTTCTTTTCAGGCGACAGCTCATTCCAGCATGGATGAAAAGCTCAGTTCAGTATGTATGAAAGGCGCAATGAGCTGCCTCGATAGCAGTAGACCCGATAGATGTGAAATGCATAGGTTCTCTGCACTCCACCCGTGAGGCCTTTGCCAGTGCTGCTACAGTCAGGCTAAGCCTTAATGAAACGCTTAAATAGACGAAAGGTTCCAGGCGTACCATACCCCTTCTTCATCCCACACCGACCATTCCCTTGCTTCACTTCCCATCTTCTCCTAGACGCCAACTAAATAAATAAACAACTAACTTAGTCCAATAAATATAAAAGATGGATGCAAGAGTATTACTTGACACTGAAACGGCCTTGTTGCACCTCACACCAGAAGATCAGCTGCTCTTTCGAAATCTTTTTGAAACATTTCAAGAGCTTCACTTCGAGTTACACAACAACCCTCTCCGGGGCCGCTTGACTGACGAAGAATTCGCCCACTACTCTCGATATCACACTCAAGCTGAACAAGCGATGGGATGTATGGGCGACGCCGACTTTCTACGCTTGAATTTATTATGGTCGCATTGGACGAATGTCATTGGCCGCCTGGAGTTGGCTCGCGACATCTCCTTCAATAGACGAAAAGCTCGGGTCACATCACAATTGGACATTCTTTCCAGACGAACCGCCGCCGATGAGACATCAGTCCCCGACGGTGCCTCTGAATGCGTGGTTTGCATAGAAGGGCTCGTTCGATCCGAACAAACCGTTGTTCAACTTCCATGTTGTCACTTTTTTCATCGAGACTGCATCCAAGTAAGCAAACTTCTCTAAGCTTCGTCCATCCCAATTCCTCGCTGATCTTTATCTATTTGTGCTCCACTGCACCTGATGAGATTTCTGGAGTGCAGCCAGATCCCTGCACAAGGTGCGCAAAAATCCACCCACACCGCATCCAGCGCCTGCGGGCCGGTGATGTTTTATAATTGCATAAAATATTTGAGTCTGTTTTGAAAAATTTTTGAACTTCTTTTTCATTTCTTTTTGATTTCTTTTTCGTTTTCAAATACTTTTCAAATAAAAAAAGCCGAAATCCAAAAACTTTGTTTATAATCAGGGCCTCCGTCGACTTGGCCCTGCATAGTATGGGATGACCGTCCAGCTGTATCCACAGCAGTCTGTCGAGCTTGTTTGAATGATTTAGCAGTCTCGAAGCAGACACCGTTGCATGAATCATCAAAAGTAGTTTACTAACAAGATTTTCCGGATTACCAATAATACTGGTGTTTCAAAGTGGATTGCGATGAAATTTCCTTGTCAGCTCTACCCAGCAGTAGACGACCTACTCCCTGTAAAAGGCCCATTGAGAAAAGAAATGACTGAGGGATATGAATCATAAGCACAGATAAAAGGTCCACTTGCCCTCTGAACTCCATTTCTACAATTGTTTGTGATCTCATAAGGGAGAGGGATTTTACCCATAGCCTGAAAGGATCTTCTCAATTGGATGGGTGCCGTTAATGGTTGAATTTCTTCATGAGTTCAGAAGAAAATAGACAATTTGGTAGCATCGCATGCTGGGGAGCAAAATAAATCCCTCCTCTTTCTATGAGTATGAGCTGTGCTCAATTGACTTGTGTTACATAGTTCGACTGCTTATAAGCAAATAAGTGAAGATAATCCCTTCGTGACCATAAGCTTTGATGATGACTCCAGAGACAGATCTAGAGTTACGGCTGTAGAGGCTAGATATGACTAGCGAGACTCATCTTCATACAAAGTTACAAACCAGATGGCCACAATCAAGATGGTTGATTTGAATACCACAACCAGTTGATTCTAGGATGCCCCCCCGGTGATTTCTCCCCCGCTTCCCGCTTCCCGCCAACCCCTCATTCCCCCTAACCCGCTCTCCTCGCCTTCCCCACCGTCGATCAACCACCCTTGGACAGTCGGTTGCCCTCGACCACCCCACTCTGACTTCAACCACCACATCGACGGTCAACAAGCAAAAACAACAAGAAAAACATCCTACTCACTTATCATCATGATCGAAACACCTCGCAAACGCACCTTTGGGTCCATCCATTCATCGTCCAGTCCTAACTCATCATCCACTCGACAACGAGATCAAGACAACCCATGGTTCAGGGATCCAAGCCAGCAAGATAAGAAAGAGTACAAGGCCAGGAAGAACGAACACACCTCCTCACCACGATCCCGTCCATCTCATCATCGAGTACGATCTCCTCCGCCCAGTGGAGGAGACCGATCTAACCAACAATCCCACGATGAGAAGGAGCGTGTTCCTACTAATGGATCGAGACCTAGTGATGAAAACCGTGATTCAACTATCCGAGGCTTAAAAGAGCCAGGGCCGGCCAAAAAGTCCACCCCTGTACCTTCAGATGATACCGTTGAAGATGGAGAGTAAGTTACCTACCTCTCAAACAGCTTTCTTTGTCTGATTTGAACTCACGCCTCACCCTTTTTGATTGGCATCTTTTTCCGCAGAATCGCTGAGGGTGCCCCCTCCTCAAACCACTCACCTTCCCCTTCACGGCGGTCTCAATCTGTGAAATCTGATCGCGACCGTCACCGTGACCGAGCACGCGAATCGGATCGTGAACGGCTCCGTGATCTTGACCGCCCCTCCATCCGTCATCGTCAGCATGATTCCGATCGGGATCGTCCTCGGGACCGTCCTCGAGAACGTCGAGTCGACAGTCGTGAACGGGAGTATGTTCGGGATTCACATCGCGAACGAGAACGTCGGAAGGATCGTGACCGTGATCACGGCCGATTCGCTCCTCCTCCCTCATATTCAGACCACCATAGGCGCTCTCCTGATCGGGATCGGGATCATCCGCGTCGTCGGTTCGCCCAAGAAGAGCGATCCAGTAGACATCATCGGGAAGATTATCATCGACGTAACTCGGAGCGCAGGTCTACGGATAGCACCCAGCTTACTGGTGACCATCTTAGAAGGCCATCGACCTCACATAACCATAGTACAAAACAAGATGATAATGATGAAGACAAAGTTGATGATAATGATGAGGCGACCGGTGTAGCTGAGCCCACGCCACAGCTGACTGAAGACGAGATACTAGAACAAGCACGTCGTAAAAGAGCTGAAATCTTAGCTAAGCATAAACAGCTGTGCCAGACTGTTAACCCATCCGATGTTTTTACTATGACCACAGATCCCAGCCTGCGCGTTGTTCATAACCCCCCTACAGATCCACCGAAGTCTTCAACCTCCTCAGCCACTTCAAATCCAATCCCGACCAAGGCTAACCATCTCCCCCTTCTACTTGATCCCACTTCCAAGGTTGCTGACCTCAATAGTCCTGCCGCTAGAATGCGGCTTGGATCAGACACTCCTCAACCAACCCGGATCGGATCCGAACAAAGCTCTGGTAAGTCATCTGGCTACTGTCACCAGATTACCCCCCCCCCCTTTTGTCTACTGCCACGACATCCCACCGGAAGTGTGTTTCACTTATCATTGTTTGAACCTTACATCCATTGTATTAGATTCGGCCGCCGGCTCTCCTGAACCGGTTGCAGAAACCAATTTTGATTTGACACAAGATCCTAATAATCAAGTGTCGACGACCACTATCGATGACGAAGAATCCGTGGCAGCAAACCATCCACTGGACCAGCAAACAATTACTGGTGTAGGTCATCAGAGCATCTCAGCTGCTGATTACAATCCAGATGACGATCGTCGGATCGACAATGAACGACAAAACGAAAAACATGTCAATGGACACAGACTCGGCGAACAGCCCCCTCCTCCAGACACTCAACCCGGAGGAAACCTTTCCGAACGCGAGGGAGCAAACGGTATGGACGTAGATGAGAACGGTGATGATGATGGCGGTGATGATGACGATGATGATGACATGTTTGCGATTGATTCTACTGAGAAGAAGGCCAAAAAGAAGAAAGCTACCAACGGGAACAATCCCAAAAACCCTTTGAACCCATCTGCTCCATTTTTACCTGTAAGTACTACCACAGCGCTGTTATCAAAGATTCAGTTTCGACGCTTCCAAGATTACTAGATAAGCTAACCATATGTTGGTTCGGAAAAGGTTATCAATCGAGCGGGTACGGATGCCGAAGTGGTCGATAATTTTGATGACGCCGATGGTTATTATCGCGTCATATTGGGTGAGCTACTAGACAATGGTAGATACCATGTCCACGCAAACCTTGGTAAAGGGATGTTTGCATCAGTCGTGCGTGCCAAGGATATGTCTTCTGCTAAGGATGGGATCCAAGGCTCTGGCAGTGATGTCGCTATCAAAGTGGTCAGAAGTCAAGAGAGTATGTAAGTCTAGTCTTCTCGCCTTCTTCTCTCACCTTTCATCAGCTTACGATTTAGTGTCACTTGATTGGTTCGATTGATACTTACATGGTATGTTTGGGTAGGTTCAAATCTAGTCAGAAGGAGGCTGGTATTCTCAAGAAGCTTCAGGAGGCTGATCCAGCTGGCAAGTACCATATCATCAGACTTGAACGGACGTTCGAGCATCGAGGCCATCTTTGTTTAGTATTTGAAGCCATGAGGTGAGCTTCACATGGAGTATTTATGAGAACTATAGCCATCATAATTGACATATTTGCCATTGATTTTTCGCAGTATGAATTTGCGAGAAGTGGTTAAGAGGTTTGGCAAGGACGTCGGCATCAATCTAAGAGCTGTTAGGGCGTACGCCCATCAAATGTTTTTGGCTCTATCACTCATGAAAAAATGCAACATTATGCATGCCGATTTGGTAAGCTTATTACTATTTAGAAATAGGATTATAATCAAAATTACATTTGGCAGCTGCTGAGTTTTTTTTCATCAACTTTCCTCACCTGTTTGTCATCCCCCTACCACAGAAACCGGATAACATCCTGGTCTGTGATATTTTCCTCCGAGTTCATGACAACTACTGTCCAACAAAATCATTGATGAATCCGTTTCCAATATTCTTGTCCTTGTGCATTATCTCAATTTAGGTCAGTGAGACGAAATCGGTCCTCAAGGTCTGTGATCTTGGTTCCGCCTCCGACGTTACCGAAAATGAAATCACCCCCTACTTGGTCTCGAGGTTTTATCGTGCCCCTGAAATCAGTTGCGTATATTCAATTTTTGAGAATACTTGTCTTGTGCGGTGAAATCTCGTGCTGATCTGCATGGCCACATTCCTTAGTCCTCGGCTTACCATATGATTGTTCCATTGACATCTGGTCGATTGGATGTACACTGTATGAACTCTACACCGGTAAAATCTTGTTTCCTGGCAGAAGCAATAACCATCTATTGTTGCTGATCATGGAATTAAAGGGGAGATTTAATTCGAAACTATTGAAGAAGGCGAAGTTCTCCAATGTTCACTTTGATGACGAGAACGGGAACTTCTTGAGTGTCGAAAAGAATCGGATCACTGGTACCGTAAGTTTCATTCTATCTTGAACGTGTTTCGATGTTCGGACAAACCCACTGATTTTCAGCATCATCTTTTGAATGGTTGTAGGATATTGTCAAGAGTATCAATATCCCCAACAAGCCCACCCAAGGACTGCAGAGCCGATTGATGCCCAATCATGTGACCAAGAAGATGCAAGACGCGGACGTGAAACTGTTGAGTGCGTTCGTCGATCTCTTGGAGAAGATTCTCACCTTGGAACCCAGTCGTAGAATCTCGCCTAAGGAAGCCCTCAATCAGTCAGTGCTTTCTTTTCTCTCTCCTTGAAGTCACTCTTCTGTGAACTTGCTAAGCATTCAGGCTAATCTCTTTCCATTTTTTCTTTGGGCGACTTGGTAGTCCTTTTATCCGCGGGATCTGATCTCTGAGTTCCGTGTTCTTTCTTGATATCTTTTGTCCCCCTCTCCCCAGTCTGTCATTGGCATCATCTACCTCTCTCCATGCATGCACGCACAAGCATATCCAGTTTTGATCAGCAAAGCTCCCATTTGACCTTATCCTTGTAGTTGAATGACCGGTTGCTTGCTCTAACACTCTCATTTCCTTCTCCTCCCTCTTTGCTTTGTAACATCCTCATTTAACGTTTAAAGCACTATCAAAAAAAACATATATATCTTTGATTCTAATTATCAACAACCAAAAAGAAATCTTTCCTGTCTCTCCTGTCTTGGTTTTACCTGTGTGTACATCACAGAGCTTGTTTTAGAATACATATATGAATAAACAACCATTATCGATCTCAGAACTCTTGTATAAGCAAGGCTGTCAGTGGCTGAAGACAAGTAGTTCTCACAGATTTTATCTTGATTGAGATATCTTCACTCTCCTTACTGTGGCTTTGAAGAGCTTTCATTGTATTCTAGATACAGTTTGACTTATGAGCAAGCAATCTCTATGCATCTCTGATTCTTCAATTAGCCATGTATATATACATCTTCATATGTGTCTTTCTAGGTTGTGCTTGCTAAATTATGGAGGAGACAATCTGGTTGGAAGCTATGAAGGACTTTGGGATAAAACTATCAAGAGATGCATATTTAGTTGATGATTTGTCTAGCCCATTGAGAAGCAGGACTGTATCCCAACTGTTTGAGAATGGGTTGCTGGAAAGAATTTGTGGTCCCAGAGCTATAAAAAGACTTGGAAATGTGAATGGTTCTTATTGGTACATGATAAGTATACAGACTGAACTAAATATATAGAAGAAGGTGAAGATTGGATAATGAATTCCAAGGAAACAGGAAAGAGTGAGAGATGCTGCAACATAATGAACTACAAAGCTCCAGGCTCAAGTTTTTGAGAAGCTGACATTTCCAAAAATTCAACAGTCCAGGTCAAACTTAATTGGGAGTCTGCAGTGAAATTAGAAATATGTTCAATGCATATGGGTTTTCTCTTCAGATCTTCAATGCCTGAAGGGTGTGTGAAGGAAAGAGACCTGCTCAAATAGACCATGTGTCTGTTTACTTCCTTGAACTTCTTTCTCTCACATTAGTGGTGACTAACCCCAGGAAATGAATGAATCCAGAGATTCAACAATGATTTAAATAGTGAATTTATACATCTACATAGCTAGGGATGCTTACCATCTTTTTGTCCATGTAATTGACATGCAATATGAGTTTTCTTGAGGGACATGTTTCAGCAACAAATCCAACAAAAAGGATTGCAGTCTAGCCACGGATTTTCTATGTCAGCCAACTGTCACAATCAAACTCGATTTCTGAGTGTTACTGCAGCAATCCTAATGCTGAGAAAATTTCTCCAGAAATACATGTCACTGATCCTGATTCCTAGGGATTCCAGTCTAGGTTAAACGTTTGCTCCGGAAGTTGTATACAAATTAGAGCAACTCCAGCGCAGGTGGTATATCCGGGGTGGTATAAGCCGGATTTACCACCCGAGTTTCAGATTTACCACCTGAGATCAGGCAGGGCCGCCACCGCAAAGTGGTAACCACGACCCAAATCTTCATGAAAGGTCACCCCCGGTGGCATACCTGCAACCCCGGTTGTTGTCCCCCCAGCTTGTTTCACCGTTGTTGTTGTTTTGCTTGTTTCACCATTGTTGTTTTTTTTCTTGATTCTTTTTTCAAATCCTTCAAGTTCCCTTCCTTTCAAGATGGATATAGATTTTAATCAAGACCTTGACTTCGACACTCATCTGCAAGTTGTACTCCAAACTCAGCGTATGCTGTTTTCAAACGGGTTGAATCAAAGATTGTCAATAATCAATTCCACAAACATGTTGTTCAGCTTGAGAAGAGAGGATGAAGAACAGCCGGTGCACGGTGGATCTAGGCCTGGTCGCATGCCCAACTTACCTCGAGATTTTGAAGCAGGCTACAACAAACTTTTCAGCGACTACTTTGCTGAAGATCCTGTCTATCCAGATCACATGTTTCGAAGACGATTCCGAATGCGACGCCCTCTTTTCTTGAAGATCTTTGAAGACATCCAAGAAAATGATGATTACTTTGTGCAGAAGGCTGATGCCTTGGGAAAACCTGGTCTAAGGCCTCTACAAAAAATTACCTCTGCTGTTCGGATGCTTGCCTACGGTGGTGCCTCTGACTTGAACGATGAATACCTCCGCCTTGCCAAATCAACTTCCAATGAAAGCTTGCTCCGATTTTGCCAGGCAGTCATCCAAGTCTACGGAACTGAATATCTTCGACAACCCAACGCTGATGATTTAAAGCGACTGCTTGCTATTGGAGAGAAGAGAGGATTTCCAGGGATGCTTGGATCCCTGGATTGTATGCACTGGGAATGGAAGAATTGTCCATCCGCTTGGGCTGGGCAATTTCAAGGAAAAGAGAAGGTGAATAGTTCATCACCGATACGCCATCTTGTGAAACCTCAACAGTTGCAATCCTCCCACCCCCCGATATCTCTTGGCTTTAGAGCAACTCCAGATCAATTTATCAACGGAACTACGATGGTCTCGAATCCTGCCCCTGTTTTGGACCCGCTCCTTGTGATCAATGTTGAGGAAACCGAAGGTCATTGAAGATGTCTATCTCCTGCTTGGTTTCATTTCTCACTTGCTGATTCATCCTTTTTTTCTGGATCCAGATCAAGTAAACAACAATGCGGGCAAGAAAGAAAAGCGAAAAAAGGGACCGACCTATCAAGAACACGAGGATTCTCAGTTATGCTGCTCCTGGATCGAGGTCTCTGAAGATCCTAGTGTTGGGACGGATCAAGCGGGTACTCGATTCTGGGATCGCATCTCAAAGTGCTACCACGATGCTATTCCGCTTCCAGTACGACCAATCGGTAGCATCAAAGGTCGCTGGCAACTCATATCACACGCTGTCAGCAAGTTCAGTGGTTGCGTCAAGCATATCGATCAGTTAAATCCAAGTGGTGCCTCCTCCGAAGATCGCTTGAGCAGGTCGCTCTCACTCTTTGCGGAGCTTCAAGGAAAAACCTTCACCTACCTTCAATGCTACAATATTCTCACCTCGTCCCCCAAATGGCATGAGTATTTCCATGACCAAGAAAACAAAAACATCGAAGGCCCAAAGAAAAAGAATAATAAACGCGCCAGAAGCCCGAGCAGCGAAGCACCCCCATTGAACTCTGAACAAACCTCCGATACTGAGACTCCCTCTGCTGCTCCAATGTCGACCGATCGATCCGAGCCGGATCGACCTAGTGGGAAGAAAAAAGCAAAAGCAGCTATTAGAGACTCTGCGGCCGAGACACATGTAATGAAGGATATGGCTACAGCTCAAGCCGAGATAGCCACTCAGTCTAAGCGGCAAAATGATATCTATCTATCTCAGACTGAGACAATGAAGATCATGGCCAATGCTGCTATCATGAATAAGGACATCAGCGGACTCGATGATGTGACTCAAGAATTCTACAAAATTCAACGAGAGCAGATCATGCTTCAACTCCGTGAACGATCCAAAGCAAATGCAGTCGAACAAGCAAAACAAGCTGAAGTCGAAAGAGCTAGATCGGCCGCATCGGCAACTATTTCGACTCAAGGTAGCACTCGCTCTCAAGCTAGTGACAGTACTCAAACTCAAGCAACCACTAGATCTATTTCTCAAGCCAGCACTCGCACTCCAACTCAAGCAACCACTAGTACAACCTCAATTGATATAGCCTAGTAGTAGTACTGCCTCAATTTATATAGCTCATAGTTGATCATGTACTTCCTTATGTCATCATCTTCTTTCTTGCTTATCAACTTTGGTTATTGATTTACTGTCACTACTCATTGTTTGATTATACTGTTCTCAATTCTTCATCTGATAGAATGAAAGCAACAACAAAAAAAATTATTCATCTGATCGTCCTCTGATTTCCCAGAGGTGTTTGATCAGATCATTCCTTAAAGTGACATGAGTTGCCTTGCGAAGCAAGGCACGGACATTTGATATAAATTGAGAAAAATCGGCCCTAGCATTCGATCGTTCAACATTGACCTCGGAAACCGTTGCCGATGTCTGATAAAAGTTTTCTATGTTGACTCCGCACTCATCCTCCACAATCATGTTGTGGAGGATGACACATGCTTTCATGATAAGCTGTAGATTCCCATGTCTCCATCCTCGAGCCGGTCGTGACACAATCCCAAATCGAGATTGAAGAACACCAAAGGCTCTTTCCACGTCCTTCCGACAAGCCTCTTGCATCTTTGAGAAGTGTTTTCTCTCAAGTCCTTGAGGCTGGGATATGGTCTTGACTAGTGTAGCCCAATCTGGATAGATTCCGTCTGCAAGGTAATAACCTTGTCGGTAAGTGTTGCCATTCACGACAAACTCGCAGCTTGGAGCCTCTCCATTGAGGAGGCTTTTGAACAGAGGTGAGGAGTCCAATACGTTGATATCGTTATTGGAGCCTGGCAAACCAAAATAGGAATGCCATATCCACAAGTCTTGTGAGGCTACGGCCTCCAAGACAATTGTGGGCACCTAAAGCAATGGAAACCAATCAGAATCTGAAAAGACAAAAATATCGGTGATGAACTATTCACCTTCTCTTTTCCTTGAAATTGCCCAGCCCAAGCGGATGGACAATTCTTCCATTCCCAGTGCATACAAAGTATCAACAGATCAGGATATATAGATACTTTTTTTGTGCAATCATTTAATTCCCTCAGCTTGTTATTGTAGAATGGAAATAGAAGCCAGTCAAAGGCTCACAATTGATCTTCTCTACGTCAAACTAAACATAGGCAATTTTATTTGATCTTCAACACATCGCATCAATAACTTAGGGAATGCAATGCTTGACTTGAGTTCAGACTTCCTTTCTTCTTTTAACACCTCTATCAAGATGCTGCAGTACGGATAAAAAAACTCAAGAGAAAAATCACTTTTATCATGTTCAGATTCAACATTTCGATTTTATCACACAAATTCTTCATTTTGCTTTTTGCAGTAGAATGTAACCTCAGCTAGGATCTGACTTGCCTATCCACAAATAGACTTGAAATAAGCTCGTTCACAACAAAAGGAGGAAACCTCGATACCCTCCAAGCTAAATTACATAGCACCTTCAACTAGTAAAGGTCCAGACCTTCAAGACTGTTGTTCAAAGTGAGCCTCATTACGAAACCCCATTCTTTGTTAGCTAAATTTGTTTGTTCCAGCATTTCTAATGGGGGTGGCATTGTGCTAGACTCTTGTTACCGCTACCAATAATCTGTATGATGGTCATAATTATGTCATGAGACCAAGTTTTGAATCCGATATATTGGCGATCATCTTTGACTCTCAAGGATGATCTCCCCCTTTTGGCATCCGCATCTCTTGTTCTGGTGCAAGACTGAGTCCGGTGGGTTTCCCATCTCCCTTCTACAACTTATCATCTGCAGTTGACTAATGTCAACTTATCATCCTTAGCATCACTATCTCGCGGGAAGGCTCAAGCTATGTCAACAATCAAGAAGCGAAACTCATGTCTGTTCTGGTCGCCTCATTCCTCAAGCTCCTCTCTTTGGCGTGAGCAACACAAAATTCAGTATATCAGCCATTGAGTGCCAATCTTACTCTGTGGAACGGAGTTCGATATCATCCCCCACCAAACGCCATGGTCGTTCGCCGCCTTCCTGGAGGGTCCGACCTTGGAACACCAACTGGTTCTAATTCATCGGCTCCAGCTTCGGGGCAATCTACAAGCTACCAGTCAACCGGAACCCCTTCAACCACAACTTCATTGACCTCGACCCCAAGCGCCCAAGCCACCGGAACTGCATCACCTTCCTCCGCCAGCTCCTCCATCGCGTCAACAGTGACTTCAACTTCTTCACAGGTGCCGACTGCCTCTCCAACTCCAGTGACAACCCAAACCTCAGACCTTTCAGCCTCTCCAACACCAACCAATGTTCCGGAACAGATCACCATCACAGCAAGCACCGAGGGGGTCACAGAGAGCGCTCCCCTTCCCAGTTCATCCCTCACCGAATTTAGTGAGCCGATTTCAAGTGCACCCTTACCAGATGCTTCGGCTGCGCAACAGTCGCCAGAACAGACAAGTGAATTTACCGGTACTATCATAACCGCTGTTTGTTGTGAGTTTCCTCTTCCCATGCCGGAAGCCACTGGGCCGAACTGCACCGAATGCGCTGACCGGCCTGAATCTCTTAGTCGGGTTCTTCACCATTCTTTTTGCGACTATCGTTGCCGTTTGCATATTGCGGAGAAGAAGACGCCAGGAAGTGGACCATCGGACAAGTAGAAAGCTCTCGAAATGGCAATCCCACAATAACACATTGAATCGATCTTTTGACTTTGGGGATTCGGTTTACAATCCACAAACCCCAAGTTTAAGAGTTACCACCCCATTCACGGAGGGTGATTGCTCTACTATTTGGGTCGTGGTTACCACTTTGCGGTGGCGGCCCTGCCTGATCTCAGGTGGTAAATCTGAAACTTGGGTGGTAAATCCGGCTTATACCACCCCGGATATACCACCTGCGCTGGAGTTGCTCTTAGGATCTCAAGGTGGATGGGCCCATGCAAGATTTTGGGAATACCATACTCATGTGATCAAACTGAGGTGGAGAAGTATTTAGAAGGGTGTATTGCAAGGTATTTGATATGCATTTTTGCAGAACAAAGTTTGACAGTAGGGCCGACGTTGAGCAGCAAGTTGGATGATAAAGTCCTTGAAAGGGCTGCTATGGCGTGGCTTGATTTGCATATATGCAAGTTGGATCAAATCCAACAGATGTCACATCGTGCTGGCAGTGAAGATTGTGGTCTGTGACAGGGTTAGATGCCAAATTTTGGAAACTCTGTGAATCAGCACATTTGAAGGGGCACAACAGATACAAAATCAAACAACTCTTTCATGGATATGTCTGTCAATTAGAAATTATCTATATTTTTGCCAAACTGGCACTGACCTCCTCTTCAAAACAAAAGTCATCTTATAAATGCATGAATGTTATATTAATGTATGTGGTACATTTTCTTATGTGTTGTCTCAGATTTCCTTTCGATTGGGGCTCATCTGAGCGAAGTCATTGAGGTGGTTTATGGAGTTAAGGCCGATGGGGATTGTGTTCCATCTCCTGATGACTATCTACCAAGTGGTTGTTGCTGTTGTTGTTGACCACTTCCTTCCTCCTATGTATGTAGCAGGCTCCCCCCACTTCCACTCTTCATCTCTCCTGACCACTACCAATCCAATCCTAGTAGTACATACTCGATCAGCTTCACCATGGACAGCTTCGCCGATGGATCCAAGAGCATTCTTCAGGACGACACTCAACCTTACCCTCACCCAAACAACCGACAGAGACATCTCGAAGCACTCGACAGGCCTACAAAACGAAGGAGAAGCATCAGTCCGTTGAGCGACAAATTATCAAGGGTGAGCTCATCATCATCATCTTCTTCTTCTTTACTGTCAACTGACACTGTTCGCCCTGTCTATCTGATCTTCATGTGAGAAGTGCAAGAAGCCAACACTTATCCATCACCATCTTCAAACGGCGCTGACGAAAACGAAGAAAGAAGAGCATTCATTAAGCCCGTCTTGCAAGTCCACCCCGACGATCAGTGCGGCAGTCGATAGCATCAACGAGCGAGCGACTCGCTTGGGCTTGGAGAATGCATATCCGGAAGATGTAGAGGTTTGGAGTAGGATTATTATCGACAGTCCTATCACAAGAAAAACTTATGAATCCAATCCGCTGACTACTTCTGCTTGATCTCTTGAAAATTTGTTTCAGATGGATTTTTGTCCGATTTCAGAAGGAGAAGAGGCTGACGATGAAGAGACGAGCTACGAACGAGAACGAGTACCCATCCATCATCACTCAACACCCAACATCACCACCACCACCTCCTCCACCTCCTCAATACTCCCTCTACACAAGCCGCATCCTCTGGCTTACCAACAACATCTCGCGCTCATCTCTTCCACCCGGTCCAAGAAACTCTCAAACTCTAATCGGATTCTCAACTCTCAAAAACTTTCCGTCGGTCATCAAGACGAACACGAGAGCAGAAAAGAAAATAATCATTTCTGATCGATCCTTCGAAGAACAACCCGGTGGTTTCTAGTTAACGTTTTATTTATTCCTTCACAAGTTGGGTATTTGGTAACCTCTCTTGTTTTCAAAATTCTCGGAAACTCACTCTCACATATAGATAGTTATTCTTCTCTCTCTCTGTTCTAGTTACGACTCGTTTCCATGCTACATTTGATCGTTATATTAACCTTATTACTCATCCAACCAACACAAAAGATGTCCACATCTACTCCTAGCCCCCAATGCTTCACTATATCGTTTAACTACCGTTGTCTTATTCTTCTTGCGTTCGTCTCATTTGATTCATCTTTTGTTTGTTTGTTTCATCACCAGTCCAATCATAGAACCTTGCCTATAACCCACTCAAAAAAAAACTGTTCATTATTTAGTACTTTGCTCCATCCAAATTATGGAATGGGCGTTAGGAAGTCGTAATGTGTCTGAGCAATTCGAACTGACACGCAATTTCAGGTCTGAAACAAATGTCTTCAATTTTCGAGAGTCGCTATCCGGTGTAAGTTGCAAGCAGCAAGATTTTCAAAAGATTTTGAGCTAAGCATTAATGCCAGATGTCTGCAATCCTTACATCTTGTGCTATACATTATTACACTTGGTTGATAGAAATGATTCATTCTTCAGGATGATAATGAAACTTGATCTGTTTCTGGATCAGTATAATTAGTAAGAATCATGGAGTCAAAAAAACCAGGAGTGTGTGTTTGCAAGTATCATTCAAGTCAATTTCTCAAAAATAAAAGGAAAATGGCGGGGCTTGATTTTGAACTTGAATCTCATTCACTGCGTCGACCTGAAGTAATCATTAATTCTGGTAAGATCTTGACTTTTTTTTCTTCTTCTTTTTTTGTCGGGAAACCATTGGGGAAATCAAGATTATTTCACAGAAAAAAAAAGGCAACAGTTTTAACAGATGATTTACTGTGTGAGTACCGAGTTACCTGTGGAAGAAGCATTTGATCAATTCAAGAGAGAAGATTTGGGCAGTCGGAAATTGTCCAGTGGCAGATTTTGTTGATGATATAAGCCCAACAGCACTAGATCAACGGGAAACATGATCTTGAGAAGGGGCTTGAGCGGGAAGAGATGATAACTAGTAGTAGTAGTACTCAGAGTACCAGTCTAGTTCGCGGAGGGGAACACGAAGATCCAGGAGCGCTTTACCCTCGAGTGCGAATAGACCGATTCCATGGCGTGTGAAGCGGAAGGAGTGTGTTGCGCTACAAGTCATGATGGGGATTGCAGCAGCGTGTGTGAGAGGAAGCGTCTTGAAGCATTTGGGCCTGGTCGCATATGCGCCAAAGCCGACACCACGTTCCCTGGGGCGTCGCCCACAACCTGCTAGTGGGGAGGGAACCGGCGGGAGATGGGAAGGCACCATCGTCTGGTTCTCCTGGGCTCTAAAAGGCAAAGGAAGAGGAAGGATGGCGACTAGAGGGGGTTCCACCGTTCCGGTCGGGCTGGTTTGTTGAAGGATTGCTACCCCCTGGAAATCATGGGCTGACCTTATATATATCTTGCAATAATTGAACCTGGTGCTGATTTTGCAAGGTAGGAATTCAACACTCCAACTCCAGGCCAGCGAAGCCCATATCAAAACTTGGTAGGGTGAAGCTTGCCTGATGAGCGGCTGAGCAGAATTCGAAATGTGAGGTGCCGCCGTGAGTGATTTGTTCCTCAATGGACGCTTACATCAAATCCTCAAGCCTTTTATAACATTACATGCTGGTAATGAGTGCTACTGACTGAGTGCTGATCCATTGGACACCGCGGGAGGCGACTATAAAGAGTTGTGCGTGCTCTTGAAAGATGGTTATAACTTAAGATAGCGCGTTACCCAACTTCCGCGCTCAGGGCCACGCTTTTTTTTTTCATTGTTCGGATTCCCGCCTTTTCTTGATCTTGTTGAGCCAGTCTCAGAAAAGCTCAAGCAAATGAGCAATCACAGCTCATCAGAAACAACAGACGCTCGATGACAGGTCGCTCAGGAAGCAAAGATCAACAGGGGCGGCAAGGTGAATAGGACTCGAACCCAAGCAGACAGATCTGGTCAGCTTGTCTATCATATATCTAACAGCTCATGGCAAGTAGCATTCTTCTTCACCAACTGGGTCATAGAAACAGACCAAGCTTGATGAATGGCCAGACAGAGAGTTTTGTGCTTAATCAATGGACCCGGGTTTTTGAGGAAAAAGGTCAAGAATAATTGGCTGTTTTGTTTTTGTCCGTGGGGATAGTTGTGCAGTTCTCCGTTTAAATGCTCAGCAGAAGTGAGTGGTGGCTAGCGGTGGCTAAACCCAGGCTCTACATCCAAGCATCTGGACCTCGTCCTCTGCCTAAGCTGCTCATCAAACAGAGGCGCGCATAGCCAGGCCTGGTTACATACCGTAAGACTCGGGAGCCTAGTTGCAGTAAGACCTTTTTAGCTACATTTAGGCCTGGTTACTGTTGGAATACATTCTTAGGTGAGCATGATTTCAATGTAGGCCTAGTAGTACATAGGATGTACCGCCAGGCATACGGACACAATATTTAGGGTTAGGTGGTGGTTCCCTGGTTGTACTTGATCAATTGTCTCAGCGGATTAGATTGCGCTTTGAAGATCAACACCTTACACAGTGACATTCATGTAGAAAAAAAAACAGCCTATATGACATTGTGAACCAAGATTTGTGGGGGGGGGGCGGAGTTAGACTTGCGCTTGAAAGCGGAGCAAGTCGCGAACTCAACGCAGTCCCTCTCCTTTGGCAGGCAAGGGGCGCGAAAGCGACCTCGCGCGAAGCGCGACCTCCCGAATCTCTGTGAGACAGAGACCCTGCGGGGCTGCCCGCTGCCCTTCGGGCTCTCACTCGAGAGGCTTGTGTTGGGCTCGAGCCAGTCGCAGATTCCGCGCAGAAAGATGCCGAACCTCTTGGCGGATCGGGAGAAAACGTCCAGACGGACGTGCGGGTATGTAAACTAGGTCAGCAGTGCGCGACGCCAAACCAAGGCGAGTGTGGACTTGAATTATAGCATACGACTTAAGCCGACATCTTTCCGTTTTTTTTTTTCGTACTGTGTGTCGCGGTGTGGGCGTGCCAGATTCATTTCTGAGGGGGTTCATTAAATTAGCTATAGTTGTTAACTTCGCAAGATTGGCTACAGGAGGATTCAAACTAATTCTAAAGAGAGACATATCTAGCTGGATTGATCTATTTGTGGGTGAATAAATAAAGTACACGTCTAATCTCGACAATAATTAAATCGTTTGACAGTCACATTTGTTTGGTTTTTTTCTTCTTCTTTTTTTCTATCCGTGTGTTTTGAATTTGGCAGGGGAGGCTTTTATCTCCCCTTTTTGAAGCGCGATTCTCCCAGCAGGTAGCTTGATTTTAAGCCCGGCGAGCAGATTGAGGGGGACGGTTCATCTGGCATTCCGTCACCAAAGTCCAACCCCAACATGCATAAGTCTTGTCCCGGCGAGTATGAGCTCTGCATCTGAGAAGCTGTGTCCGAAAACACAAGAGTCATGCCCAAACTACTGCGGGCAGCTTTTTCGATCGAGTTACGACTTTTTTTGAGTACACCAGCACTAGATGGGTATTGAGGAGGGCCAGAGCTACTTTGTCATGAGAGCCAAAAGATTCAGGGCATTCAGTACATAGGCTTTTAGGGTGACATGTCAAGAGTGGCTTACTCGTATGTATAGTTTTCTAGTAAAGATGTTATTCCTGATTGCCTCGTCTCGGTTTCTAAGTTGCTTTTTCTATCCGACCCATACCGAGACGTCCGACGGTAGGAAGGCCCTTCAGCCGCCACCATGTTGAAGGATCTTTCGGAGAAGGAGGAACATCGTGATGGAGATCTTAATCGACAATTTCGCAGCTCAAACTTTTCACGCGACTTGGCATCCTCACTAGACCAATAAGAAGATCCTCCGTTGAAGTGAGATTTTCGACATATAAAAGAGGTGAAGGCGGAACTTAGAGAGCTGTATTTGCTCCCTTCTGGCCTAGAATATGCGGTAGATGGTGATTGTGGAAGTCTTGCAGCAAGTGACTGTCGCCGTGGATACTTGTAACGCATGAAGGGATCGAGCACTGTGTTGGTAGTTGAAGCGGACGATCTAGCACTAAACATGCTGGCTGAGTTGGAGTGAGTCATAGAGAGCGAGTTGGTGTGAGGGGTCATGTTGTGCCTATTGACCCTCAAGTCGGAAATGATCAAATTCTTAGTAGAGCAATCACCCCACGTGAATGGGGTGGTAACTCTTAAACTTGGGGTTTGTGGATTGTAAACCGACTCCCCAAAATCAAAAGATTCATTCAATTTTTTACTCTGGGATCGCCATTTCGAAATTTTTCTACTTGTCCGATGGTCCACTTCCTGGTGTCTTCTTCTCCGCAATATGTAAACGGCAACGATAGTCGCAAAAAGAATGGTGAAATACCCGACTAAGAGATGCAAGCCGGTCAGCGCATTCGGTACAGTTAGGCCCAGTGGCTTCCGGCATGGGAAGAGGAAACTCACAACAAACAGCGGTTATGATAGTACCGGTAAATTCACTCGTCTGTGCTGGCGACTGTTGCGCAGCCGAAGCATTTGGTAAGGGTGCACTTGAAATCGGTTGACTAAATTCAGTGAGGGATGAACTGGGAAGGGGAGCGCTCTCTGCGACCCCCTCGGTGCTTGCTGTGATTGTCTGTCCTGGAACATTGGTTGGTGTTGGAGAGGCTGAAAAGTCTGAGGTTTGGGTTGTCACGGGAGTTGGAGAAGCAGTTGATACCTGTGAAAAAGTTGAAGTCACTGTTGACGCGATGGAGGAGCTGGCGGAGGGAGGTGTTGCAGTTCCAGTGGCTTGGGCGCTTGGGGCCGAGGTCAATGAAGTTGTGGTTGAAGGGGTTCCGGTTGACTGGTAGCTTGCAGATTGCCCCGAAGCTGGAGCCGATGAATTAGAACCAGTTGATGTTCCAAGGTCGGACCCTCCAGGAAGGCGGCGAACGACCATGGCGTTTGGTGGGGGATGATATCGAACTCCGTTCCACAGAGTAAGATTGGCACTCAATGGCTGATATACTGAATTTTTGGTGCTCACGCCAAAGAGAGGAGCTTCTGGAATGAGGCGGCCAGAACAGACATGAGTTTCGCTTCTTGATTGTTGACATAGCTTGAGCTGTCCCGCGAGATAGTGATGCTACGGATGATAAATTGGCATTAGTCAACTGCAGATGATAAGTTGTAGAAGGGAGATGGGAAACCCACCGGACTCAGTCTTGAAGAACCAGAACAAGAGATGCGGATGCCAAAAGGGGGAGATCATCCTTGAGAGTCAAAGATGATCGCCAATGTATCGGATTAGTTTCCTTCAAAACCTGGTCTCATGACATAATTATGACCATCATGCAGATTATTGGTAACGATAACAAGAGTCTAGCACAATGACACACCGATTAGAAATGATGGAACAAACAAATTTAGCTAACAAAAAATGGGGTTGCGTAATGAGGCTCGCTTTGAACAACACTCTTGAAGGCCTGGACCTTCACTGGTTGAAGGTGCGATATAATTTAGAATTATTCACTTGGAGGGTATCGAGGTTTCCTCCTTTTGTTGTGAACGAGCTTATTTCAAGTCTATTTGTGGATAGGCAAGTCAGATCCTTTGTTTTTCTTTCATGTTAGTTCAGGGCAATCAATAAGCTGAGGTTACATTCTACTGCAAAAAGCAAAAGGAAGAATTGTGTGATAAAATCGAAAAGTTGAATCTGAACATGATAAATATTTTTTATCCGTACTGCAGCATCTTGATAGAGGTGTTGAAAGAAGAAAGGAAGCCTGAACTCAAGTCAAGCATTGCATTCCTTATTGATACGATGTGTTGAAGATCAAATAAAATTATCTATGTTTTCTTCAGGTTCAGTTTGACGTAGAGAAGCCCAATTGTGAGCCTTTGACCGGCTTCTGTTTCCTTTCTATAATATCAAACTGAGGGAATTAAATGATTTCACAAAAAGAAGTATTTATAAATCTTGATCTATTGATATTCTTTTTCTTAGGAAAGGATTCCGGCACATTATGTCTGCAAGCTCTTGTCATAGTTTATGTGCTCCCCAGCTGATTTGTTGCCCAACAAAAAATCTGTGCATGTAAAATCAAGTGCCACCTTGATCTAGTAAATATGTTGAATCAGATGGTATTAGTATTTAGTTGGAAATGAAGAAAAACATCAGCAATGAAGCCATCACATTCCGGAAATTCTTTATGCTGTTTAATTGTACCATCTTGAGACAATCAACATCCCATATTTTGTCGATGTTCAGTAGATGCGACGAAGTCCAAGTCCCAGAACTATTCCGATTGAGCACGTTGTAGTGAAGTTGATGGCCCAAAGGCCAGTTGGATCAAGCCATCTTGATGTTTGAAATAAGATTCCAGGCAATATTAGGTTTGAGAAAAATTTATTTAGCAGTTTGAATTAAATATGATATGCACACACTGATTTGAAAAATTCGTCCCACAAAGCAAGAAACGGCCACCAAACCAAAAATAAATAAAATAGAAAAATAAATAAATAAGTAAATAAATCGAAAAACACCAATTGCCCTTAAAATAGACACAGAAAATCCCGTGGAAAAGTGCCTGTTGTGAAGTAAATAAATATTTAACACCATGAAAAAGTTTTTTGAAATCATGAAGATCGAAATGAAAAAAATGGGCATAAAAAGAGGGCGAATTGATGCGGTTCGCAAATTGAAAAAAAAAGATAAACCATTATACAAGTCAGATGGCAAGAGTTCTATGTTGGAGAATGATTAGATGAAGCATCTAAATAGCTGCGTGGCTTATTTTACTGTGGCCATAGGGATCAGGAATGTCGATTGAGCTGACGGATGCTCTTGTCTTTCTTTCAGCCCGTCGGGAGCCGCTTTGTCGTTTGAGCATGATCGACGATAAGGCGCTTTGTCGTTTAGCCATCATCGACCTCATCGACACCGCACTTTGTCGCTTGGGCATCATCGACTTGGCTGATGACTTTCGAACACTGCTTTTATGCAAGATACTCAGCACATTGGCGTTGGTTTTCCTTTTCTTTCCTTTGTTAGGTATGTAACGATTATTTGCGAAACCAGGCGTCGCAGTAGATCCCGGTCGGGTGATGGTCTCATTCACTGGACTGGGAGGAGGACTAGGAGGACTAGGTAGGCTAGGTGGACTAGGTGGACTAGGTGGACTGGGAGGACTGGGAGGACTAGGTGGGCTGGGTGGCTTGGGAATTCCATCCCTGAGATTGTTTTGGCCGTACTTGTAGCGTGGACGGTTTAAAATCGAACCTGGTAGTTTTGGAGGAGAAGGGACGACCCGGGGCATGGGATACGAGAAGTTTGTGATCCGGCTGACCAAACTTGGAGTTGGTAAATCGACCCGAGTAACACTGATCTTCTTGGGGTCCCCTGCCCGAGGAAGGTAGAATGAAGGGAAGTCTGGATCCATCTTTTGAGAGTCTCGATTGCCTGAATCACTTTCCTGATCGTAGCCCTGGTCGTCAAAGTCAACAATGTCTGAGACCATTTGGGATCTCACTCGGTTGGCTTCTAAGTTTTGGATGGGAATCCCACTGTAGGAAGAAGGAAATCCAGAAATTCGTGTCAGTTATTGATTTCAAGCAAGCTGAGTGAGAACTGAAATGCCGCACGCTTCGTTCTTTGCCACATTTTTGAATTTTGCAACTTGTGGAAATATGAGAGATCCTCTTGACAATCCAGACATGAACGTTGAGCGGCGTGTTCGGAAACTTCCGTTGTCATCCGTGGTTTCGCTTTCAGCGTCTTGAGGGACGTACTGACCGGCATTATTAGGATAAGTATTTGGCAAGCGTTGTCCCTTCTCATAGTTTGTATGCATATTACCGCCGCCATGGTGCGTCATTGCCATCAAGCTGTCCACTCGAGGGCGGTCCCCCACAACTTCAAGGTAATTGACCTGATTCAGGCGAGAAGAATCTTCAACTGTTTCCATTACGGCTCTGTGAGATTGACGAAAGGCCGGTCCAAAGCTTGAGGAGGTGTTGCGATGTGATGAGGGTGGGTCAGCATAATACATGTCGCCTTCCCCTAGATAGGGTGTTCCTCGAAACGAGGCTGAAGATTGATTTGGAACCAAAAGAGTGCTCATGATTGGGTTGTGAAGAAACGAATCTCTTTGTGTCATCCTCTTTGTCCGTGATGCTCGACGCCGACGCTGCAGAGACCAACACCCTAGAAGTATTATGAACACAAGTAAAAGGGCTCCTAGAGCGATCCCAATGATTACCCCAGTAGATATGTGGACTCTGTCAGGGCTGTCTGGAAAACTGAAGCTAGATTCGAGAGGAGAGGAGGATGGTGTGGGTATTATTGAAGTGGATGGGGCATTAGGAAAGACCGGCAGTGATGTCTGAGAAAATGGTGGAGGGAAATTCGTAGTTCGGGGAATTTGAGTACTAGGTGTGCCAAGGGAAACTGGTGACCGGGAAGGAGGCTGAAAGCTGCTTGGGGCAGTTGCTGAAGTCAAGAATAATTGCTTAAATACATTAACTAGCTGGAAAGAGATGAAGAAGTGCTTCAAACGAGGCTACTCACGACGGGCCCCAAGATTTGTCCGTGAACTGGTTGGATCAACACTGACCGGGATAATCGACAGAGGGGTTGGAGTTGGGTAAAATCCGCCAAGCAATGGCACGCCACCAATCACCTCTCCTCCAAGGGTCGAAGCCGTTGATGGATTGGCCATTCCCAACAATTGGTTGAATCTTTCTTGGACAGTTTCGACTTCATTCCAGAGTGGTGATGAGATCGACATGAAGGCGGTCGGTATACCGGGAGAAGATGGCACAATATTCGTCCTGCTTGGATTCGCAGACGGTCGGGGTTCGTAACGCGAATCTTGTCTCCCTTATAAACAATCTTTCTGGCCTGGATGTTTGGTAGCGGCGTAATCCTTGTCTGATCTGGTTAGACTAGTCCATCACCAACTTCTGCCCAGCCTTGGCGTGGCCCCACTGCTACTATCTGGTTTAACTGAGGGATGAGTGAACTTCGCAGAATCATCTTCGCAGCGGACGATGGGCATCCAGTCAGTTTACAACGGCTCAGCTATAAGGTTGTCATTTGTATAAATGTCCATGTCCATTCCGCCGGCCTCAAATACAAACTCACATTGTCGTGATTGAGCTCTTCACAACGGGGGTGGAATGACATAATTTACTGGGGAAATTATGCTTTTTACCATGACATTGTTGCCAAAGAATTGTCGCATCGTTGGCCTTTACGGCGAGCTAAAAACCACAGACCAACCGACGAGAAGGGTGTCTCATATATACCGGTCATCGAACAGACAGACTTCCCTGCTCAATGGCAAAGGCTGTCGAGAAAGCAGTTTTCCCTATGACATGGCTCTTGTACCAAGGGTTGAGATTATACTCGATGGCCAGTCCATTGAGCGCTCTTCGAGTGGGGAGCGCTCTTGTCTCAACGCTTGGTGCACATGCCGACCGGCCATTGAGGAGGAAAAAGACCTTGGATGTCGGCACTGGTACTAGTGGTCCAGCCATTGATCAGGAGGGATAATTCCCCCGGGACAGGTGTTGGTGCGGCATATTCCATTACTTTGGACAAAAGACTCTTGCGGCTTGCAGAGGTGCAAATACACAATCCAGCAAGGACGACTCAGGTCATTTCATGAGCGCAGTTGTGAGCATACGCATGCTTACGGTGGGAAAGATATCCTATAACAACATGAATGGGAGTAGAGTCGCCAATTTTTCCTGTTACCTGAGTCGAGGACCATGCGAGTTAAGTGCTGGCACCTAGCAGATAAATGCAGTTCAAACGCGAGACTGCCCCGCTTTGGTGATTCAAACTAGAACTGGTCTTATGTATAGATAAGCTTCGCAATTAAACCGACATCTGACTTTTCTCTTTTCTATGGCTCACTGTACTTCATGGCTTATCTTCAGCCAATACAGAAAACGATGTAGAAACCCCAGGCTCATTATATTGTTCTGATTCCTTGACAATCCAAACTCACCAGATACCACTACGAAAGCCACACTTGATTCCAAAACATAACGCAGAATAATCATGAACAAAAATGTGTGAGGATAAAAAGGATTGGATCCCAGGAAAAAAAATGTGGATGATTTGTTTTACATTTTTTAAGCTTGATTGATCGCCTTTGAGATCTTTAAGCAAACCGCCAAGATCTGGAGGCCTTCATCAGCTCCATCATTCAAGTATTTATCAGCTTCACCCAGAGCAACTGAGATCAGCGCTTTCGGCTTCGAGGGAATTAGAGTATCGAGAAGGATCAAATCATGCAGCTGTGCAATGATTTTTTTTTTTTTTCAAAACAGAATGAGAAATTGGAAAATGCCGCCCAAAAAGCGTGAAACGTCGGGAAGGGGCAAAAAAGAAGCTCAGTTGCTGTAAGCGTCAAGCCAATCAAGTTTGGGAGACCGAGTTGAAGACGAACCTGATTAATGATCTGAACTGCACTGTAGCCTTCTCGCAGGACGCTCGTAACAACATCCTGAATTTTTTCAAATGGAGTTTTCTGACGCCCTTTTTTCTGATCGACGTCTGACATTTCAACGTCCTCGTCACCACCAGCACCCACTTGACCTCGAACCTCAATCCCTACAGCTTCCAGCAGCCGTCCCATCAGTTTTTGAGGCACAATTCCGCCTATCTCTTCGATATCCTGTGCTAGTATTTCATCCGAGGTCGCCAACTTTGAAGCAGATTGTAGAAACGTAATCGATCGACGTAAATCGCCAGCCGAGATCGAGATCAGTGAATCAAGCACATTGTCGGAGATCTTGATCGACTCTAGCGTTGATATTTCTGTTAATTTTGATCGAGTTCCAGAGACCGACAACGGTTTAAATCGGAACTTGCTACATCGTGATACGATAGGTTCAATAATTCTGGACAATCCTCGTAGCAATAAGAAATGACAGTATAATTTAGCTCAAATGAAGAGTTTGTGATATAGCCAACAGTCTGAAAGTTCCTTACCGAGTAACGTAATTGCAAATCAAACAGAATCGAGTGATCTTGGAATAATTCTCCATGATTCTTCGTAGCGCGGATTGAGCATCTTGAGTCATGGAATCAGCTTCATCCAAGATGATAATCTTATAGGCCGGACATGGATAACCACTGAATATATTTTGAATTTGGAAAACTTGAATCGCATCAGGTAAGCGTGAACATACATCCAAGTTAAATTTTGAGTATTGAGAGAAAAAGAGTGGGCGTTTTCATGGGATCTTACGATGTGGCTGGGCTGATGGAAACTTTGGCAAAGTTCTTGATTTTCTCTCTGACGACAGAGATTCCACGTTCGTCGGATGCATTCAATTCCAAGACACGCGACTTCATGAGCTCTGGTCTAAGTTGTTTTTACGAAGAAGCATCGAAAATTTAGACTGAAGGGATCTTCATTTTTTATTTTTATTTTTTTTGAAAAAAAAAGACACCAACCCGAACAAATCCCTAGCCAAAGCCAGGATAGTTGAAGTTTTCCCAGTTCCAGGTGGACCGTAAAACAGCATATGAGGTAACTAGAACAGAAGCCAAGAGGACCAATATTAGTATGAGCTCCGGTTCTGTTCACATTCAAGAGAGATATTTTGAACACTCGTGTAAAATCAAATCAAACCAACATCGGCCCGATTGAGAGCTTTGGAAAGAATTTTGGTGGTACCTTCTTGACCCTGGACGCTCTCTATCGACTTTGGTCTGTATTTCTCAATCCAAGGCAACGCTGCTGGGGGCTGACTGGAGCTTGAATCGGCCGTCGGAGCATTCTTCTTGGCGGCCGCGCCTGCACGCATGAATTCGAAGGCGTTCATGATGGCTTGTTGGTGGTGATGGTTCAATGTCAACAGTTGACTTGGTCGGTGAATATTCGCTCCAAAGGGTGCTTGGCTGACCCGAAGTCGGCACGGGGGGTGGAGGGGTAGCGCCCGATGCGCTTTCCCAGTGAGACCGAAACCCTGCGGGGGTCGCCTGGCACGCAGCTTTTCCAGCTCGGCCCCTCGGGGTATTCAAGTATTCCCAACATTTGCATGGCATCGATCCTTCGCCTGCAACCTGTTTAGCTGAATCTCCTGTTCCCATTATCTTTGCTAGCCATATCTAGCCTCCACAAAGTTTGGGATTAACCACCGCCTGGTGATCTTCACCTCAGGCAACAGGCCTATATCCAGTGGCAGCACGAAGTCAAATATTCACTTGATGAAACCCGATGTTCTCTTGACAAGCGTGATGAGCGCGGTTGTGGTCGCGTCGCCGTCAGTGACTTGTGAAGGGCTGCTTCACTGCGATTATATCCTGCGAATCGTCATGTTTAACAATCGTCTTTCATTCGCTATGAGTATAATGTCTACTGCGTTTCGTACATGCACACCCCGCAAATATCATCGGCGATGATTCATCGACAGCTTCTCTTGGCTTAAATCCACCCATTGATGCTGCGCTTCATCCAAGGTCTTCAGCTGAGACGCGATAAATAGGCACGCTCATTAGTTTTTCAATAAAGATCACTCGAATGACACTGCGTATGATTGGTCGGCTGGAATGAACCCCTATCAGTGTTGCCCGCATGTTCGAAGAGCCAAGCGAAGAAAATGTGGATAAGGCCCATGTTAGGGTTTCGCCAATACCACGGGTTTTCAGAGCCATATAACGGATTGGGTACACATTCAAAAGCTCCTCACCTCACTTTGTTGTACCGACACGGAGGAATTTAGCTGGTAATGCACTGAAGACCATCTATTTCGCCAAACAACGACGAGCCTTTCAGATTTACCGAAGAGCCAAACGACGAGCGTTTTTGATAATTTCAGCTCTAGGGTGTGGGGTAATAGTCACATTATAGCACTATTGTATGTTCAGGTACTCGTTGAATCACCTTGTGGTACCTATGGTACCAATTTGAATATCTAGTACTGTCAACTGGGCTCACTTTGCACGGTGTTGCTCACAGGATCTTCAAAGCCTTTTCGTGATCTTTTTGGCGCTCTTTGTAAGAAGTTTGTGGACCTTCCCATACGTAGTTGGTTAGTTAGCTGCCAATGAACCATCTTTTAGTTGTCACACCTTACCTGCGGCAAACAAACATTTGCGACGTGGTCTGTTTTGAAAATATAAAGTGCGAATTTATGTATTTCGCATTCCAAATCAACTCGGAATACAATGCGAAAAAGTATCTGCCTACAACCCTCCGTAAATGTTAACCTGCGAAAAGTCTAGGGCACCGTTTCTGATTCTATTCAATTTTCCGCAAATCTCACCAAAAGTGTGGGCATGAAGCAGACAGCCTTGAACAGTTTGAGGCTTGAACTGTACCTGCCGGCAATCGTCAAGAATTCTTGTAAACAAACCAGGGTAGTGCACCCGCCGAGATAGCTTTACTCAGGTATGGTCAGTGGCTGGATCAGGAAGTTCAACTCGTGGAGGTAAATTCGAGCACCGTTGGCCCAATGGTAAGCTCACCCAAGCACTTATTGGCGCATCTCACTAGCAATCTATTAATCAGAAATGAATGGGCCCCAAGATTTTGAATCGTGGTGGTGTATTACACCACCACGATTCAACACATTTGCTGCGTCAATTCTGGGCACCTCCGCCAGAAAAGCTGTTTGAACAAAAAACCTTGTAGACAGGATCTCTGGCATACAAAACAAACATGCCGCGGCATTGATTCGAGAATTCCGGACAACGCGTTTGCTCAGAACTACTGTTCTGAGCAAGTCGCGTATTAGTAGAAGGCTCAGTGGAAGCCAAACACATCAACCGTTTGGTACACATTCAAAGTTTCGAGTGAATTGAGCTTCAAACATTTATCTGGCCAATCACAACCCATCGCTGGCGTGTAGAGACGGTTTCCTGTCAGGTTGTGATCGTGGAACGGTTGTGTATGGGGCCAAATAACACACGCGCGTACTTGTGAAGGGGAACAAAGGATGGTAGTAGCAAGCCGTTGTGGGCTTAAATACATCCATAGCTTGACGGTGTCTCTTCGCGCTCCTCCTCTCATTCCTCACTCTCTTCCTCCTCCTCGAGTGTGCCTCTTCTCTTCACTCTCCTCCTCTTCCTCGACTCTGCCTCTCCTCACTAAAAGTGTAAGCTTAGTACCTCTCCTCTTCTGAATACTCCCCACATTTTCCTATCCCTGCCTTGGTATAGTAACACCACCCCTTCTCCTTCAATACCCCCCCCCCCTCTCCTCAATTAAACATTTAGAAAGCCGGTCTTTAGATCCTTCAACACTCTAACTCAAAAGTTACATCCCAAAGATCTATGTTTTTCTCCTCTAAGACGAGGCAAGTACCTATTTTCTATCCGAAAACTCCTCCCCACCTCTTCCAATCAACTGCTTACGTGTTTTGTTTGCACCATCAGCCCATAACAGGTGAGGCTCTCTTCCACAGCCCTCAACCAATCCCTAACGCAGTTACCTCCTGACCAAGCAACTAGGTAAAGTCTAATATACCACCCCCTTTGTTATTCTGAAGGACCAAGTCATATCGCTGTGCCACCAGGGCATAGCGATATTGACACCGTCTACGTCATGTATGCGTCAATTTGCCCCATTGGGGCCCCTTCGCGCGACCCGGCCGTGAAGAGGAATCCATCAAAAAAGGCCGTCCCCAAGTGCCCCACTCCTCCTCCATCATCACGATCAGTGCGCAGAAACGGCATGTTCCTTACCGGCCCTCCTGCGCCTCCACCACCTTCATCGCGCTCGGAGCGCCGGAAGGGCATGATTTTCACCAACCCTCCTCCGCCTCCACCAGCTTCATCGCGCTCAGAGCGCCGGAACGGCATGATTCTTACCACCAACGAGCTTCCCCCTCAACTCAAGAGTCTCCTGGCTGCCGACTGCCCTCCCGCCCCTCCCTCACCTCCACCGCGACCATCACGTCGTCAGGGTATGATTCTTGACCCCAACGACCTTCCACGGGACCTAAAGGAGCTCAAGTTTGTTGGAGGAAACGCTACTAAACCCGCTTGAATGAGAGGAATAAAGTAAGCATTCAATCGTTTCTACTTTCTGCCTAGTTCAAAATCGCCGACTAACTTCTCTATAAAATCTATCCTTATAGATAAGACCACTTATCTCAGATTTCCTCATCACTCTCAACTCAATTCGATCTTTTTCTTGGTCTTCTTTGTACTTGTATTCTTGGATTTTTCTTCGTCTTTCTTGGGATTGTATTCATATATCATTACTCAAACAGAGTCGACTCCAAACGGATCTTATCTGGTCTTATCAGATATACCACTCATTCATATACTTTCCGCTATTCCTTTTGCTCTACCAGCTCATAAGAATCTGTTGGTATCTTAACACCTTGTGCCTAGTTTCAAAGGCAGTCGGAATCATTGTACATCAATTGTCCTCATGTATTTTTTCTTATCTCTATGACTCATGCAAGTCAAATAAAATTTGAAATACCTATGAACTCCGATGGGAATCGAATCACCTGCATACTCCCATTCAACCATTTGATTCTGAGAAGTTTCAACAAGCATCACACGCTTTATCAGAGCATATGTTCCGCAAACCAGCTTGAGACAGTTTCCCTAGCTGAATTCGTAAGAAAAAATGAAATCCACAGCTATTAGATAGCATGGCTGTTCTCATGGTGATTTTTCGAAATCTTTATTCCAAATAAGAATGAAGAACCAGATTATATGAACGTGTATTACCGATAGATGAGATCCAAGAATATATCGATCTTTTGATTGATTCTCATCCAATATATTGACAAATGAATTTTGGAATTGATTAAATGTGAACATCTCGAAACCCTTGCTCTTCAGGAAGTGAACATCAAACGAAGTTTGCGGGATCCAAATACCACATGGCATCGGGGGGTATTTTTTGTTTTTGACTAACCCAGTAATGTATGCCAGTTTTCAAACACATTCTCTAATCTAATTTCAATCAAAACACGCAATTCTCAAAAAAAAACTGCTAATTATGATGGGGCGGCCGCTGATTAATCATTAACTTGGTTGGAGAAGAAAGCCCCATGAGCTGGAAATGACATTGTTCTGCAACAGTTTTTTTAAGCTGATGACAAGAGGAATACAAATAACAATATTGATGTGGGTGTTTCATGATCCTGACCGGGCGATGTCCTTTGAATTGATGCTTAATTTATGATCAGCTAATCACAGAACCGCTTTTATTGTGTTTTCCAAAACTTGTGTTTTCCCTTTCATGATATTTCAGGATGCATTAAAACTTCCATAATTTGATTCCAAAAGCCTTCAAAACATTGTCTTGTTGTTTGTTTGATTGAGAAGGGTTCAGATTACTCAACAAAGTGAACAGCCTTTGTGTTCATCTTGCAAACTAATTAATGATGTAGAATCGGGCCCATTTGAATCATCCCTAACCATGTGAAGAGAGAAAATAGTTTGCAATGATCTAATATGATCAAAAACTACTTCATGCATATGAATAAATGTACTGAGAGTCTATGAGTGTAGCTTAATTGATATATTGCAACAACAACTTGTGTGTCCTGTGCTGCCGTAGGAAGGCCAGCCAAATCTGGCAAGTGACTTTTCACGTGTCTATACTTATCCATCTGAAGCAAACAGTGCAATGGCAGACATGATCTGCCAAAGTTTTCGGTTGTTTCTACTCCTAACCTTGGGAGTCGTTGATCACCCCCATTATGGCTTTTCAACCTCCTGAAAGCATAATGATTGGCCCTGGAATGACCACTGGTATGATTGCACATTGTCGCAAAAGGGCTATGCGCTTGTACACAATCAGAACTAGTCCTGGAAGGACAGAATGTCCGATGAACTACGAATAGATTCTTCTATGAAGTCGTAGCAATCAAAAAAAAATATCAAATGAAGACAAGGGGGAAAGAGACAAGCAAGGACATGAAATTTGCAGTTTTACTTGTGCGAATTTAGCTATCAATTTCCATTGTACCGGAAGTGAGAGAGGGATGACCAGTAGAGCAATGATTGATATGGTTAGAATTAAAGAAAACGGCAGAAAGGTGGTGGTCCAAGTTGATCAATTTAGTAGTCGACCATTTCGGGAAGCATCGTTTGTAGAGTGATAAGCAGATCGTGTCCATCTGGTCGATCATCCCATCAAACTTCGCTTTGAAATACCCGTGGGTTCCTAGCGGCTCCTTGATGTGTCCTACCTTTCCTTTCTTCGTCTTCAGCTCGATCGGCTTGAAATATTCGATATCTTCACGATTGAAGAACTACAACCAAAAAAAAAAATCAATCAATCAATTTTGATCAAGGGGTTTCTGAGCATGCTTGAAAGCATCGGCTTTTTGTTATTGTTGGGTGTGACTTACCATATATCTAATGGTCGCCGTTTTCTTATGAACTTTGTACGGATGACCGGTCAAGATAATCCGCTTGGCAATAATCCTCTGCGGTTCACTACCGATCAGAGTCCCATTACCGACGAAGCTGATAGGCAGATCGAGATCTTCCTCTTGTTTGAACACGAGCACGGGTGTCGTCGAGCCGAAAGTGACAGGCATATAAACACTCCCGATGTTCATCTTACCCGGGTCGCAGATAGCGCTCAAACTTGTGTACGTTGTTGCTCGCTCGGATCGACGGCTGTGACCAGATCGGCCGGACCTCATAGAATCTGAAACCAGCACACATTATCAAGCGATCTTTGGATTTGATTTCTCCCTCGAACTCCGTATTCCTTTGCGTTGTGAAGTGCATCACAGAGTATTTATGTTCATGTTTGAGGAGTGAAAAGGCGACTAAGGTTTGTTGAGGAGACGAAACCAAAGCTTCGAACCCCGACTGTGGGAATTGCTCGATGTGAAGGGTAATGTACATGCCAGGTCCCTTTGAAAAAAAAAAACTTGATGAGCTTCTAGGTAAGATGGCATAGTCAAGAACAGATCCCGACTGTGCTTACAGCTCCTGCTTCCTGTTCATTTGCTTTGTGAGCCAACTTTCGACCCATAGATTTCCATCCTTGGAAAGCAAAAATCTTTGAATAATCGATCGGTAAATTTTCGTAAGGGTCCCATTCACTCGTTCGAAGACTCTTCATCCCTCTATATCTTGCGAACCTTTCTCGGGCTGGGATATCTAGCGGAGTATCTATTTCATCTGGAAACTCTTCGTCTTCTTTTGCGGCGCGATCTCGTTCGCGTTGTCGGTCGGCGCGATACTGAGCTAGGTCGGCCTGCTCAGCTTCGTCTGATAGGTCCATAAAGTGTACATCCTTGGACGATCCGGCTTGGTTGTCGACTTTCAAATCCTCCATCTCATCTTCATCATCATCATCTTGCTCAAGTTGATCTGGGGATTTGTCGAACTCGATATCTCCTTCGATATCTCCATCTTCTTCTTCTTCTTCTTCGTCATCATCATCTTCGAGACCTTCGCCGTCCTCGTCAACGATCCATGCAGCCTGGTATTCACTGGTACCGACGGGAACACGTCTCGCTTTCTTGTTTCCGGCGGTCTTCTGTTGGTGGGCAGGTGCGCTAGCTATTTCTTCTTCGGTTGGCCAGGTTTGTTCGGCCATCAGTTCGTCACCCACTGAAGGACAGTTCTCCGAGACAAGGTCATCTGCTTCCTCATTTGTACGAACTGATATCACTTTTCCATCCTCAGCCATGGTCATCATACTGACTCGAAAGTCACCGAAGAAGGGCAAATGCACTAGTCTGTTCGCACTGAACCTTCCGCCTCTGACATGCCCGGTTACTTTCAGGGTTCCCTCTTCCCAATCAATCTTTTCAGCAACCAGCCGAGCTCGACCCTCTCTCCAGCCGAGTGGAAGGCCATTTGACGCTCGATTGGGTAGTTTGGCGAGGATGCTCCGGACTGCTACTAAGATTTCTTCAGGCCTATCGACTGAGACGAGCCGATTGAGTAAGAGAGATTCGGGGAAGAAATAACGTAAAAAGCTGGTGAGACTCTCGCGAGTTTTTTGAGTTTCTCTAGTTCCGTTTAATGATTCGAGGTGAGAGACAAGTCCAAGGACGCCCAGAGTTGGGCCACCAAGCGCTTGGATAGCCCTGAGGGTCGATTCACCCCAGGCAGTGACTTCTTCTACGGCCGACAGAGAAGTGATCAAGAAGTCGGATGCAGATACGGTAGATAGCACCTGTCCGAGCGGTGTACGGTGTGGGATGAGGAGGAACTGGAGTAGACTGGGGGATGAGCGAGATGAAGTAGGCCAGGTGAAGGAGATCGTCCTGGAGCTGGGATCGATTGGATGGGTGAGATTTGAGGCTGATCGGATTGGGTTCAAGACATCGACTAGTGGGTCTACATCTTCGGATAGTGCTAGGATTGCGATGACTCTGGGAGCTGGGTTGGGACCCGAGAAGACCTTTTGACAGCCTGCTTGGAGGGCGGCTTTGTGTGCCTGTAGTTGCTTTGCTTGGTTTTTCCGGTTAGCCTTCTGGCCAGTTTGGCTGGCATGTTTTGATTTGTTGGTGCTTGAATCCTTTTCGAGTCTACCTGGAGCAGAGAGAAGCACGATCATCAGTATGTTGAAACCTTGTTCGTTGAACCCCAGTGTTGAGATCCAACCTTTAGCGACCTGCTTCAGGGATCCCTTGGTTGCGTGTCTTGCTTTGAATGGCTTGTTAGTCTGGGAGAGGGTTGATCGATGGTGGTGCTGCTGTTGTGCGGTCTTGGTGGCAGTCATCGTGGGTGTCTGTTGTCGAAGGAGGTGGGGCTTGGTAGGTTGGCGGCGGTCAACTTTCCTTGTACTGCAGTCTGCAGGTGGTAGGATATTCAATATGAATATATCAAATTGAATATTCAGTATGCAATATGCAGTATTCAACTCAGATACTTTTTTTGACTCCTCTCCCAGCCATCCCGGCTGAGTTGTGGTTGAACCTGTTGCCTTCAAAAGCTTGCCTGCTTGTCCCCAGGCAGCGGTCCTCCTCCGCCTTCATCATCTGGGAACCAATTGGAATGGAGACCATCACTTGAAAATATGTAAACATCACCACCTTTTGCAGCTAACCATCTCGGCTCCAGTCCCCTCAGCAGCGCCCACCCCCACCTCCCACTCCACTCCAACTCATGAATCCGTCCTCCTCAGTCATCTTCGAGCTTCTGCCGAGTAGGAGAGCTCATGAACGTCTGTCTGTTAACCCAGCCACCGGAGGACCTCGAAAGTTTCATATCCGTCGTCTCTTCGATCTCCTCCAGCTCTGTCTCTTGCGACGACAGCACGATCAGGCCAGGCAGATTTGGGCTGTCCTCGTAAGATGTCGCGAGGTGGATTTTGCCATGCTTTGGGACCTCGGTCTTCGTGTCATGCATCTTCCCCACCCCACTCCGCTCGCTGATGATTCGACAATCGATAGTCACCTCAACTATATGAAGGCCTGCAGAAACCTCAGTGATCAGGAAGTATGTTTCCACCCGCCTATCACATCTACCCACCCATATTTACCTTCCACTGCATTCATCTTCCACTCCGTCCCCCCTCCCTCCTCCTTCGTACCACTCGATTTTCACAAAAAAAAAGACTGCCAAGGTCTTGATGGAATACATTTCGGTTTTGGTTTCCGTCGGCAGACTCAGAGACGCACTTGATGAGCTCCAGCTCTGGCTATCATCCCTCCCCTGTTCTCAGCATGCTGGTCTCCATGAATATGCTGGACTGGTCACATTATCGATCATCCCCCCTCCTCAACCTCCTGATGATCCAGATGAGTTCGACCCAAAGCCGCTCAAAATCAACGGTATGCGTTGTTACTCGCTCAGAGCTTCCACACCACCTCCAATATCAATTGATCCACAGATTCTGGCTCATGTTGCCCTCATCTAGAATACCTGGAAGCCATTTCGGAAAATGTGATGTTTGGAAGAGCCAAGGCCTACTTCGAAAGAGCACAGTCACTCGACTCCAACTGCGTCATATCCCCTGCCTATCTTCAACTTGTCAGTTCGCTCAATCTGCGAGCCATCCTCAAGATTTCTTTTTCTTTGAATTTCCGAGTCTGATCCCATTTCCTCTTACAACAACAAACCTATCATTTCGTCCCTCATCCAGATGAACAACTGTTCTCATGCCCAGGATGATGACGATGAAAACGATCAGATTTGAACCCCTCTCAATCCCGGCTCATTCGAAGCCCCTTCTCTGACAAACATTTCGCCTCTCTCCAGCTTCGAGTCCCTTGATTCACGTCATCGTTACTCCGAGCAGTGAGATTGAGGCGTTCATCCACCTTAGAAGGGGTCAAAATGATAATTTTTATAGCCAAGATCAATCTAATATGCCATTGATAAGGTCGCGAAGAGCTTTGATTCCTCCACGGTTACTTCGCATCTACCCACAATGTCAACATTTCTTCTCCGCTCCTTCCTCTTCTTCATGAGTCGTTGTCCACTAGTTGATTGACAAGTAGCATAGAAGTCGTAATATAGCCAAATCATCTCTCAAACCGCGTCCCCCTCTCCATCCATTCTCGGTTCTGCGTCTCGTATCCCTTAAGTCGACCTGCCTACTTTTCTTTGACACAGCTATGGCGGTTGGATGCTCGATCGTTGTCTCGACATCACTTGCATCCAACCAATCCCAACCTGGCTTCTAGTGTCACTCTATAGGCAAAGATTCAAGTTTCAATTCTTTGGAACATCCACCTCTTTTTCGCTATCGCCCGTACTAGTCTGCTCGATGATGATCGGTGATTGATAGTAGAGGTTGAACATCTCATTTCCTTCTCTCTCAAATCCTTTGTACTTCAACACCTACATCATTCTTGTAAATAGACAGTTTTTGAGTTGAAATATGTACTACGCCAACCACTTTTGCAATAACAGCTGTTCCTCAAATTGTTCTTCAATTCGAAATGATTTTGAGCTTAGAAGTAGGTGCAAGTCTCCCCTGCGGGTGTGGGGATTTCCCTTTGGGAACTGCCTGGCCAGTGCTACACCCCCATATATGCCCTCCTCAGCAAGACTTGTGTCAAGGTCAAAATGAAACATACCTAGAGAAAGCAACATTGGTAAGGTGAGAGAAACAATACAGAATGTCACAGATTGTGACATGCAAAATGAAGAGGAGGGAGCACACCACAGTTGCAGATGGCAACCCAGGATTTTGAGGGTGTGCAAATTTTTGAGCAAAAGAATAGTGTTTTTTGTATTTACAGGGTTTTTTGAGCCCATACAATCATGAACTATGTTGAATTTTTCTCAGTTCTGTCTCTCTCTGGCCTTCATCCCTTTCTAGTCATCACCAATCAGACCAGTTTATATTAATCAAGTAGGTTGTATTTTGGTTGTTTCTAAGCCCCTTCTGAGTCAAATTTGAACCTGAAGTAATCAGCTATTCCTAACCACTCATGTCTCAATGATTAATTCTTCTTTTTTCTGATTTATTGATTGATTTACTAAAGCCTGATTAATTAGAATTAACGACTCTAAATATTTGTGGATTATAGCATGTTTTTCTTGATTAAATCATCTGGCTCGACTAAAAGAGACTGAGAAGCCCTGTCCGGTTTGTTTCTTCCAATACTCATGTTTCTTTCTCTCAGTGTTTTATTCAATATGCTTTTTCTATTCATTTCTCATAACCACTTGTTCACCACTTCTACTTAGTCTATTTAAACCTGACTAGATACTTGTGAATAAAAATCATTGGTTCTTTCATTCAGTTTCCGTGAGCCTTTCCCAAGAAAGACCCTCAACCTTTTTTGAGCCCTTTTCTCAAATTTCCTCAAAGTCTTCCCTTCTTGAGTCATAAAAACTCAACAAACTATTACCTCAGAGTATTGCATAAACACTCAAAATAGGTGCTGCAGGTGCTTTGGGGACCTTCAAGAGGCATAAGACCATGAATAAGCCTAACTTAAACCCATAGTTCTGGGTTTAAGTATGGCTTTTGGTAGGCATGTCATACAAATAAAAAAAGAGCACCCGGTGTAGATGCTTAGTGGCTACAATTTTGAACTCTACACATCTGTAGGAGCTCAAAACTGCAATAAAAATACATATCAAGGCATAGGCCCTGCGTGTCCATTTTGGTTTTTGCAGGCAGGGCATGGTTGGTCTATGCTGTCTGGAACTGTAGAGAAAAAAAAGGAGAAAAAAGAGAAAGTGAACCCTCCATCCCCATTCAACTGAGAACTCACACATGCTCACATAATCATCAAGAATCCCCAGTTGCTAAGACTCTTGCCAAGCCCAACCAACCCAGCTCAGTAAAGAACACTAATCATCTTCTTACTTAGCTAGGTGAGCCCCCTCCTTTCTTCTCACTTCACAATTCTTTTCCTTGTCAGGATCTTTGCAGAATAGAGGACACTAACCAATACCATCTTGTCACTGAAATAGAAGACACTAACCATCTTCTCACTGAGATAGAGGACACTAACAATCTTCTCACTGAGATAGCAATTTATACACTCAAGTTCTCAGAAGCTTTCTCTCCCATATTATCTGTATCTTTAACATTTGTGCAACCCACTGTCCAGTGAAGAACTATTTAGAGCTCTTACAACAGAGAATACATGGAAACAGACCTGTGGATACCTCAATGGAGTGTGGGAGTGGGCACACCCTTTTGGAATTGATCTCATTGGAAATTCTCTTAGATCATATCTAGATCTGAGTTTGGGTCTGGATCTGCCACCCTGTTTTCTAAGATTCTGCAGGAGACCATGATAGACTTCCTTATGGCTGTCCCCAAAGTAGTTTCTGGACTTGGTTTCAATAAAGCATTGTTGGAATACAGTTGTACATACATAGTGCTGCTTGGACTCAACCTATCTGAAATCTATTCACATCAATATGTTCACTCAGTTCATTGATAACCACAGTTTTGAATTGGCATCTTGGAGCTCAAAATTTGAGCTCCAAGATTAAATAATGCAAGGCTTGAATTAATGGCAGTGCTTTAAATGTCTTCCAACATTTTGTGGTTTTCAATTTTTTGAATTGATTTCTTCAAGTGAGTTATGGTACATACATATATTGCTAGAAACAAGTCTAGATTCTAATCAAATTCCTCTTGGAATCCTGTTTGATGAATATTCTATCATTGTTGCAGATGATGACTGATTTATTCTCCAGATTTTCGCATTTCAGATTACCACGGCACAAGCAATACCTCAAATAATGTGCCCAAAGTGCATCATCAATCAGATATGGTAGAATTCAAATTTCATCAGGTCTCCAGACAAAGGACCACTGAAAAATGGGACAAGTATATGATTGAGATACTCCACACTAAATCTCAATTTTCAAATAAATCTGAAGGCTTTTCTGGACAGAACAAGATGCCCAAAATTTGTGCAATTCACTTGCATTACAAGCTGACTCTCTCCACTATAATCTATCTACATCAATTTATTTACATATTTCCTAAGCCACTATAATAATACCCCCCCCTTCTCTTTTTTAGAAAAACAAGCAAAGTGAAAACAATACAGAAGGTCATGAAAAGTAGGACACACAAGTAGTTATAAGATAATTCATGACAGTAGTGTTAACAATATCTCCTATATATTATGAGCCCATTTGGAAAGTGTTAGCAGCACTGATACATTTTTCAGCGGTAGAGAGGAATAGATTATTCCAAGTGATCAACCAGGTCTTGAGATGATTTTGGGATGAAGAATTATTAACTGTGGGGATCAGAGGCAGGACATAGAGCGTCACAAGGAGCATATTGGACTGAAGAAGATGTAAAACTCTACCGGCTGATTTAGAGAGACCTTGGGCCGTTTCGGCATTGTTGGTTTGCTCAGCCTTACTGAAGGTTTTGAGGATCTTGTTGAGCTCGGTAGCGATTAATTCAGTCGATCGGCACAGAGTACGGAGCTGATCGGAGCTCATCGCAGTAAATGATTGCAAGGGGGTTTCGTTCAATCCGCTTGAGGATAATTTTCTAAAAAACATTCTAGATAATTTGACGATCGGTACGGCCGATCGAGCGAGTTGAATGATGGGTGCGCTGGGAGCTTTGATCTTAGACTGGCCGTCTTCGTCTGAGTCGGTCCTTGAATTGATCAGCTTGGTTAACTTGGCGAGCATATCATCAATGCTAGAGAGATCGATCTTCCAATCCTCCTGGATGATAGTCAATTCGTGGCCTCGTAACCATTTGATCATTCTGTCGATCGAGTCCGACGCGATAGCTGCAAATTGGGTTACACGTCCTCTAGCGTTAAATTTGCGAGCCCTACGACGACCTGCGCCTTGGGAGAGCTTCGATTCTTGAATGAGCATAGTGCAACCGTCAGAGAAGAAGCTCAATTCATGAGTTAGGAAGCTGATTTTGAATACTAGCTTCTGAGATCGAAAGTCTTTTAAATCTTGCAAGTAATGATCATCGGTGTGTGCACGTGAGAACAATGGTTGGTGGCAAATGATAGTAGCATAAGATACGATTTGGGATACAGTGTGATCAAACTCCGATTGGAGCTCTGAGATTAGGTCGAGTTTCCGACCTTTATCTTTGCGTAAATTGAATGAGCAGATGGATCTGGACAGGGCGTTGACCTGATGACGGAGTAAAGGTAGAAGGCTACATTCCAAGCAACTGAGATTTGATTTCCAACTCGCTTGGTCAACTGGGATAGCTTGTTCGAACGGCGTGGGGCGAGGCTGGCCCAATGAACGACAATCGTACTTCGTCCTGAAGCTTCTAAAGGCCGCAGCAATCACATCTACATGGAAAGGATCAATCGAGTTTTCGATGAGAATGAGATGCTGTTTTTAAAATTGAAAGCCGGGGGGGGGGGCGGATAACTTGGATGAAAAATAGGAATTTACCTCTTCGCCGCGAGATCGATTGATCGGTGCCTGAAGGACTTGAGGCTGGTTTGGTTGATTTGTCCATTTGAAAAGCAAAATAGATTTATGAGTTGTGCAGTATATTCTCTCCCTGCACTCCAAACAAGAGGCAAGGAATCCTGTGGGAATGAAAGTAGTTGGCTCTGGTTGGTAGCTGGGGTTGTTTGAGGAGTCGAATCGAAAGGCAGCTCTCAAGGTCTTTACCGCCGTAGTAACGCTGGATGGTACTGCATAGAAGGATATGAAAGGAAAGGCCCCACAAGTCTCAAGACAAAGGGACTTCGATATTACGGTACATGATAGGTCAAAGGTATTTACAATTTACCACCACACACCGATTCGCATCATGGCACTGCATAAGTGGGGAGAGGACAAAACCTAGACAAGAGTCTGATTTAGACCGATCCTGCCATGAAAAGTAGTCACCGGCACGGGAGGTTCCGGCACAGGACAACTGCTCCGATGCGCAGGCGGTAAGAGTATCGAGCAAGAGGGGCAAGTCATGGAACGAATTCCTTCAGCTCGAGGACGCACGCCGCGCGAGCTGCTAGTCAAGGCATATGCCGGATAAGCTCACTCATTGGTTTCGCGTAGTCCACCCCGAACTTAACACAAGTCCTGTTTCCCTGCTTGGTCGGCGTTGGCATGAGACAGAGAGGCTTGTGTTAGGCTCGAGTCCACCCCCAAGTTAACTAAGTCCCTCCGGCAGTTGATCCGATTGCGGAGGTCCCCCCTCCCATAGAGGGACTTAGTTAAGTTAGCCGTTGCCTAGCTTAACAAAGCCTCTCCCGGGGCGTCCCCGCGGGACGCTCTCTGTAGGTTAAAAACCGACTGCAGGCGAGGGAGTTGTATGTAGAGCCGCCGCGATGGACGAAGTGGACAAAATTATGTGCCCGCTTGCAAGTTGCGGGGGAAGATTCCCACCGGCACGGGCAGGGTACCTCCTTCTGGCCGAGCAGCGGGCTGATAAGAGCTTGAGCCTTGTGATCAGGGGCAATCATGCTCTTCATCATGATTACCCTATTCTTTAATTCTCATGTTTAAGCAGTCCGAAATGGACTAGTGACGCAGATAGACTCATGGTACTGTTAGAATCGAGTTCCCACCATCATGCATCCACTGCCACCGGTGTCCACTGCCCCATTAAAAACCTGAGACCCACCCTAGAGGCTACACAGCTCGGATGCTAACTCCCGAGCGAGAGTCCTGACAACCACAACCTGACTGGCAACCCCACTGCAATCCTCATCGACGTGGGCTATAAAGCTCGCCCTCGACCGCCCACAGTTGCTCTCTCCCCCATCCCATCCATCATCTTCTTTCTATCACACACCCCAGAAAACAAACAAACCTTCGCATTTTTCCTTCATCTACAAACAAACCCAACAACCATGCTTGCCCGCGCCTTCCTTTCGTCGGTTTCGTGTCTCCTCCTACTTGGTGGCCTTGCAGCCTACCAACCTGCACCCCCGAATGCCCGGGTAAGCCTGATTCTTCTTAGCTTCTTCGAGCACTTCGACTTTCTCGTTGTTATGTAGCACCTCCGACAATAAGAAAGGAAAATCACTTTCAGGATAAATAGGTACTAACTTAAATAAACAACTCTTTGATGCAAATAGTACATCTGCAACGGGTCGAAGACCGTCGTCGCTGTCGTCAACCCCGACACTCAACACGTCTCTCGTGTCGACGATCAGGGCAACATGAAAGACACGCCCAGCGGGTTCTGCAAATGCACCGGTACATCGTTCAGCTGTGACGCCCCGCCAGACTTCTACATCCCCGACGGACCCCATCTCACTTGCACCCAAGAGGGATCCAAAACTTGTTACTGAATTCCCGCTTCGGCGACTCTCCGTGATCGTTTCCTGAATCCCTTTTCTTCCCACGTCAAGATGTATAAAGAGTTAGCTACTTTTTGGACAGATTCCACAAAATCGTTTCGTCTTTTTGTGTCTTGTTTTTCTCTCTTCCCCATCGGGTGGAGTTCGCAATTGTCAAGTAACAATCAAGACTTCTAAAATATGTCTGCGTGTCTTGTGCGTGGGTGCTCCAGCGTGGGCTTGAAAAACCAAGAAAGAGAAAACAAGTGAGATCCAGACGGAGAAAGTTTTCATAAGTCATTCACAGGAAGGTGGAGATGGTGCGTCCGCCCCGGTCTTCAATACTTTTGAATCCTCTTGAGTCTTGATGGATGCGTATGACGCTTGGGGATCGGGTGTGGTAGCATTGAATGCGGCTGTCGGGCACAGTTGACCAACCAAATTTCAGGACTAAGTCTGACTGAAGTGATTTGCCGCAGAGGCCCAAAGACTTGTATTTAGATCCGACAATGCAAACCAGGAAAGCAAGGTCTCATTGAACGCGGATGCGGTCCCTAGGCGGGGCTGAATCTGGGCTTACAAGCTCACCAGAAATGGGGAGATGAATAATTGCTTTAAACTTATGAATTTACTGGAACGTACAACTAGACAGGTCTCAGTCGGGAGGGCACAAGATGCCATATAAGAAACAATTTGGGCTGATCGTGTCATGAAAGGTTACCGGTGCTGGCTAACCTATCCAAGGCGCCTCCAGTAATAATATGTGTCGATCACGAGGGCCTAAATTCTAATTACGGAACGGATTCCTTCAGCTCGAGCTTCGAGGCCGCACGAGCTGGTAGTCTAATGCAATACCGGCACTGGCACAACGTCACTCATTGGTTTCGCGTAGTCCACTACTATTTCCGCTCCAGCATTTTCTAAGGTCGACCGCTTCGAGATAGGCTCAAGGTGTTCTATGATGGTTGATCCAGCCCGGGGGGCGAGGATACCTTGTATTGAAGTTGCTCGCTGTCAACAGAGCCTTCCATGACCAGCAGGGACAAGTTGCTCGCCGAGAAATCCTCTGGGACGAGCGGGACGTACGCCTGTCTCCTTCTGGCCGAGCAGCGGGTTGAGAAGATCTTGATCAGAAGGGAAATCATGCTCACCATGGTTAAACATATATTCCCGATAGTCCGATAAAAACCTGATCTGGTTCGGAATCGGATGTTGAGTGAGATGGCCTTCAACCTTCATCTACTTACTTACTTGCGCTATAAAACTCGCCTCCGACCGCGCCCAGTCGCTCTCCATCATCTCAAACAATTTTCAGCATACATAGTGCACTGCAGAAAACAAACAACCGTTCACACTTCATCCGGACCCAAATCAAGACAAGTTCAACACCCATGCTTGCCGGCGCCCTTCTTCGGTCGATTTCGCGTCTTCTCTGATCCTCGTTGTCGGCCTTCCGGCTCCCCAACCTGTTACCTGCACTCCCACCTCGCTGTTTGCAAGGGATAAATAGCTACTATGTAACTTCAAGTCAACCGCGTTTCTCATAAATACCGGCGAATGCAATCGGAACAAAATTGTAATCATAATGAAACTCCATACAAAAATGCCGACAGGCACTACGATTAACGTCGACATTTGTTTGCTTGCTTCACTTGTCTCGCAACATCACTTCATCCATGCAATTTTTTTTCCCTCTGACTGTTGTTCTGACCTCATTAATGTGGCTCGTCTCGAACGATTATACATAATTCTTACTTTTGTCATAGAGTTTCTGCCCATCAAGGAGGTAAGATCTCTGCCAAGCTTTCGGCCGACCAAAGCGTAAAAAAAAAAAAAAACATTTTTTTAATAATACAGCTTGCTATTCGTCTTCGTAAAAGCTACGCTCCGATCCTTCTTCCTCTTCATCGAGAGCCTGGTCGGCAGAGGGAAGGGTCTCGAGGCCTTCGATCCCCGCAAGGCCTTCCTCCTCGAGCCTTCTCTCCTCTTTCTGTCTCTTGATCCGTTCCTGTTTAGCTTTCATCTTTTCGATGATCCGACTTGCTCTACCGTGATCAAAGATTGATTGATTAGTCCGGCATTTTGATTCCAGTCAGCCTGGCTTCCTGCTCCCGCCAAACAGATTTTCATCATCGAAGAATACAGATCATCAAGACGCTTACTTGTTGAAGATCCCGCCCGTTGGCGTCCCACATGCAAAGCATTTCGGCGTCTTGGCGAACCGCTTGATCGCACAGCCGGAACAGAAGTAGTGGTGACACTTGGTCACGATCGGGTCGGTGAACGGCTGACGGCATATCAAACTGAGACATGGTGAGAGATGAGTTAGACGTGAAGTTTCATGGTTGGTTGACATGATGAAGGTACCTACCATGCAAACGGCACTTCTTCTTCTTCTTCTTCAGATTCCGCCCCATCCGTTTTCTTGTTCCTCGACGAGTTGAATGCATCATCTAGTTGCCATCCGTGCATGTAATCACCTCGATCATGTAAGAACTAAGTACGATTCGTCATTAAGAAGGAGGAACAGATCAGGAACAGTTACTTGAGGATGGGTTGATTGAATGATGATACAAAGAAGATAAATTCACGAAACTTTACAAGTATCACCGAAACCACAATATCCAGTCTCTTTATAATCCTTGCAGACATCGGGCTGGTAATCGACGACGGTGATCGTTTTGATGTTGTTGGGTCCGCCCTTGATAGGGCCATACTTCTGAGAGCCCTTGGGCAATTGGTATTTACTCTTGGAGGTGCCGAGATAGATCTTAGGGTCTGGGCCTGGTTCGGGCTCGGCCTGGTCCGGCTCGAGGCCTTGACGGGCGTGTTGATCGAGCTCGCGTTTCTCCAGGATCGCTTTTTGGTAGGCCTCCTCGGCTTGTTGTCGTGCCGAGCCTTGAGCTTGGTAGGCCACGCCGACTGCTCGCGGCTTCGAGTCATCATCTTCCTCCCCATCTTCCTCCTCCTCGTCCGATGAGGAGCCGCTTTGGTCAGCTTTCGAGCGCTTGGAGGATCCAAGGGTGGCTTGACATAGCGGATTGAAATTCCGCTGGTTTTTCCGTCGGTTGAATTTGACAACCGGCTGTTGCTGCTCTTGATTCGATTGTTCGTGCACCAGTTTTGATTTCTTGATCTGAGAAAGACTGGGATCATCCTGATTCGTCGTCGTCGTCGTCGTTACAGGTTCTGAATCGATCGTCCGTTTTCTGATGATCTGGTTCTGAGAGATCTTCTTGTTGCGTTTCTTGAATAATGATGACGAGCCTGTCGATGGGCCTCCTTCCTCCGCTCTGCCATCTCGTTCGTTCTGAGCTTCCTTGGGGATCTCCTGCTCGAGTTGGTGGTTGTCTGCCATAATGTTTTCAATATGTATTTTTTTTTGAAGTGGGGGACTCTGACCCAGTCGAGTCAGATCTGAGGCCAGACCCTCTTGTGGGGGCTCGACGTCGAGGCTGCTGTGCTACATATCCTGCCCTACCAAAAGAGGCACAAGTTGTTTGATCGCCAACAAGTCCTCTCCGGCAATCGGGCCCGTATGCTCTCGTATGTACGCCTTGGTACGGAAGCTCAGGGGGACACAAATCGCGCCAGCGCAAATCGCGCACATCCTTTTTTTTTTTGGATCTGCGAACATCTCACACTAAATAGAAAACACACAGCCCTACTACATGATGTGACTACTGATTTTATACTGTTCATCAGGTAGACGCTCCACTCGATGGCGGACGACCGGTCATCAGTAGAGTACGTACTCAACCTGATAACCGGCCAAAACCGGCCATCAAGTGGGGTATGTAATCCACTCGATGGTCGGTCAAAACTGTTCCATACTTCACTCAATGGCCAGTCTTGACCGGTCATTGGGTGGAGTACACACTCCACTTGATGGCAGGTTAAGACCGGTCATCGGATGGAGTACACCTCCACTCCATGGCCGGCTCCCCAATTCGACCACCTTTCTTCTTTGTCCAGCTCAGCCTTTTTGGCCAAGCACTGACAGTGTTGGGCTATAAACCAGGTGGTGCCCCGGTCATCTGACCTGACATCTGGTCTGATCCTTCCAACGGAACAGTGGATTCCCCATTCCATCACCCTTACAATTGACGCGGGTGAGCTGAAGCGAATGATTGTAGCTGGAAATAAAAGACGTGTCAAGTCAAAGTGACCGACAGGTTTACAAAGTCGTACCACAAAAACGTGACCCACCTTTCAAACAACGTGGAAACCAACGAAAATTGTGCCTTCATGATGAGAATATCGACGACTTCATGTGAGAGGATCTATAATCTCAACGAATCACACATTACTTTTGTTTTCCCTTGCTATCGATCAGCCTTAGGGGACTCTACCTTCCCCAGTGTTAGTGAAAAAGGTAGATCCCAAAAAAACAGGAGCCACCCGAAATCAGAATCAGACTGGACAAAGCTCCAAGTTCGCCCAGTTTCTTGGTCGCGACTCCCAGATGTTGTCTTACAGACCAAGTGCCTCACCGACGATTTTGTGCGCTCCAGTAAATTGCTTTGCTGACGGGATTTTTCCCGCTACATTGAGTGTTAAACACTGAGACACTCTATGTAGATCCAGGGATGAAAAAAGAATCGAAACTTGGTTAATTAGGCGAGGTTTTTGGCTTGATCACATATAAGAACACTGGAAATCGATGTTCGCGTAGACTGCGTACATCACAAAATCCAACATTTGTGGCATCAGCGAAAGCTATACTACTTGCCTGATGCAAATCACGGTCATCGTCCGTGGCCGGTCTTGACCGGTCATTGGGTGGAGTACACCCCCACTCCATGGCCGGTCTTGACCGGTCATCGGGTGGAGTGTGTACTCCCGTCAATGACCGGTCAAGTTAACCTGCCATCGAGTGGAGTACACACTCCACCTGAAGACTGTTTAAAACCGGCTATCGAGTGGGGTATGTACTCCACTCGATGACCGGTCTTGCTTACCGGCCATCAAGTGGAGTGTGTACTCCACCCGATGACCGGTCCAGACCGGTCATTGACGGGAGTACGTATTCCGCTTGATGCCCGGTGAGCAGTTTTTGTCGGGTGGGGTGCATACTCCACCTGATGACAGTTCAAAGCCATCAAGTGGAGTACACATCCCTCCACTTGATGGCTGGCCAAACCGGCCATGTACTCCACCCAATGACTGCTCATATCCAGCCATTGAGTGGGGTATGTATTCCACCCGATGACCGGTTTTAACCGGCCATCAAGTGGAGTGTGTAGTCTCGTTGATCACCGGTGTTGGTGTTGACCGGCCATCCGAAGAAGCGTTTTAACTGGTCATCGGGGGGGTGTTTTTGGGTGGTGAGAGTTTGAAAGCATATACATAGTGTGTATGCAATGAGTACATTCACCGGGTACACCGCGGGTGCAGAAATTTTTGAGCTTGACGGTCAATCTCCTCGGCTGGGCAGTTGACGTCGAACTCTGAATTGGTACGGCTAATAGCCGTATGCCCAGGCCTCGACGCCTCCTCACCCCGCCACTGACGGACCAAAGACCGCCATCACCAAGGGACCCAGCCCTGCGCCGTCACCTCTGAGGTCACAGGGGCGAGCCGGCAGTCGGCTCGGCGCAAGACGGCGGGCTTTTTCTGCCGTCTCCCGCCGTCCAAATCAAGCCCACACCTCTGAGAGACAGCGAAGTACCCAGCTCGCGCACGTGTCAGCTCCACATACGACTCTTGCCAGTTTCTCAATGTGGGCATGTGCTACAGCGGCACTGCAGCTCACGCAATTTGGATGCTGAGACAACTTCAATTCTAATTGCACACCACCGAAAACCGTCACATTGAGTATGCAGGAGAACGAAGCAAAGTAGAACACAAGAATAATTGTTAAGATGCTTCCGGGGCCAACTGCTCTTCCCCTTCATCACCATCGTCACCTCCCGCATCGATCCAGGCGGCAAGTCCCTCCTCTAACATAGGGATGAGGTCGCTAACTTCATCCTCACCTCGTGGTAAGTCAACCCACTCCCGAAGGGTCCTTGATCCAGGCAACTCAAGAGAATTGACCACGAAATCGACTGTGTTTTCGTGCGCCACAGTCGCATTATTCTCCTCCGACTCTTCACGTTCCACTCGAACGGTGCCGGTCACCTTTACATCGCAGCCTGCCGCATGGCAGTTATGCTGTACGTTGAGCGTTGATACCACATCCTGCCGAATTGATACAGTCAGCTTGCATCTGCAACCAGGCAAATCAATCTCACCAACCACATACCTTGATATTGACAAACTTGGTGATGCCGGTTTTACGAAGCGTTCGCATCCTGTAGAAAGAGTCCACCCCCCTCCTCTCATACTCGGTGTAACAAACCCAGTAGGAGATGTGTGATTTCCTCCTCGACTCCCACAAGTGATCCACACATCCGACCATACTTGGTTCACCCAGCGCGGTTGGTCGTACCTGCTCCCAGACCCGCAGATCAGGCAATCAGTACATAGAAAAGTCATAGTGCAAAGTCTCAACTTACCAAAAAAAGGCCCCTTTTTGAAGGCGCCGGTGAGCGTTCAACTGAATGGCATGCAACTGGAAAAACTCTCGTCCCGGCAGATGTAATTTCAAGGGTGGTGGTACTCGAGCCTTGTCCCCAGGGGGGGATCGTACATTTATTGGGTTGGGAAAGTCAGAGTCGCCATGTGCTGCCCTGCCGTTATAGTCCATTGATTTTTGGATGAGTGGGTTGTCCCCGAAAAGATGAGATACTTCCGCGCCAGCCGCTACATATTTTCCTGGTTCCTTGGGGTGCTGGAAATGTCCGCCGCAAATGAGGTGTCGAAGTACCTTGTAGTTTGCAAATGTAATTGCAATATCCTTTCCCGGACTTTGTCGATTTGAATGGATAGATGCGTTCCTCAGGACACCATTGTAGCTTTCAAACTTTTCAGTAGCAAATAGGCTTGCCGGTCCAAATCTTTCAATCGAGTCTGGCAAGTGAAGTAGCATGTGGAACTTGGGCTTATTGACCCACTGCGCTGTGATCTTGATAGTGTGATAGAGGAATTTCTGTATGTGATAACGGAGGTCGGAAACGTATGAGTCCATGTCATCGATCCGAGTTTGGAACACCAACGGGGCCAGTTCACATAGTGCCGACCACGCACGCCGTTCCTCTGCAGTCATGAAAGTGAACAAAACAAAAGGTGCACTTTGGAGAACAATCTTAAATTCCTTCCCAACAAAATTGGTTGAATGCCTCGCCATGTAGTACGGCGACAGCGAAGGAATATTCAGCGAGGTAGTGACAAATGCTCGGTACCAGCCCTCAATGACCCCTAATTGGGCTGGCTTGGCCCGTCCCATGACATCTCGAACCATGTATTTCACCACCCCAAGGAGAAAAACATGCAGGACCTCGACCGGGGTGTCTCTACAGCCATCAAAGTCTGGCAAAATGATGATCAGCTAAGTCAGCTTTTGGTCAAGGTAGGCTGGACACACCCCCACCGAGAAACTTGCCTGGTACTCTAAAAAAGGGGTTAAATAGCCTCTCCGGGTTTGATCGGTCTGTGTCCGCAATCCTTTTGGTGAAAGCATGGTTGGCCGCTGTAGCACCTGCTCCCTTTGCCTGTATGCTGTACTTGAATAGCAAGATTTCGTTATTGACCGAGTCTTTAATCCCCAAGTCGCCCCCCAGTTGAGCCACCCGGGTTTTTGTCCTCGCTTCCTTGGACATATCCCACAACAGATAGCAGTTGGCGATTATTCCTAGCCAGGATCGAAAGCCGTTCCGGATCTGCCAGAAAGTTGGTATGAGCTAGAAGTCTCCCAACTTGAAAATGTGAATGATTTGTGAATGATTGGACTTACCCAACAGCCATCAGCACTAATTTGCAGAAAGAACTGCAAGTATGCCATTGTCTTCTTCATTGCCACACTTCCTACTGACAAATCACAAGTGCGGCACGGATTACGCGAGTTTCCAGGCATGACTGTGCTGGTTATTTCGGCATGCATAGGTGTGTCTGCCAGGAAACAGAGCAGACCGGATGTAACCAGGACTTCTTCCGACAAGCCACAATCATAAGCAACACAACCTTCCTCAACAAGTTTCCTGCCCCAAAGACAAAGTACATGTTAGGTTTCACCGTGGTAACAGTGTCTAAAACAATCTAGATCAGTACATACATTAGATCATCAACAATCCCCTCCGCAAGCTCCATGGGTCCTGCGCTGTTTGAAGTTGTAAGAAAATGACAGTTATAGTGTTGATTGGTGAGATTTGGCGGGAGTCCGGCAAGGGTGAAGTAGTAAGAAATGTGTTTGTTCCATTTTTTGGAACTGTTACCCGATGTATCATCCGCATACAGACAAATTGGGATATGTCGAATGACCCGCCCGGCCGCTTTCAACCACCATGGATTGAACATCGGTCTGATCACTTCGCGGTTGGGGCCTACATCTACATCAATGAGCTGGTTTCAGTATATTTGGGGTAATCTCAAGGTATGTGAATTGGAGAAATGAGCCTTACCATACAGTCTGTTCCCACACAAGTCTGACATCAATCCGCCATTTGCAACAGTCATAGCTGGATATTCAATTGCAAACTCATCAACCCTCAAGCTGTTCAAGTTCGGAGAGTCAAAAGGGGCGTCCTTGGGGATCATGAAAATCAATTCCCCTGTTTCAAAGGAGGTCTCAATCTCGGGTGTGTGGCAGCGGGCATACATACACCCATTTGATTCAAAGAAAAAAACCGGTATCACAATGAGACCAGACTTGAGCTCGACCAATTCATGCAAATAGAAATCCCGTCCCCCATGTCGCACCATCTGCGCCCGGGTGTTGGTTCCCAGTTCCTTAAGCCATTTTCGAGACTGGGACAACCTGGACACTGAGCTTCCTTCGGTAAGTTCTGGATAGTATCGAAGGTGGGGTTCAACAAGGGGGTTAGCTATTTCAAGTGCCAGGGTCTTCTGGAGACTAAGGAAGTAGACTGGGCTGTTGAGCACGGATCGCCGGCCAATCACGTCCATCCCGATCATCTTTCGTAGCTTTGTTTTACCACGTCGGATGGTAGTCCAATCTGGAAGCGCTGTCCCGCATAGCGTAAACATCAACCTGACATGACTGTACATGACACGGGAGATGATGGTGCGGGTGTGACCAACAATCAACGAGCTGATGAGGTACTGGATTACTCAAGCAAACCAGATCCAATCAGATCATAATTTAAAGGATCAAAGGAAGGACTCCATATTTGTCTGACCTCTTTAGCCCGGAAGGGCCACCATTCCGTGTTTTTTGTATTTTGGCCTTGCGAGTCCCTGTGTTCATCCTCAAAGAAAGGGCCAGGTATGTCTTGAGTAGGACAATCATCTGGGATGAGGCCGTCCCACCCGTCGGTGTCACTGCTACCGCTCGATTGAGAGGATTCTACGCCCACCGGTTCTGATCGATCACTGAAGCACTTGTCTTGGTCGATAAAATCCAAATCCCTTCTCAATTCCGGTGACCCTGCTTCGCTCGTTGGACACTGTTGTGGCGGATCATTGAGTGCCGAGGTCCATTGCAAATCAGGCGGGCCTCGAGAAAGCTCATCCAACGCGGCAACCTCGGCCCGAGCAATGTCTGCCTGACGCCGAACTTGGTCAATGTGAAAAGGAAGACTTTCATGCACGTGAAGATTTTTCGCCATGGATCCCCTGCCGCCGCCGCCACAGATTCGACAGAACCACTTGTCACGCTTATCGCCAGGCAATCGGTACCATATTCCTGATAACAAATAAATCATCAAATGTTCAGTCAACCCCCAAAATCATGATATTTGACAAAATTTTCTTACTCTCATCAACCTTCTGCTCCACCTTCTTTCTTGAGTGCCGAACCATAAGTGCAATTGTCAATTCTTAGAGGAAAAGTTGACGAGAGAGTATAAAATTCACTGTTCCTGAAAGACTACCAATCAGATACCATGTGTGTTGCCAATCGGCATGGCAGTCAAACACAGAGTGTATCCTCTGGCCTTGCCGCCGCGGATTGTCGGATGATTGCTCCCATTCAACTCAGCAATCATCGCCAATGTGCTAGTCGGTTGTGTTTAACCGTGATCCTCTGGGAACATTTCCAACTATAAGCAACAAGGAGAACGGATTGACCCGATCATGATTGGGTCATTCATTTGACCCAATCATGATTGGGAATCCAGATGAAGTGATCGGACACTTCGGTAAATAGACAATCCACATCAGCCATAGGGCTGTGCCTTGAACAAGGAAGGGGCTGGACAAAGTAATCACCTTTCCAACCCCAAGATGCTAACCCATTTGGTCTCAATGTCCTAACCGAGGTGATCACTTTCACCCAATGCTGAAAAATCACGAAGTCTGATCACCTGACATGGGAAAATTGTCAATTACCGAGCTGCCCCAGAATCTCAGTGCAGTTGTCATAAGTGGTGGAGCCCAAAGAAATGAAGTCTGATCGGGCTGCCTTTGGGATGACTACAAATTTTTTGCTGGCTGGCAGCAAATTGGCGCGGCCAGGCCCCCGTGTTACCGAGGCTGCTTGAAATGAGGAATCGATCGTTTTTTTCTTTTGCTTGGGGGGGGGAAAGTTGCAAGGGTTTATGGGTCTGCTGTAACCAAGTTCCCCAAAGGGATTGGAGATCACAACGCAGTACATAAAATGAGCCGACTTTGGACCAAAGTCAGGCTTCCCAGTTTCCACCATCCGCTTTCCGTTTCAAACTCAACCAAACACTTTCAACATCAGTTTTACTCCTTCTCCTTTGACCGATCCTCAATATAAATTCTTGAATTCTTTTAAGCAACAACCTTCACCAGATCACTCAAATCGGCCTTATCACTGAGCCCCCACCCAGTCTTCACTCAACTCGGCTTTCTCCCCAAGTCCCCTTTCACCTGCCCACCCAGTCCGACAAGAATGTCTACCACCAGCCAATCCGACAATGAAGCCCAGTCCCCCCCTGCCCAGGTGGCACGAAACACCCGCAATCCCCGCTCAAACCCAGCCACTCTGCAAAACAATCGAGCCCGTCCCTACCCTCCTGCCTTATCACACCAGTTGGGTAGCAGAGTGACCAACCACGGGACTGATACACCTCGTTAGTATCTAGCTCATGATCTACAACTGCATGATCACATGACTGACCCAACCTATTTGCTAGCCCCAGAGGGCGGGCCTGCAGGTCGTGAGAGTCCTACTGCCCGACCGGCATCGGTGGGGACTGTGCGCCATTACGGGCGGCCAGGAACTGGGGTCGTTCGACCGTGGCCGCCAGCCATAGTGCCTTTTGAAACGTCAGAAGCGGAGTTTAATGAAGAATATGTGAATCTACTTGGTCGCACATTCAATATCCGTGCACCGTACATGGACTTCGCGGAAGAACTTGTTCAGGCAAGTCAACTTAACAATTCCTTGTTTGAATCGAACCACATGACCTTGACAACAATTTTCCCTCTCAGGTCCCTTCGGACCGACAGTATAGTGTACTCTTGTATTCAATCATTTCTGTCCGGCAAGCAGTTGAATCGCTGCTTCGCACCCGAGATGCAGCTCAGAACGCCTCAACTAGCTCTCCGGCAATTCCATTGTCTGTACAGGCTCAAATCTTCCCGTACCAGAGGCATTTCAAGGCAAGTTTTCAGGTTTCAACCGCTTCTCTTTGCTGCTGCATTGCATATACTTGCAACTGGATGACCACCGCTCTGACTAACACAACTCCTGTTGGATCACATCAGACATTTGTCCAAACTAGAGCTAAGGAAGTCCTCATGAGTCCAGCTCTTGATGTGTATTCGTGCGATCCAGTTAGGGGGGCGCCACCTGCAGGCCGAAGCCTTCTAGACCAGGTCTTGGTGAGTGTTTGCGGTGCATGATTTTCCATGTACAATGGAACTGATTACAACATTACATATGTATTCCACCCAGGAACACGTGGTAAACCAGTCTGATGAGTTCAAGCTTGATTACCTCCCAGTTGGCTTCATGACCGGCGACCTTGCTGCACGGGCCAGTTTGAACACCGAGCTTCGCGAGCGATTGAAGCACGAACGTGGAGCAATGCGAAATCTCGTCAGTGGACTTGTCATAGTACCTTCCTCTTCTCCGAGCTGACATTGACATGCTGGACAGCTCCTCACGAATGTTCATGATCCCTCTGGCCGTCCGATCACGCACCCTGTTCCAAGTCTCACCAGCCTCATTATTGATGTAAGTTGGACTCATGATGGTGAGGTCAGATAGCAATGATCACAGCTCACAATGGTGCTCTGATCCAGATGACGCAAAGAATGATTCCGGGTGTAGAGCAAGCAGCTGCTCATGCTTCAAATCGTCGGTTGAGGTCGCGAATCGCTCACCTGAGGATCCAGACCATATCGCACTACGCCAGACGGGGCGGGGGTGAATCTAACCGACAGTGGGCCATAATCGATGAGCAGCTGATGGACCTGCGAGGGAGGCCTGCCTTGTATCGCCGAGCGTAAGTACTGCCTCCCTGCCATAGCTGATTTGGTTGCTTACTCTTCTTCTTTGCGCCGTTTTTAGTTTCTACAGGCTAATTATTCAGCTGGATGCCGTGACCTTCGGTGATACCTTGTACGTCGACATGGATGTGGATAACATTAAGGTCCCGTCGGAGGAGGAGGTTCTGGCCCAAATGGACCTCATGGCAGGGGAACGACTGGCGGCTGCTGAGGTGAACGGGGGGTCAGGAGAGGAGTAGTCAACCTGACATGGCTGCAGGGTTGCTTGTTTCCTGTTGCCACAAGTAGATGCCCCGGTGGCAACTGTTCTTGTTTTTCCTTCCTTCATCCGATTCCAACTCTTGAGGACCGCACATGGGCCCCTGTTTCCTCAAGGCGTCGTTTGCCGCCGAATTGTCTCTGAGGCCAAATGTTACTGCTAGAGTTGATTGACCATGTGGACATCTACGTTCTCCAATTTTCTTCTTACTCCCTACTTTTTGTGTTTAGCACTGCGTGCTAGCTTATTTTTTCCTTTTCAATGACATCCCACGCTCCCTTACCTGTGCTCATGACCCGAATGACATATCGGAATGATATATCTATATCGACTGATGAAACTCATCATCAGCTGCACAAGCTGTGTCTTACTAGGTGGGGTTTTTGAGCCGCCATCAGGCGGTGTGTTGCCGGGTCGCCGACAAGCAGCGGTCAAACGCAGCTGAGCAAAGGGACCCGGTGACGGGAATCAGACGGCTTCTTAATGCCTTCGCTTCAGGCAGGGGGTGGTAAACAGACGTGTGCTACCCTGTCCGATGACCGACCCTGCTTCCGCCGGATGTGCGAGCGCCAGGTTCATTCTGGGGGTGGGACGGCCGGAAGCAACGTCTGTGGACTGCCCAAGAGGACGGTCACGAGGGGTAATGTATCCGACGGCTCATCTCGGCCCGTCGATAGACCTTCTATGGGACCCGTAGTTGGGCCGTAGGCGCTTGCGCGGAGTGTTCCGTCCAACGACGGTCAAAAAAGACCGTCAATCTCACGTTTGCCTGCACCCGGGGTGTAGTGTGTGAATTTTGTAGCAGATCAAAAAAAAATTGGATTTGGCGCGATTTGGCGCTGGCGCGATTTGTGTCCCCCCTGAGCTTCCGTACCTTGGACCTCCTCCCCGGCCGCGAGTTATGCTTCTGGCCGAGTCCATAGCCGGTTGCAGAGAAGAGCTGGAGAGGGGAAATCATGCTTATCATGATTATCCTACATAGTCTTTCCCACCCGAATTGTGGCACCACTAGTGATCCAAACCTCATTTGGTATCCCGGCCCCATCGTGCATCCATACTGAAAACCTCGACGTGGGCTATCAAGCTCGCCCTCGACCGCGCTGATCGGCGACTCTCCTTTCTACCACTGTATCCTTCGCCATCCCACTCAAATTTCAAAAACAAAACCCATTTTTTTTTGCTAAAATCAAGACGAATTCAACAACAATGCTTGCCCGCGCGCTTCTCTCGTCGGTTTCGTGTCTTCTGTTAGCTGCTGGCCTTTCAGCCCACCCACGTCCGTCTCTCGTGTCGATAGTGGTGGGATGGAAATGTTAGATACACCCAGCGGCATCTGCAAATGCGACGGTAAATCATTCAGCTGTGACGGCCCGCCAAACTTCTACATCACCGACGAACAAAAGCTCTCTTGCGCCGACAAGAAAACCAAGAAATGTTTCTGAATGCCTGCCTTTTTTTTTTTTTTTTTTTTTTTTTTAAGTGCTAATTGATATTAACATTGCGCACTACAGTGAAAGCTATTGTGAGTATACATGCGAAGACGTTTTTGTAATTACAATCGATCATACGAAACAATGTTAAGTATTTAATTAATGACTTCTGAAGGCTTCTTTGTTTTAACTGACTGTAAGAGTGAAATAGAAAAAAAGAAACAAAAACCCGAAAGAAACCGGAAACAGAAAGAAAAAGAGCAGGACAGAGAGCAAATAAAATTTTGAGTTGAAAAAGGAAAAAATAAAAAACCTCCTCTTTAATCGTGTCTGAACATTTGGGAGAATCGATGACCTCGACTCTCTGCGCCTTGTTTCCCAGGCAAGTCGCATTGTGGGTTCCCAATCCACAACCTCTAATAAGATGAGTTCGAGAGAGAGAAGAAGCCACCGATCGCCCCGCCTGTCCAGATCGATGAACCCCCGTGTAACTTTTGAAAGAAATCTTGTTAACAACTGTTTGATCTTTGGTGTTGGAAAAAAGAATTTTGAGACAGACATAGCGGCAGAGAAATTGAAATTTAGAGAGAAGATGAAAGAGAGAAAAAGAGAAAAAAGTATGAGAAAATTAAGAAATTAGTAGAAAGCAAAAGATAGAATTTTTTAAGAAGAAGAGATTTTAAGAGATTCGGATGATTTTTTTTTTTTTATTCTTTTTCATTGTCGATGTAGAATTGTAAGTTGTTTAATCTTTTTGTTTCTAGTATGAAGTCGGCTAGAAGTTCAAAGTTGGCTGGTGAGTCGAGAATAGATTTTAGCGAGAACGTGTTGATTTTGATTTTGTTTTCTTTGATTTTTTTCCGGTAATTTTTTCTTTGGTTGTTGAATTTTCTACAGTATAATATAAAATGTTTGACGTCTTCGGTTGTGTTGCATTTGTTACATAAAGGTGAGTCGATTTTCTTTATAGAGAATAGAAAGTTGTTGAGGGGGCAGTGTCCTGATCGGAGTTGGTAGATTGCGGCTGCTCCTGCTTTTTCGATTTGATTTAATTTGTTGAAGATTTTATGTGGTGGTGTTGTTAATTTGATATTGTTTCGAACCAGTGGATTTTTGGATTTGTTGAATTTGTATTGTTGTCGGATTTTTTGTTGTAAGTTGGTGAGTGTTTGTGGTTGGTTTTTGAGATGGAATTGTTGAATGTCGGATGTTGCTTCTTTGGCGAGAGAGTCCACTTTTTTGTTTTCTGGGATTCCTACGTGTGCTGGGCACCAGAAGAGTTGTATCGGTGTTGTTGAATTGGACGAGATAAATTTCAAGAGTGTGAAGATTTTGTTGAATCTGAATTGGAGAGATGTCGATTTTGGCGGTTTTGATATTGTTGTTAAAGTGGCCTGGTTGTCGCAAAAGATGTTGAGTTGTTTGTCGAAGATGGTGTGTTGATTTCCAGAAAGCAAGTTATTGAGGTTGTTTTTGAACATTTCGAGCCCGATGTTGATTGCTGTGACTTTGGCTTCAAATGATGAGGAATCTTCTGCGTTGTTGATTCTGCAAGCGAATGATGTTGAATTGTTGAGTAGAGCTGCCGCCGCCGTTCCTTGCTCCGGGATGCTGGAGCCGTTGTGGTGAGATTGATCAAACCCATAGCCCATAATTAAAAACACCTTATTACATATACATAGTAGATAGAATACTAGAGGGAAGGGAATAGGTTAGGAAACAAATCACATAAATATTGCAGGGCTAAATTGTAGTTAATTAATTCACAAAATGGGCTTAAGATATTCAATTTCCCATGAATAAAAAATATACAAATAACCTATAGAACTATAATACATTCATCTTAGATTAGTAAAACAAGCTACTGATTAGAAAGTGCTTCACAGACTAGTTCCAGAAAATAACTCTTATACTAATTAGTCTAAGAATACCATTCTCATATTAAATAATCTAAGAATAGGCCTCATATAGTAGATTTACAACCTCTTGTATCAGAAAGGCACTTAGAGATTAATTCATATCAGATTAGGCCATCTCAGAGTAGTAAAAACCACTCTAGAAGTACCCTTCTCAGACGAACTTGTGTTCAGGCCAAAATCCCATGTACTGCAGAACCATTTGTCTATAAATAGAGGCTCCTCTGGCTCATGTTTTCCTTTCTCCCTCCTCATGCTAGCTACAGAACAGTAATCAGAGATATTACTCAGCTTTCATCACCCTTGATTAAGAGATCCAGAGATTATTAGAGCCCCTGAACTTCCCTTACCTCAATTTTGGCCATAGACAAGTAATTCAGAAATATTGCTTAGCCATTCTCACCTCTTTGAAGATTTAGAGAAATCAGCGTACCTTTTATCAGAGCCCAGAGAAACCAGAGAGACTTATAAGATCAGAGAACCAGAGAGAATTTATAACAGATTTAACAGAGAAACCCTACAGAAACCCTTATTACTCAGAAAACCCCATAAAACTCCTTACCTCCTCAACAGGTATTCTTAAGCAACAACAATAGTAGAATCAACACTAAGATAAATTTAGAAATAAGCCACACTCTTATTTTTCTTAGTGTAACTTTCCCGCAAGCTAGACAGGAGGGCAGTCTCACCCACACACAGATACTAATTCTACTATTCCATAGTCTTATTAGCTATTTTATCCCCTCCAAGCTCTTTACTCACTTGCTGAGCAGTTCCACAAGTGGTGTCCCAACAGTGGCTGATTTCCCCAGATAAATTTAGTCTTTAAAAGATACTACTCCCTTTTCTAGTCTTACTCAGAAATACCTGAACCTTTCTCAAATCTCACCTTAAATTATTAAGAACCCTTATAACAGATTAGAAGAAAATGTCTGAATACACCCCTCTCATCAATGTTGGTAATGCTGCCTTTACCCAGCATCGAGAACCATCCGTAGCCTCTTCTGGAAGCTCCCTTATACATCCTTTAGACACCAGATTAGACATGCCGCAACCCAGTCCTATTACCCCAGATAACCATCTTCGCTCTCATCATTCAGTAGCAGAATCCAACACTCATTTCCTCGAAAAAGAACCCGAAATTCCTAAATACGCAGGACCAACTGATAGTCGAAGGGTATTCAAGATTAAGCCTCTAGACAAGGAATTATTTTTCGATGGAACGAACATGCCGATAGAGAAGTTTATTAAGCGGTATGAGCGTGCGGGAGAAGCGGATGGAGCTAGCGCTACGGATTTGGCGAAACAGATTATTTCGTTCGTAAGAGGAGGCGATTTGAAGGATGAGGTTGAGGAGATGGAAGGATATGAGATGGTCGAGTGGGAAGAGTTGAAGAAACAATTGTTGGATCGGTTCGGAAAGTCTCTGCCTCTGGTGAAATATACGAAGCAAGACTTGAAGGATTTAGTCAATACTGCTGCCAAGAAAGGAGGCATTCGAACCTTGGAGGAGTTTAAGATATTTCGGTCGAAGTTTGAAATGATCACTCACTACTTGGTTCGGATGGGATACAACTCTGACTTAGAAGATTTTCGAGAATTATTGTTGGAGGCTTTGAGTCTACCATTAGAAACTGCTGTCACTCGGGAGCTTATTCGAGACAACAAGATGCGCGTTTCTAAAGATGGAGGCGATATTCTACCGGTCACTAAGATCATCGTTCAATATATCCAGAGAGAAGTCCAGTCAACTTCGGTAATGGAACGTAGATCTTTGGGAAGGCTTGAACAGACCAACGTAGAGCCAGCTAAGCCTATCAGAAATCCCATTCCCAGACCCCCAGCACCAGCACCACCAACAGAATCCTACGAGAAAAAGATTCAAGACCTCACAAGACAATTAGCTTCTTTAACAGCAGGAAAGATGGCACCTCCGCACCAACCTTTGGACGCTAATCTTCCACCCTCAGCTGCTCCAACCAACGTACCTTTCAAGAAGCCAGATTTCAAGTGTTACTACTGCTTCCAGGATACTCACAGTAGCAATAGATGTAGTCTATTTGCCTTTGATGAATCTCGAGGACTAGTAAAGCGTGAAGGGCGAGACTATCTTCTGCCAGACAACACCAAGATTGCATGGGATACGCGTCGAGCCATTAAAGATGAAGTGGATAAATTCGATCGTAACTCCAAGAAAACTACTGCGGCTGTGGTCACTTCCTCGTTTGGAGAGCTGGAGGAATGTGAAGTTGAAGAACACGCAGCGTATGACGTGGACTTGGGGAAACGAACACGATCGGAAAAAGAACCGGAAAAATCTGGTAGCGGGAAGAAGGGAAGAGTCGAGAAGGATGCTGTAATG